GTGTCTGCGTTGCTATGCGTGGATGGATGGTGGTGTGGTCAGAGTTGGGTGGCGATGATGACGACGACGATGACGACATATCTGACGATGTGGAGATCGGCATGGCGCGGACGCACCAGCGGGGCGGCGGCGGGTCCGCACAGATCGAGGAACTCGACGACGTCGAACACCCAGACACCACCGCAACCCAACACAGTAAGCCAAGCCCCGACACAGACAGATAGGCTAGACTGCCCACCTACGTGTTGTGTTGTCTGTCTGGTGCATTCAGGCGTTCCGTCGGGCGATGAGGCTGCCCCGCCGCGCATCGTCGAGGAGCCGAATGAGGAGAGCATGGAGGACAAGGGCACCGGCGGTGCGCAGCCCGTCGACGAGTCCACCCGGCAGCCCGTCGACGAGTCCACCCGGCCGCCCGCCACTCCCGTGTTCGGCACCGACGCCGAGCCCAACGAGACGATGGCCATGGAGACGGACGAGGACCCTCCCGAGCCCGCACCCTCCCCCGCCCCGGCCGTGCCCCTGCCACCGCCACCCTCACAGGACACGGGCGGCCCACAGACACACCCATACGCGGAGCACCCCGATGCCGCCATGCCTGAGATCGCGGCTGCCGCCGCCGCCGCCATCAGTGGGGCGCAGTCGGCCAAGGACGATTTTGACAAGACGCAGTCGCTGCACTTTGGCGGCCAGTATCGCAACATGGTGCCGACCGACACACACGAGCAGGGAGAGGGGGCAGGGGAGGAGGGCAAGCCGATGGGGCTAGGCGGCGAGGGTGCTGCTGAGGGTGAGGGCGATGCCGCCGCGCCCCAGGCGACCACCACCACCACCACCGGACGCAAGAAGGCCCAGCCGAAGAAGCGCGTCAAGGCGGAGGGAGGGGAGCCCGCGGTTGCTGGGAGCAACAAGTCGCCGGCGTCGTCGGCCGGCGGCTCGTCGCCTCCCCGTTCGCCGAAGCGCAAGATCAACGGCCGCAAGAAGGGCAACGGCGAGGAGGGGGACGAGGGCGAAGAGGGCGAGGAGGTTGGCGCTGAGGAGGATGAGGACAAGATAATGGACGAGGGCGAGGGCGACGCTCCTGAGGATGGGGAGGAGCAGACGCTCGCACAGGGACAGGGACCCGAGGATGCTGCTGCTGCTGCTGACGCGTAAGTGATCCACCTACCCACCACTCGACTCGTTGACCACACGCATTCATTGTGTTGTGCCTGTCTGTACGTGTGTGTCTTGTGTTGGCTGGCTGTGTCGATTGACCAGCGATGACACGGACAACATCACGTCAGCGGAGCAGTTGGCGGCGGACATTAATGCCAAGGAGGCCGGTGGCGCTGGTGTGAGTGGGATGGACATGGACGAGGACGAGGACTCACTCATGATGAGCCCCTTCACGCCAGAGGGCTGCGGCAGCACGGCCGTCGTCGCCTTCGTCATGGGGGGGTACGCTACTCCCGACTAGCTAACACCACACCCTCACTCCACTCACTGCAGCAATGCATGGGGTGCTGTGAGTGCTGTGTCTTGTGTCTGTCTGCAGTGGCGATACCCGTCGTTTGATTGTGGCTAATGCGGGCGACTCGCGATGCGTTCTCTCTCGAGCAGGTAGGTCATCAATGAGAGAGAGAAAGAAACAAAGAAGGGAACACAGGGCGACTGTGGTATGGTATGGTGTGGTGTGTGTGCAGGTGTTGCGCATGCCATGTCGCACGACCACAAGCCCGACCTGCCCAGCGAGACGGAGCGCATCCACGCCGCTGGCGGATCGGTACTTACAGCCACACACACACACACACACGCTCAGACCACACTCAGGCGGGGCGGCCTCATCCACTCCACACATCTGTGTTGTGTGATGATGGTGTGTGTGTGTTTACTGAATGGTTCTTCCTGTGAGCAGATTATGAACGGTCGTGTGGACGGCAATTTGAACCTGTCTCGTTCCCTGGGTGACCTCCACTACAAGCGGGACAAAGACCGACCCCCGCAGCAGCAGCGTGTAAGGCCCACACACACACACACACACACACAAACTGTCGACCGACACATTTGGCCGTGTGTGTGCTTCGCTTCCTTTATGCCTGCCTCCATATATCAGATAACTGCCGATCCCGAGATATCAGTGATGGAGTTGTCGGACGAGGACGAGTTCGCCATACTGGCATGCGACGGAATATGGTGTGTATGTATGGCACACAACACACAAACCACCACCACCACCACACACACACGCATTCATATCTGTCTCTGTCTCTGTCTCTCTCCGTGCGTCTTGTCTGTCGGTTAAGGGATTGTTTGACGTCTCAGCAGGCGGTGGATTTCGTGCGGCAGCGCCTCTTCCAATACGAAGTCACTGATGGGGCCGGTGAGGGAGGGAGGGAGAGAGAGAGAGAGAGGGACAGAGGGACAGAGGCAGCGCACGACGATCGACGTGTGTGTATGGTGTGTTTCTGCCTACTTGCATGGCATGCAGCCGAGCCCTCGTTGTCCAAGATTTGCGAGGCCATGTGCGACCACTGCCTGGCGGCAAGTAAGACAGAAAGACCAGCAGACATCCATCCATCAATGATGACTGGGAGAGAGCGATAAATGCGATGGACGTCAGTCATCTCATCCTGTCCTGTGTGTGTTGTCTGTCCGTCTTGTGTGGTTCATTCAGATGCCATGCAGTCAGAGGGCATCGGCTGCGACAACATGACCGCTCTCATACTCGTAACCACCGCACCGCATGCACAGGCCAGGCGATGGATTGGAGGAATGCCCCTCTTGTCTGTCTGTCTGTCTGTCTGTCTGCGCCTGATTTCCTCTTTGCATGTGTGACTCTCTGTCTGTGTGTCAGCAACTGAACCCGCTGAGTCGCATTTTGGCTCACCCGCCCCCGCCACACGACCCTAATGGACGAAACAATAACAACAACAACACTGCCACAGGTTGGGTTAGCTTAGGTCCACACACAGCCATCCATCCCCATCACACAGACAGACAGAACTCCCAAGTCCATGCCTCACTGTGTCGTGTCTGTCGTGTGGTGTGCTGCCATGGCTGGTGTGTGTGCAGGTGGCCCCCCGTCTGGTGATGCGTCGACCACAGCCAGCGAGGAGCCCACTGCCATGGACGAGTGATCGAATCGATACCTACGATTGAATGATAGCCATGAACGTCGCCTTCCTTGATGCAGTTGCCTTTTCACTTCACACATACCGACAGCCAGCATGGTGGACTCACACCCACGCCACGCACCGCCACAGGGGCCGGGGAGGGAGGGAGGGAGAGGGGGATGGACTTGGTGTGGGCGTGGGCGGGGGCGTGGGCGGGGGGATGATCTTTTTGATTGACACACAGGCGGGGGGGCGGGTCAGCGGGGGGGCGGGGGGACTTTTGATGACTCACTCAGCTAACTCACTGACTGACTGACTGATGGAATGCATTCATTGGATTGGATGGATGTGCTCATGATGGATGTCGAATGAGTCGAATCGAATCAACCGGTTGATGGAGTGAGTGAGTGTGGTGTCCGTCTGCCTGGCTGCCTGGCTGCCTGTAAATAACACACACACACACACACACGCAGTCCCGTCCTGTCCCCTCCTTGATAGTGCAATCATTGCAATCGTCCACCGTTTCCCTCTCTCATCCCGTCGGCCTGTGTGAATGTCAGCCTGTCAGCCTGTTGTGCGGTTCCTCGGGTGCCTGAGCGCTTTTTTCTCTCAGATGGGGCACCGCACCTGAACCGAACCGGCCGGGCGGCACAAGAGGAGGACACAAGCCACACACAGGCAGGCAGACACACACACCAGGGGAGAGGGCGACTGACTGGATGGCTCTCTCTTTCCTGCATTTCTCGCCTGCCCGCCTGCATGGGGTTCACTCATCGTGTGTGTGGCCTGGGATCGACCGAATTGCATCATCCTGAGGTGTCTGGTCTGTCTGTCTGTCTGATTCCGGCAGCTGCGCACCTAGGACAGCTGTCCCTTTCTCGTAGCTTGGCTTCGGCAGCATGTCGGCGCGAGCCAAGCCTGCTCGTTTCGACTTGCTGCTGGGGAGGCTGCGCGAGAGAGGGACGGGACGGCCGGTGTGCAGTGAGTGCGCCAACACCAGCCCAGCAAGTGTCAGAACGGCTAGGCAGGCAGGGAGCGGTGGCCACTGCGGCCGCGATGCCTGTCTGTGTCTGTATGTCATGGCGTGACGGCAGGTTTTGCGCTCGGGTTGCGCTGCGTTGCGGGCATAAGTAAGTGGTACCAGAATCCTCTCAGATGCTGCTGCCTGACTTGGATCTCTTGCATGAGTTGGGTGGACGGATGTGCGTGTGCGTGCGTGTGTGTGTGTGTGTGTGCCGTTCGATCCACTTGGTCGATCGGTGAACTTACTGTGTGTCACTTTCAACTCAACTAGACATTCGCCCAGTCCATGTCGATCCAACCCTCACGCGCACACGCACGCACACACGAACGCGTCCATCCAGGTCCGCAGTCATAGCTAAGCACCCCACCCCCCCTCTCTCTCCGTGTTTTGCCAACACACCACACGGCACCCACTCCGCACGGCAAGTCCCTCTCTCATGCTTCAAACACTGCCAGCAAAGGGCTCCCACCTCCCCCCTCCCTCCCTCCCTCTAGGCTACACTCGTCCATCTCTTCTTTCACTCGAGCACCCGGACTGGCGTGAATTTGATGGTGCCATTCTTCTCACCCACGAGGTTGATGTTGGCCTGCGTGGCCGCCTGCCGCAGTGCTCTCACTGGCCCCCACCGCTGCTTGGGCTTGTGCACGTAGCTGATGCACTGCAGGCTGGCGAACTGGTCGAACATCTGGCGGCTGGTCTGCAGGAGCTCCGTGTACAGCTGCCGGGCGTGCTCCTCGGTCTGGTTGTAGGACACCTTGATCTCTATGGCCCGCACGCGGTTGTCGATGACCTCGCGGACGTCGTCACCCACGCCCATGTCCATGTCGCCCACGCCGGCCCCCTCGTACACCCCCCACCGAACGGGGAGGCTCGGGGGGTCGTGCATCACCCCCCAGGCGTTGGACACACGCTCGATCTCGACCTCCGTGGCGACCGTGATGCGCCGGCCTTGCTGTGGGGCCAGGTGGCGGATGGCCTTGGGCAGCACGGCAATCGGCACGATCTGGTCCTCGTCGCTTTCGTCGCTGTCGACAGCCATGGTCATCTTGACGGCCAGCCTGTCCAGGCTCGGCAGCTCCTTGACGAAGCTGTGCAGGCCGCCTTCGTAGGTCCGGTCGCTGTTCATGGTGCCCTGGTCGATGTCGAAGGTGCGCACGGCCGGCAGCATCGCGGGAATGCGCGACACCAGCTGGTTGGGCAGGTGTGTGTAGGGGAAGTAGCTCGTCGGCAAGACCTTCACCGTGAGGGTCTCAGCACAGGAGAACACGGCCGTGTTGAGCTCGTACGCCATCGTCACGTCGTTGGGCATCTTGAACGGAGACAGCGACACCTGATGGATTGAAGGAGGGAGGGATGCACCAGCAGAGCGACAAGCGCGTCTGCACGGGGTGTGTGGTGTGTGTTGGTCTCAGTGTTCTATAGATCGCCCACCCACCTTTGCCGCCATGTTGGCAAGTTTCTGGACTGTCGAGTGTGTGCCCGCCAGCTGGACGGGCGAACCGACCAGGGGCAGACCGACAGCCAGCTCCTCACATCGAAACTCGTCGGGCCGCCCGTTGTCCACGCGCCGCACCTCAGCATGGTACACCTCGACGGCATCGGGCTCCAAACACTGACTACGGAAGCCATGCAGCCTCTGCAGATTGGTTGATAAGAAACACAACACAGACAGACACAGAGAGGATGGCCACGGCACGGCTGAGGCGGGTCGTTGCTCTAGCACACAAACACACACACACCTGAATGAAGCTTGTGTGTGCGATTGGGGTTCGGTCGTTGTCGTGGGGCATCTCCATCTCGATCGTGGTGAGCCGGGACTGCAGGATGGCCCAGAAGTGCTGCTCGCCATGGAATATCACTGAGGTACACACACACACAGAGACAGACACGGGGATGGGCACATGGGTGGATGGATGGGTGGACACACACATGCGTATGATACCATGGCCAGTGAGCGACCGAAGGGTGCCGGCTGTGGGCGTGTGTCGCATGACGTTGCCAATGCGCTCCAGCGACTTGGGGAAGGTGTGACCGCCGCGGCCACGATCGAACAGCATGTGGATCGAGTGCAGCCCACCCATTGCCGCGGGCACCCACTGCTGCAGGGCATTCTCGGATCTGCACGTGAGCTCTCGCAGCAGGGGGAACCGGTAGCGCCGGAAATGCGGGATGCGCTGCCAGGTGCTGTCCACCTTGACGGCGTGGAGGTGCTCGAAGATGATCGGCTCGTCGGGCTGGGGGAGCTGGTTGAGGGCGGTCTCGGCCTGTCGCTCCTGACGGTCGGTGAGGAGGGGCGAAGTCAGCGTCATCGACTGCACACACACACACACACACAGACAGAGAGAAAGAAGATAAGGACGACGTATGTCTGTCTGTCTGTCTGTTTTCCTGGCAGTGCAGTGCAGTGCATCTCACGTACCTGCAGGCTGGTGGTAGTGGCCTCGAGCAGTATCAGCTTGGGCATTGCCGGAGGACCGTGGATTTTCATGGTCGTCGTGCGCGAAAGAGAACCTGGCCAAGGCAAACACACAACCAACCGCACCACCCGCCCTCTTGCCGCTTCCCCCCACATCATAAGCGAGACAGACCTACTTATCCATCGCTGAGCCACGGCAATGCTCGGAGCGGTCTCAAACTCGACGATGGGGTGCATGGCTGGGTTCTTGGCCATGGATCTGAACGCACAGCTGACGGCCGAGAGGGACCGCACAACGTCCACAAACCCGATGTACCCGCCCACGCCGATGCGGTCGCCGTCACTCAGCCACAACGCTTCGGCTATCGAATCCAAAGACAGACGCTGCAATGCGCACAATCCACACACCCCCGTGCGCAGGCATGTGTGTCGTTCATCTGCGTGTGTGATGTCTGTCTGGCGTACGTCCTCTTCATTGAGGGCCTGCATCTTCTGCTGTATCATGTCGAGCTTCTGGGTGGCCCGCTCGATAGACAGCTGGGACCGGGCGCTGTTGGTCTGCATCATCTCCCGCCACACACGGAAGTGACGCCTAATCGCCTGCAGTGCAGAACGACAGACAACAAGAGCAGAACAAGGGCAGGCAGCACACAAACTTGGATGGATTTGGTGCGCCGTTTGTGTGCGCACCTGGACTTTGGTCTGGGTGTTGGTGTTTGCGACCTCGTGCGGCATCAAACTCTTGGCCATCAAAATCTCCACAGCCTGTTTGTGTTGCAGACAGACATAGATAGACGAACCCAACACAACAACCATCCGACATACATCATCGGCCCGCCCGCTGTCCCTGTGTCTGCCTGATTGTCCCTACAGCTGCCTGCCTGCGCACCTTTGCCTTGGTCTGCTCAATCATGAGTAGCTGCTTCCGGAGAGACGACGCCATGCTCTCCATCGCCAGCAGAACCTCCTCGTCCTCATCCATCTGAGCCAACTGCAGGCAGGCAGGCAACACACACAAGAGAGCGCATGGACGGATGCCTCAGCCCGACTGAGAGCCCGTGTGCCTCGAGGCAGCCATACGTCATCGTTGAGTCTCTGTCGCTTGGAGCTCTCATCACTCCCGCCTCCCGCAGCTGCCGCAGATGATGATGATGCAGCGGCAGCGGCAGCAGCTGCCGCAGGCGCCGCTCCACTCGAGGCCGCAGCACTAGACTGGGCGAGGGAGCGCTTCTGCCGCCCTCCTCTGTCCATTTTCGCTACTTCCTATAGCTACTTCCTTTCAAAAAGGCGGCACCGCGCATCAAGAGGCTTGCGAGCTTAGTATAGTAGCCAAAAGTGCGAGCTGGAGTCAGGGCCTGCCAATCCCCGTGCCAATCTCAGCATTGGCAGCTCTCCGGTATCCAGTGCGGGCGGAGGGCATGGCTTCTGCAGAGATGGATGACGACACTGAGTCTCTGAGTGAGACCGTTCCAGACTGTCTGGAGTGTTCGATATGCTTCGGGCTGCTTTACAAGCCCACAGCCCTTGATTGCGGGTGGGTGAGTTGCTTCCCTGGGTCGATGATACATGACTGACACCCATGATGTGATGCCATTGCTCTCTGTCGGTTTGGTTGTTTGTTGGTTGCTGACTGACAGGCACGTCTTCTGTTTCTGGTGCTTGTTCCGGTCGATGGCGCAATGGCATGCTTCCAAGTGGTGAGAGGGAGGAAGACCACCACTGCAGTCATTGCAAGATGGTGAGGGTGCATCGGGAGTGTTCCGCTGTCGCTGTCGTGATGCCTGCAGCCCGCTTTGCAAGAGGAGCTTCAGTGTGTTCCCCCGGGTGTGTCGGCCCCTCTACATGTACATCAGGAGCAAATACCCTCGCACCTTCGACCAGAGAAGGCAAGGTAAGGTACCTACCGACGCTGGCTGGTCAATTCACTGACCAGAGAGAGCACCTTCCAGATTCACACACACACACAATGCACTCACTCATGGATGCCTTGCCTTTCCTCATCTCATCTCGCTTGGCAGAAGTGGAGGAGTTTGAGCGGGCCACAGAGCGGCAGTCGCCCGCAGAGGAGCACATCCTCACCCCCGGCTCTGGGGCCAACGTCGACCGACTCCCCCCAACAGCCAGCCGAGAGATCAGAGACCTCCTCTCCGCATGGCAAGGCAATGACGCGCCTCAACCGCCATTACCGCCCTCGCCCTCGCGACCCGCTGCTGCTTCTGGCGCCGAGCCGATGGCAGAGAGTGGGGGTGGGCAGCAAGGTGAGGATGGAGCTGCTGGGGAGGGGGATGAGGCGTTTGTGCACGTGAGCGATGAGGTGTCGTCGCTGCTGTCCCCTGAGATGCGGCCCACGGCTGTGAGGCTGCCGGTCAGAGAATTCGTCCACTTCCAAGTGTGTGATGGCACTCACGCGCACACCCAGCCAGCCAGCCAGGAACTGATCTGGATGGGCGTCTGTGTGTTGTGTGTTGTGTATGTGTAGGTGGGATGTGACGGCTGTGGTCGGCTGCCTATCGTGGGGGCTCGTTATAGATGTCGTGACTGCCATGAGAGGGTGGGTTACGACCTGTGCGGCGCGTGTCACCGGGAAAACTACAGTCGATGCGGGCTGTTCAACCAGATGCACACGTGAGCTGTCCAGATGGACATTTATGTGCGTGTTCGGGCGCGGGGGTGTGTGACTTGTATGTCTGTCAGTCTGTCTGTCTGTCTGGATGTCTGTCTGGATGTCTGTCTCTGTTTTACTCGCTGCATGTGGTGCATGCAGGTCAGCGCATAGGATGGAGCTGGTGCAGCCCGACGCCGTCACAGTGCTGCTCAACTGCCTCCACAAATGCCACCCCACACTCCCTCTGTAAGGAAGGAAAGGCACACAGACAAACACACCAGCCACACAGACATACATGTACTCTCTGTCTCCCTTCCCTGTCCCTGTCTGCATCCGTCCATGTGGTCGGTGTGTCAGGGCCGAGCTGCTGTCCCTGCTGGAACTGCAGGGATCCAGCGGGCCCTCCACCCCAGACAATGACAGTGACAATGACCTGGAGGATGAGACCCCCGAGCGGACCGGTCCCCTCCCACCACTGGGCCTCATGCCTGACGAGCAGTCCCCTCCTGTGGGTGATGACGAGACTGGCGACCGCCCAGCACCAGCTGGCGGGAGGGAAGAGGGGAGGGGAGGGAGCTCTGCTTGATTGACCGAAAGCGACTGACGGGACGGTGGCCCATGCTGCCTGCCCCCGTTCTGTTCTGCTGTGCTGTGCTGGGCCCTCAGCCATCGGATGGCCCGCGCGAAGATGAGGCTTGATGGCACAGGGGTGGGTTGGGGCGGGTGGGGTGCCTTTGGTTACTGGCAGGCATGTCAGTATGTGACTGACTGACAGGTATGCATGGTGGATGGATCCTATCCTGCTCTGATCGGTCGATCGATTGATTGAAGTTCGGTTCGTGCTTGTCCCGATGCATTGCAGGCACTCATGTACACACAGGACACATCGTCTCTCGCATTCACCCACCAGCCCGCCAGTGAGTGCAGTGCGTCCAGGTCATTCATTCACGCATCCCAGTGCGGGGTCAGTCTGTGGGGTCAGCATGTCGGTCTGTCAGTGCGGGGTTAGTCTTTGGGGTCAGTCAGTCCCCACACCGACAGACCTACATCCTGACCCCAAGAACACACCCCACATAGACAGGCAGACCCCATAAAGACAGACACCAAATCGTTTTCCCCCCCATTCAGTCAGTCCTTAACAAACAGCACCATGTACACGAAACGACACGACACGACACACACGCTGTACACACGCTGTACAGACAGCCAATCAGACAGACAGGGTTCGCCTCCTTCTGCCGCCGCGCATCGGCCACCCAGCGAACGAATCCCTTCCTTCCTTCCCCCCTGCCTTGCCTTGACCACCCTCTCATCGGGCAGTCAGTCAGCCACATCACATCACCTCACCTCACTCGCAGCATACGTGCCCGCGCCTCCGCAGCAGCTGCAGCACAGCAACAGTCGCAGTCACGTCCACCAAACACAGACAGGCACAAACATTGCAAACTGTTCATCGTGCTCTCCATAATGTATGTCAGACGTCTCTCTCCGTTTTGTTGCTCTCTCTCTCACCTGCGGCATTTTGTCTGGCGGTGGCGGCACATCCCATAATTCCGGCACACATGTGATCTTCAGGCAGCCGGTGGCGCAGACACACCTTCTTGTCGCACTTGGGGCACGCCCACATCGTGGCGAACGTCAACACCGTCCGGCACACCGCACACCGCGGCTTCTTCTGAACCGGCTGGCACTCATGGGCAGCGAGTGCCTGCTGGGGAGTGAGGGAGTCGACAAGGGGAAGGGCGGTCCCACACTTGTCGCAAAGCACGACACGTTTGTCTTTGACAAGATGTCGTGAGCAGGAGTGGTCGGTGATGCACTGCCGGCAGAATGCCGCCCCGCAGCCGTCACAGGTCCTCGTCAGGACGTCCTTCTGCCGGCAGTAGGGATCCGAGCAGTGCTCACCTGTCGAGCGAACGGTCACACACACCAAACATGACGGCGTGGCGGTACAGCTGGGCTACATGGCTGGCTGCTGAGTTGAGTGTTTGTTGGCTCACCAAGATCTGAGAACTCAGCCATTCCTACAGTTGGTTCTTGTCTGCAGGTCAGCTGTCAGCGTCAGAGATGGCGTAATGGCTGTCCTTCGCCTCCTCTCACGACAGGATGGAAACAGGTCGGCTGGTCGAATGAGCAGAGAACGAGTGGAACGCCGCACGAGACGACGCGTAGGGTGTGTGGGGAGGCAGAGAGGAGGCAGGCTTTCGCCTTTCGTGCCCGATTCTGTCAGCAAGTGCAAGTCGGTCCACGGGTTCAGGGTCTAGGGTTCATAGACGGACGATCTACTGATCTGTGAGACAGGACGGCTGTTGAGTCTTTCGTTGTTGTCCGTTCCAGACAGTCCAGGACGTCAGACAGGATGACATCGTTCTTTGTGTGTACGCAAGGCAAGTGGCTGTTCCGTTAACTACCGAGTCATGAATTCGCACGCACCCATCCATCGCGTCACCACCGGACTTCCTCCTGTCTACGTCTACCGTGCCATCGCACCTGCCGAGCGACAGGATGGCGGCCAGCTGCGGAAAAGCGACACGATCCTGGCTTGACTTGGCTCCACACACTCCATCCATCCATCCACCCACCCACCCATTGGACACTCATTGGCTGCCCTCTAAAAGTACTGACTGTCGAATGTGCGTTGCGTATGTCACTGGCTGTACGGCCTCTACTGCTATCACACAGACAACTCAGCCGGCCGCGAGACCAAGACCGGTGCACACACACACCCGGAGCGTTGGGTAGGTAGCTCTACTACCGAGGCCCCCGCCCCCTTCTGCCTCCCCTTGCCCGCCCTCCGTGGCCATATCCATGGCCGAACCCCCTCTTGCCCACGCCGTACCCGCCCCTGCCGTCCTGGTAGTACTCGCCAAAGTAACTGTCATCCTCGTCGTGCTCCATGAAACTGTAGGCACGGCCTCGCCCGCCCCCCCTGCCCCTGCCGCTACGCCCACCCCTTCCTCCTCCCGACGAGAACTGGTTGAAGGCCTGCTGCATCCTCGCCGCCGTCGGGGAGGCGTCTGTGTGCTGCTGATATGTGTCGTATCTGTCGTCTTGCTGCTGCTGGTGTTGGGAGAAGGGCATCGGGTGTTCATGGTCGGCAGCGGGAGCGGACGTCGCGTGTGGGATGTGTGGAAACGGCAGTCGTGGCGGCCGCGATGATGGGGGAGGGTGGGGGGGTGGAAGGATCTGAGGGACAGACGACCACCGCTGGTCGTCCATCTGCGGCGTGCCGGCTTCATCCTGCCGCTGCTTCCTCTGCCTTCGCCGTCTGCTCTGCGGTGTTGCCACGTTCCGCTCACCCGCCCCCGCCCCCGGGACAGTGAGACGATGTCCCGCTCCTGCCGTGTTTGGCTGTCCTCTGCCGTGTAGCTGGATAGCCCCATAGGCCGACGGATGGACCGCCCCAGCCCCTGGGGGCGGGGGTGGCCGGCCGAAGCCTCCCGGTCCCGGATGGCCACCGTGGTGGTGTGTGTGGTGGTGGTGGGTCGGTCTGTATGGGTTGTCGGTATTGCGGAGGAGGGCCTTGATCTGGTTGTCGTCTTGCTTGCGGTAGCGGCGGAAGAGCTCGTCCAGCGGCTGGCGAGTCGACAGCAGGAAGGCCGCACGACGCAGCTCCATCGACACGCGCTCCTGGGCCGCGAAAGACAGACCTGTGGACAGGCAATGAAGGAATGGCACACAGCACAGCAATCGTCACGGACGCCACGTGGATGTGAGTGTCTGTGTTCTTTTGATGACTCACACACCGAGGGTGCGATCCTTCTCCAAAGGGTCCTCGATGGCCATGCAGATGCGCTGGAATATGTGATCCAGCGCCCGTCCGCCCTCGACCTCCTCCTCTGGTTCCCCCTCCGCCTCTCCCTCTCCCTCCCCCGTCGGCTCTTCAGCCGCCTCCTCCTCACCGATTGCCGCATCCCCCTCAATGGCAGCAGCAGCTGCCTGGTCGGTATCGGCGTCGGCCTCGCACTCCGTCTCCTCTCGCGCCTCGGTCTCCTCCTCCTGGTAGTCGTCGTAGGGCCGGTCGTCGGCCGATGTCTCGTCGTTGGATGGGGACGGCAGGGCGGCGTCGGTGGAGGGCTCCTCGGACTCATCTGCTGCAGACAGGGGGGCCTCACTCGACACAGGGGCCTCGTTGGCGGCGGGCTCGGTCGGCTGCATTTGGAGAGAAAAACAGACATATGCAGACAGACACATGAATGACATGGGGGGCATACATGCTCGCTCGCTTACCGTGGTCTCAGCCGCCGTGACGCTGTCGCTCGCGCTGGCGGCGCTGGTGGCGCTGGTGGTCCGCGCAGGTGCGCCGCTGGAGAAGTAGTCCCTCTTGGTCAGGTGTTGTGCTACCCCCGCCGGCCGCTTGATGGATACCACATCGCGGTAGTAGTTGAACATATAGGCGAAATATACGGTAAACTCGTAGAAGAGCGACAGCAGACTGTCACCCGCTACCCCAGACCCTCTTGCAGGTGGGGCGTCGCTCGGGTTCTGCTGCTGCCCCTGCCCCTGGCCCCCGCCCATGCCGAGCATGGAGAGCAGGTCGTTGACACCTCTGCTCTGACTGCCCCCCCGCTCCCGCACCAGCACGTTGTTCTCCCTCTCCATGCGCCGCAGCGGCTCGCACGGGTCGGCCAGCAGCCGATGGGCGAGGGATCCCGGCGCAGGGAAGTCGGTATAGTCGGCTTCGGTTGTGGGGAAGATGGGCGTGTTGACGCCGTCTGTGGGGTGGACGTAGAAGACATCGTTGTTCTGCGGGGGGTCGACCAGCACGGAGGGGTAGGGCGGGGGACACACGTGGGCCGGGGGGCTCTGCAGATTGGGCAGCACGGGCTGCCCGGTGGTCAGCTGACGGTGGTGCTGCAGGAAATGGCTGAGTGAGTGACAAAGGGAGGGAAAAGAGGACGGACAAGTGACAAACAAAGAGATTCGGCGAGATGTGGTGCGGTGCAGCAGGCTGACAGACATGGTGAGGAGGATCCATGAGTATGAAGAGAAGGCCCCTCGTCTGGGGTCGACAAGGCCCCGGCACTTGGCCCAGTGCTTCACGACAAGACCCAGCGCAGCCGCACGGCTGTCATGCTCGGCATACGCCCTGCAGGTTACCGAACAAACAAACGATCACACACACACACATACACACACACAGAGGCAGGGATCCCTGGATATATCGGTGTTTTTTCCGTCCATGCGGACGGACGGACGTACCTGAGGAGTCTTGAGTTGTGCAGGACGACTTCATGGTTGAAGGATATGTCGATGGTCAGCTCAGGGTGATCGTACTCATCATAGGCACGCCCGTCGGCGTCGGTCTTGCGCCGGATGGCCGTGCACTTGACGATCGGCACCCGGGCGTTCTCGATGCACTCTATCTGAAACACCGACTGGTCCAGCGCACGGGACAGCACACGGACGGCCTGACACAACCAACAGCCACACACACATCTCATCTGTGTTCGCTGTGGTCTCTCCTGTCTGTCCTCCTCAGCATTCCCTCACCCACCTGGATGGTCGGTGCGTGAGGCAGCTTGAGCCACTGCCAGTTGTCGTGTTTGTCGCTAGGGAACGAGTCGGCCGCCCGCAGAGGGTTCTCGTCCTTGGCGCCACTGGCCGCCTCTGCGCGGGCCTCATCCATCAGTCGACTGAGCCTGGAGGGCGGCAGCTGCACCACCACATCAAGGTCGCTCTCCCTGGTGGCGAAGCCGTTCACTGCGCTGCCGTACAGCAAGCCGGGATGGCCGAAAGTGGAGGTCGTCACGTCCACAACTGATGAATGAAGACCAAGGAGAATAAATGCGTGGAGGTCTGATTTTGTGGCATGCGCGTGCAAGGCTGACTTACTGTTTTGGAATAGCCGGATCCATGTGTGTATCTGGTGTTTGTCGGGCCTGAGGCGGTCGACTCTGTCCCACAGCTGCGCATCGTGCGGGTCGGGGGCGTGCGCGTCCACTACTGGCGACGGCGGGATGAACACACTCGTGTTGCGGTTGAAGAAGTACTCAACCTGACACCACCCACCACCGACAGATGGATGGATGGATGGATGGATGGATGCCTCGTGAGATCTGTCCTCCCATGCACCCACCTGTTCAAGCCGCGTTCTGCAGGAGTATCCGAGCCGTCCTCTCTTAACCAGATCTCTCACGGCCGCGAGGAAGGTCCGCTGCTGCTGCCGTCCCCCGACGCTCTCCTGCACCAGCATGTAGTCCACCAGCCGCGTGCAGGCGATCCTCTGCTCATAGGTGGAGAACACCGCGGGCATGTGAGGCACCGCAACGGCTTGAAGTGTCTACACACAGACACACACAGAGAGAGAGTCGAGATCTGACCAGATCTTCAAACGCACTCCGTCCGTCTCATGTGGGGTGCTTGTGAGCTCACCGCGAGGACGCACTCAGCCACGGCATCGCAGTACGCCGAGAGGAAAGCCGCCCTCTGCTGCGACAGCTCATCAGCCAATCTGGTGAGATGGTGGTAGTGGAGATCCTTGAGGTTGGTGGTGCTCCAGATGGAGTTGCGGAGGCGGTGCGCCACGTCCACATGCGGGTGCCCGTCCACAGCTGACGTGAAGCCGCTGATGAGATCATCCGTAAGGCGTGAGCTGTCGTATTCGGTGAGAGGGGAGCGAGGCGGGATGGGATTGTTGAACTCCATCTCCCTGGGATTGAAGGCACAGATGCGTTGCGGATTCGTCAGGGTTTAGGGTTGTGCAGGGTCCAGGGTTCGGAGGGTCTGGGGCGGAAGGGGTGCCTTCGAAGCAATTGGAAGTGGCGGCCCGCCATATTGCCGATGTCTGAAACAGAAAGTGCACGCCCGTCCGCCGACCATCAGGATGGCCAGAGGGCAGATCTCTCGAGGCAGCCGAACAACACGTACTTGTCAATGATGCACCTCGCTCGCCGGATCTTGGCGGATGACACTGACGACGAGGACAATCGGAGGCTTGCGTGGGAAGTCGCTCGTGGGGATTTTCGCAACGCCATTGAGATCTTTGCGGCTCACGAGTCGCTCGACAACAGCGTGCAGTACGACCTGCTGGAAGTGGCGCGCATTGCCGCTCGCGGTCCCCAGGCTGGTGTGGTGCCGACATGCAAGCAACTGCGGCCTCAGCTCGATTACTGGTTTCCCGAGCGGCCATGGATTTGTGTGTGGGGCGCAGCGGCATCCACCGCGCCATTCATCGTGTTCAAGCAGCGGATGGCGATGAAGATTTTTGTAAGCACCCACAACGAAACACCGTGTGAGCCTTTACATGCACTCAGCTCCTCCCTTGCGACTGCTTTCAGTGTACCTCGGCTATTGCCGCTGGCAACCCCCCTCCCTGGGACCTTCCCGCGCTCTCAGATCAGGAGACCGAGCCTTCAACGAGGCCGAGGACTCCCTGCACGGAGCGTGTCGTCGCGGCTTGCATTTCGATGACGATCTTCTGCGGCAGCTCCTCAGCAAGTGGCTGAGTCTGGTGGCGCCGCTCTTCCCCGACATGGAGACGGCCGTGGGGATGGCCAACAATATCGAATGCTCCTCTTTTCTGAGCATGAGCCACCCGCTAAGCAAGAGGGGCACCAGGCGCATGGCCTTCCGCGTCAATGACATCATGGATCTCGTCGTGGTCCAGTGGCCCAAGACAGCGGCCTCCCAGCCGCTCCGCAGCTCTCTCACGGCACCAAGCGGCCTCTCGGAAGTCTTCAAGCCGACGGCAGACCTCCCTAGGCGCCTCACTGTCAGCGGCCTATCCATCCGGCTTCAACCGGAGCTTGTCGATCCGCCTGAAATGCTCTCCGCAGAGGCTGCTGCGGAAGCAATGGTGTCGCTTGAAAATCGCAAGGACTCGTCGTCGTGGAAGAGGGTTGTGCTGCGAGACTTGAGCCGCATGCCTGAGATGGACTATCTGTGTGTGGGGATGTGGAGGCACCGGAAGATCCCCTTTGCATCGAGCTTGCCGACAGTGGTGATGGAAGCCAAGAGCTCAGTACGTTGCAACGTTGGCACAGACACACAGGGAAGGAGTGCAGTGGTGGACAAACTATCGTCGCCGTGTGTTGCCCTGTGTGCGTGTGCCTTTGTAGTCGCTGCTGGTGGGGGTGCGCGAGAGGCTCAGAAGCCTTCCTATTGTGGACCCCATCCTCTCTGCATCAGTCGATGTCCTCCAGCAAGCCCTCGTCGCCGCTGCCGCAAGCATCAAGGATCGCTTCCCCCCGCCCACCTCTCCCGACGAGCAGCACAGATACATGGAGCGGGTGATGCACCGCTGGTACGACAACGTCACCCTCGGCAAGACGCCACTGGCCAGTGAGCTTGCAATGTTGGTCGTCGACCAGCCCCTGAGAGCAGAGAGTCTGTCGATTTCCTCGAAGGGTTGGGTGAGCAGCTTTCGGCTGCCCGAGTGGCGAGGGCTGCGCTTCATATGCATCCGGTTCGCCAAGGGGGTGCTCGAGGAGCCAGAGGACGAGTCGAGAGACGCTCAGGAGGCGGGAGAGGGAGAAGGTGATGCGCCTGAGGAGCCAACGCTGGAGGACTTCGTCGAGGATGCTCCGCCGTCGCCACAGCTGCGTCGCACCGAGATGAAGGAGCGGCTGCTGAAGGTCAAGGAGCAGCGAGACAAAAAGAAGAGGCGGCAGGCTCGACAGGAGGCCAAGCAGAAGACGCCCACGGCGGCCGAGTCGGCTTGTCAACAGAAGAAAGTCGACGCTAGGATGGCGGCTCTCATCAAGGAGGAGGAGGAGGCACAGAAAAAGGCGGCCGACAAGAAGCCCGACAAGAAGAGGGGCGAGAGCGCCAAGGGGCAGCCCGCCACAGCGGCCAACAGCAGCCAGCCGAGTGCATCTGACCAGCAGGAGGATCAGCCAGGTCCCAGTGTATCTGTCAGTGACGAGCAGCCTGACGAGGACAGCGACGCCCTCCTGCTGGCGTCGGCCTTTGGCAGGCGGGCTATCGACAGCCACAAACAGCCCACCAAGCCCAAAGAGGAGAAGTGCCATGCCCCAAGGCCCGGCCCGCTGCCCAGGCCAGCAAGGCCTCCCGTCCACCCTTCCCTCCAGCCCACAAGACAGCTACTCTGCCCTCGGCTGACAAGACGGTCGGCCGGCAATCTCCGGCCTCGGCCAAGGGAGGTCGCGATGGGATGTCATTCGCCGACCAAGCACCGCGTCAACTGCCGATCAGACGCCCACTCCACCTGGTGCACCGCCCCTCTTGTTTAAGCCGGGCCCTCCAGCTCCACGGCTGCCATCACCCGAGGAGCTGCGTCAATCAGCAGAGCGTCCATCATTCCATTTCAGTCCCCCTCCGTTTCCCCCGCCCCCTCCACCCCTCCCACCTCCACACAAGCCGGCAGGCGGCGTCAGTGTATTCCCGCCACTAGCACATGCGCATGAGACCCTGCCGGCCGACATGATGGCACCACAGCGGCCGTAAGCTGACACAAAGAGCGGAAGGAAGACGCACAGTCATTGTGGTGTGTGCCGTGTTCTCTCAGTGACGTGTTTCCCTCGTTGTCGAGCGTGGATCGTCCATTGTGTCACCGGGGCCCCCCGCCGCTCGTCTCCTGCCCCAGGTGAGGACGGACAGGCCCCCTTCACACAATACGCGCACTCGTGGGTGGCTTTCTTGGGTCTTCTCAGGTCATCGAAGCCATCATTGAGTCAGGATGAGGGTCGTTTCTACCAGTCGGAAGACGCAGCTCATTTGGCGCCATTCTATGAGCAGAGGTACGCGCTGCCAGCACACCAGCACGGCAACCTCTGAGTTTCATCCCCGTCTGTGTCGTATGGTGTCAGCTCTTCGTACGATGTCTTCCCGTCGTCCAGCAGCTACGACTACCACCCCAGTGAGCCAGCTCCCTCATCACCGACACCACCACCACCACCACCAGCAAGTGCACCAAGTGCCGCTCCTTCTCAGCCACTTGACCAATCGTACGCCACACCCTCACTCAGACAGGGAAAAGGCAGCTCTATCTCGTTTCCCTTGTCAGCTATGAGTGGGGCTATCCCTTCAGTGGCCCATTCGACGATTCATCGCAATACCACCGCACAGAGGCAGAGTACGCACACGCCAATGAGCAGCTAGCTCGTCACCCACCTGCATCGCGTGTCTCGATTGGCAGGCCTTACGAGCCTGAGTGGCCGTCATGGGCTGACGAGGACATCCCTGACAGTGAGGTGCCGCTCCCGGGTCCCATCTTCGAAGATGAGGAGGTCGACCAGCCGCAGCCGCACTCAGCTGACTCGTATGCGGCCGCTGCTGCTGCTGCTGCTACTGGTGGTGGTGGTGCAGATGATAGGTGCGCACACACACATAGACGATGACCGGTGTGGATGGACGGGTTCTGTGCAGCATGGGTGTGTCGTCCCGTGAGGCTGAGCTGCAGCGGCAGAATGATGAGCTGGCCAGGCAACTAGAGGAGACCCAGCGGAGGTAGGCAAGCGTACTCACCTGCCCCGGCCCCCCGCACCTGGTGCAAGTGCCATTCCTTCCTCGCTCAGGTTGGCCGAGTTGAGCGTCCAGCAGCAGCCCCATTCATCCCAGCCGCCCTCATCCAGCAGCTCGGCTGCCCCTCCACCGCTCCCGTCGCCACCGCAGGTGGCCGGCATTGGTGCCGACGGCGACCTGCCACCGGGCGAGTGTGTGATATGTTTCGGGGAGCACGGCGTTGCGTCCATCATGTACGTGCCCTGCAAGCACCTGTGTGTGTGCGGCCACTGCTATGCCGACCGCAGGCGGCGCCACGAGGCTCGGGTGCGGCGGCACAACGCCCGTGCTGAGAGCGAGGCTGACAAGCGGTCCATCCCCAAGTTCGAGTGTGACATCTGCCGCAAGGAGGTCGACTACGCCGGGACTCGAGCGGAAGTGCTCCAGTGGATCGGACAGCCATTCACCTAGACAGACAGCACTCTGACTGACGAATTGAATGACTTGTGAGGGTTTATGTGGCGTCATGTAATTGATGATGGTCTGTGTGGTGTTTCGTTTTTTGCTCTCAATGTGTGCCTCTCGCGTGCTCCGCGTGTGGAGCGAGCGAGACGGCGTGTACCCTTTTTCCCTTGCCAGGTACTGTATGCTCTTTGTGTGTGCATGGGAGTGTGGAAGGCAGCATGCTCATCTACTACGAGCCGGCCGTGACGTGAAGCACATCAGCAACACGCATTGTTGATCACCATGCATGTGCGGACAAACGCTTAAGTCGTCGCCTTCACGAACTCCGCCATCCATTCATCAAGGGCGGGTAGCACAGATTCTATCGATCCCACCATTCGCAGCGGAGGCACACAGCGGGTTTGAGTCCCGCCCTGTCTTGCTTTGCCCGTTTGTGCTCATGGTTTGTTAATGCTGTTGTGGTCGCCGGTCCGTACCCGCCCAAGAATCCGCGCATATCGCGATCACGACAGTCACTCAGCCACTCGTCAGGAGCAGAGGGTCATGAATCGCCTCTCTATGGTCAGTCACAAGCCATCGCCTGTCCTTCCTTCCCTGCCGTGTGCCTTTCGTCCTCTTTGTCCTCGGGCGAGGAGCGCGAGCCGCCTGTCCGTGATAGGCAGACAGACGGCTGTCGTTCCACCATCGAAGATGAAGAAAGCAACGGCAGGCACGTTTCCCACCGCACCCGGCATGCAACGTCAAAAAACCGTCAGAAACAGAGAGAGTGGATACAGCACTCAGTAGCGTCGTCTCAACAGCCGCCGTTCCGTGTGCCATCATCGTACGACACTGTCATCATCTCCTCTTGCGCTGCTTCCTCCCCGCAGTGCTATCGGTAGCGTCCACGTTGAGCTCATCATAGATCTTCGCCAGCTCCCCCGTCGGCACAGAGTTGAAGTAGATGATCCTGAGCGACCAAACACACGCACGCACCGGTGCACAGAGGACACACCCATAGACAAACGCGCGGCGCGCAGGCATATCTCTCTCACTGCACAGCTCACCCGATGATGATGGCGCCGGCAACGATGGCAGCAGTGATGGGCAGGATGAGCAGAGCCTGTCGAGAGAAGTTTTTGATCAAGAAGTCGGCAAGGCGGTTCAGCAGCCCGACAGAATCGGCTTGGGAGAGGATGAAAGATGACTCAGCTGGCATCAGTGACAGTGGATCTGAGGACAGCGATAGCTGGGACAGCTGGGTGGGCTCCAGTGCTGTCCTTGGAGGTGCATGGCTGCGAGGTCGGTGCCGGATCAGCTGTGGTGTGCGAACGAAAGCGGGAGGGGAGGCAGCGAAGGACGTAAGGACGCATGCAGCGATGGATAGCAGCCACAGCATTATTGGGAGGAACATGAGTCAGCGGTTAAGCTCGCAGAGGCCCCTCCCGAGCCCCCGTCTCATTCAAGTTCTCCCCCTCTTCCCCTCCCCCCTTCCCCCCGCAATGGCGGAGAAGGAGCAGTTCAAGGAGCCGGCGAACTTTAAGCCTGGCGATCTTTATTTCTTTGACAAGTCCGTACGCGAATGGGTGCATGATGGCACCAGTTGCCTCATCCGTGTGTCCAAATGTGTGTGCAGGGAGACCAACCAGCGTCTGCTGCGTCTGCAGAACGCCGACAATGACCGCAGCAAGTCCAAGACGCCACCCAAGTTCACCCTGTCCAACAAGCTGATGAGCGACACCCTCTTCCAACCCATATTGCAGGTGCCCCTCGATTGGCCACAATATGCATATATCCACACCTTACTTACCTGTGCGTGTTGTGTGTCCAATCGACCCGCGTCTGCAGTATTTTCTCAGTTTCGGCGTCAAGAAGGTCGGCAGCCTGCCGCCTGTGCTGTCATCTTCGGAACAAGAGGACCTTGCCGGCGTGTCGGATGACGACGGCAGCGGCAACAAGCAGCTGAAGGTCAAGGGAGCCGATTTGCGTCGGAGCGTGCAGTATCTGCAAAAGAAGATGGAGCAGAGCGAGGAGAAGAGATGGGAGTACTATGAAGCACTCACTGAGCGGCTCAAGGAGCTCAAGAAGCAGCAGAGAAGGGCCACGCTGGCCGATGAGACGGCCAATGAGTACGCAGTCGTCAGCCAGCTGCTGACCGAGAGGCATGCTGAGCTGCAGGCGTGTGCCTTCGACTTTGGGATTGAGGTGGTGGGGCGGTGCGTCGTCATCATTGACGCCAGCAAGGATATGGAAGAGTTCCTGACAGACATCAGACAGCATCTGAGCCAGGTAGGTAACGAGCGATTCCGAACGTCTCTCTCCCTGCCTCCAGCCACCCAACGATCTGCTGGCTGGTTGCGGTGCAGTTTGTGGAGGAGGACTTGCAGCTGACGATGTTCAACCTCGTGTTGGTGGGAGATGAGGTCGAGTGGTGGCGTGATGACCTGCCCGATGCTATGGACGAGACGCAGACGCAATCCGCCCTCAAGTGGATCAAGACGCGCCTCGCCAAGCCATCCAAGAAGCTGGCGGGCCATGTGGATCTCGTGGAGGCCATCCGACGCGCACTCACCTGGCGGCCAAGCATCCTCTACCTCGTCTCCCACTTCGCACCAGGCGAGTCTCATCCATCAACCTACTCATCGGCGTCATTCGTCACGTCATTTCTTTGTGTCTGTTTGCGCGTGCAGGCGCTGCTCGCGATCGGGAGGAGTCTTTGCGACTGATAAGGAACTACTGCGCGTTCGGGCAGCCGGATGGCCAGGACCCACCTGAAAAAGAAGAGCCCGTGGACGACTCGCCCATCGCCCCTGCACCCCCACCACGCCCCTCGACTGCCAGATCTGCGCAGAGACAGGCCGACGAAGAGACGAAGAGCACCAGGTAATAGCGCGCACACAGGAGACAGAGCAGCTGTCTCTCTCTGTGTGTGCACTGGTACACTGACTGCAGGGGCCCGAAACAGCTGGGTGTTCCTGCATCGAAGCTGGACCAGTCGGATGCGGCTTCAGAGACGAGTGCACCGTCGGCCAAGGGAGACGACTGGGCGTGCGCCCTCAGATACCTGGCCTTCGAGGCAAAGCTGCGGCAGAGCGACGAAATCTTCTTCGCTGAGCTGGAGAGAGCTGCCATGCCTATCGCCTGGAGCGAAAGCAAGAAGGAAGAGTCCTTCAAGAAACACTTTCGGTAGGACCGGGGCTGATCGCATCTCTGTCTGTGTGGCAGTGAAAGGACGGACGCCTTTGGTGTCTGTCAGAATATCTCCCCGTGAGGACATGTGGCGGTCCGTGGGCGATTGTGTCAAGAAGGTCCAGAAGCTGAGAAGCAAGCTCAAGGCTCTGCAGAGCGCATATAAACTGAGAGACAAACTGCAAGAGGAAATACCGGTATGTGTGTACAATGCAGAGACATGGGAGACAGACAGACATCCAAAGTGGGTGGCATTGTTGTCTGCAGGAGGTCCGTCAGCAGCTGCACACACAACTGGCTATCGAGAAACTCTTCAGATTCGATCAGCAGCAGGTACGTGAACCAACAGATCGTCACAACATCGGGACATGCTGTATTGCCTTTGTCTCCATGTCTGCTCCAGTGTTATCGTGCAATGGCCCGGCCAGTGACTGCCCCACCTGCAGCAGCCGCCAAACGCGCTCCGCCACAGGCCGAGAAGAAGGCGGCACCGCCCAAAGGTATGGGCGCCCGTTTGTTATGTACAATGAATGCCTTTTCATCTCATTTTGTGCAGCGAAACCGGCAGCACTCAAGAAGCAGAAGAGCCGCGAGTGCCGGGTGTCGGAGGAGGGGGCACCGGAGCCCGCGAAGCCAGTGGAGGAGGCGCCACCTGCCGAGGTGTCAGCCGCCCTGCCTGCCCCTGCTGCTGCTCCTGCTCCTGCTGCTGCTGCCATCGAGGCACAGGAGCAAGTGAGACCAGTAACTGCGGCAAAACCTGCAAAGGTATATGTTTGACCCACTGACATGTCCCAACACAAGTCTTTCTGTCTCTTCGTGGCTCGGAACAGAAGCCGCCAAGAGGCGAGCGGCCGGTGACTGCGCCGACGCCGACAGAGGAAGAGCAGCCGGCCCTGCCCGCGGTTGAGGAGCGGCCTATGTCTCCCACGGCCGTGAGCCACCGCCGGCCCAACCCGTCCACGATCAAGCCGATCAGTCCGTCGTCCACTCTGTCGCCATCGCACCGCCGCCCATCCAGTGGCACGCCCACCACACGTGACGTAGAGGACGACCGACACGCCGCAATGCAGTACCCCTCGTCAGTGCCCTCGTCAGCCCCCCAGCCGTCCGAGCGGCCGGAGCGTGTGGCAATGATCCCCATCCTGCCCGTGGACGCTGCGGGGTTGGTTGGCAGCAAAGGGTTCGCTGGATCGACCCGACAAGTAAGGGGAGGTGGATGGGGGGGAGGCAGGTCAAATAGACACAAGGAAGAGGAGGATCTGTGAATGAAGCCATCTGCCGGCGGACCTTGCCATGGCCAATATGGCAATCGGTCCGTCGGTGAGGCAAGAACATGGGACAGACACATGGGGGAGGAGACACGGCGGCCACTGAACAATGAGTGGTCTGTCGCTTTCTCGTCCGCCCTGCATGTCGTGTAGGATTGGTGCATATGTTTGTGTGTGCACATGGCTTGTCATCTGTCTTACTGGTCCTCTCGCAGGAGACGAGTGGTCAAGAGAGATTAGCCCGAAGACACTGATCGATTGCATTCTCTCAACCGGCCCCGAGTGCACTGTGTGTTTGGTTGTTCCATGAATGTCTGTACCATACAATGTCATGTGTGGACACTGACATGTTTGGGTGCAATGCATTGCTACCTACGGGGTCTGTTCGTGTCTTGTTTCATATCTCGTAAGTTAATCCGTTCCGACCGGGCCTTTCGCAAGTGTCTTGCGGACAGGCTAGCGCTTTCCATTCCAGATGCCTTGTGCTGGGGTGGAACATGGTGGAGACGAGTACTGGGCAAAGAGGACGCGAGGCGGGATCGAACCCGCATTGTGTCGACGCGATTGCAACTGTGCTACTCGCCCATGACGCCGGCGGGTGGTCCACTTGGTGACACGGAGCGACGGCATGTATTTTGCCTTGATTTCGGGTACTTTCGGGACTGCCTGGTTTGCTGGGAAGCACGCGCTTCGGTGCCGCGGACAGGCTAGCGCTTTCCACTTCAGATGCCTTATGCTGAGGGAGAACACAGTGGAGAGGGGTAGCGGGTAAAGAGGAGGCGAGGCGGGATCGAACCCGCATTGTGTCGACGCGATTGCAACTGTGCTGCTCGCCCATGACGCCACGGGTGGACCAGTTGGTGAGACGGAGCGACGGCATGTATTTTGCTTCACTCGTCCAGCGCTAAGCTTCGGCCCCACACACCGCGATCTTCAGTTTTTTCCCTCTCCCTCCCCACCCCGAACTGAGAGGTTTTGTCATGAATAACTCCTCTCAGATACTTCAAATGCTGGCCTGCATATCCCTCATCCTGCTTATGCTCCCTGCGGCCCTTGCGGCGGCCGCTGGTGGAATGGCACTCTCATTTGACGGGGTGGACGGTACTTCACAAATGGGGTGCGGCCGCATTGGTGGCTGTGTGTTTTGTGCACTTTGCAGACTTCCTTTATCTCATCGAAAGTGGAGGAGGCGGCATCGACTTTCTGCAGACCGATTTCACACTGGTAAGCCTGCATATTGCATTGTCTCTGCAGACCATGGCCCCTTGTGTTCCTTGGCATTTGCAGGAGTTTTGGTACCAGCAGCGTGAGTCGCAGGAGCAGAACGACATCGAGAAACAGGTCATCGTGCAGCAACAGGCCCTCTCTGGGGAGCGTATCATCGTTATTAAGGCCAAGTGGTTCCAAATCGGCTTCGTGTCGACGCGCTTCGGCTTTGACGGCGACTACGACCCTCATCATCGGGCCGTGACATGCGCTCTCAATGCCACGCTCACTGGGCAAGACTGCAAAATCTATGTGGATGGAGCGGCTCCGCCGGAAGCCCTCTTCTCTGAGCACTTTGAGACGCCATCCATCCCGGCGGATGTGCAGTCGTACCTCACCTTCGGCACTCAAGTCGACGTTTCGACCAAGGACCGCACCCACTTTAACCTCTTCAGCGGTTTTATTGATGAAGTCCGCTACTGGAAAGGCGTCCGGTCACAGGCGGATATCCAGGCAACAATGTACATGACGGGATCCACCGTCGCTTCGTGGCTCGCCGCTAATGGCAATGTGCCCCCGCTCCATGCGCAGTGGTCTTTTGATGATCCTGACGAGGCAGGGCTGATCAGGGAAGGCGGCATAACGCTCAGCCGACCTCTTTATGAAGAAAGTCCCTTCTCATTGAATGGAGGGCATCACTTTGTTCTGGCTCGCGAGGACGTCTTGAAGGAGGAATCGCTGCCAGCGGGCCTCGGGATCATCACTAACGGCGTTGTGTTCCGGTTGGAGACGAGCGACAACCGTCTGGGCATTCAGATGCAGCGACTTGGCGGGGTGAGGGAGTATGTACCTGTGGTGGGCGGCGAGATGGTTGCTCTGGCGTCTGTGTATTCCATGGACAAGTATTGGGTGCAGCCGAGCGGGACCGGTGAAGAGGAGGGGTTGGGCATGACCGTGACGCCCTGTGGGGACGGAAGCTGCTCAGTCAGGGAGGCCAGTGTGCCGTGCGTCGTGCAAGTCAAGGGCGAGACACCGCCCATTGCCGGCGGCAGCTACGTCGCTCGCCTCTTCGGCAAGTAAGTGTCCGCAGCCAGCCCATGAACAACCATGCTGGCAGTGTACGTGTGTGTCCTCTTTCAGTGATGGTTATCTGACTGCCGCTCAGCTGCCCCCGGGCCGTGATGTGACGGTGGGTAGTGAGCGCTAACCTCATATGCGGCTGTCCTGTCTGTCTGTCTGTATGTGTGTTTGCGGCCGGCCAGGTCGAAATGTGGTTCCACTGGCACTCGCTGCCCCTTGGCTACACGTGCATTTTCTCACTGGATCGGTCGGTGGGATGGAACGGCCACAAGGTGTGTCTCGACGGCGGCAACGTCATATTCCAGTTTCGCAAGGACAGCGGCAAACACACACTCATTGTCAATGAGATGCGGTAAGAGCGTGCCAGACAGAGAGACACAGACGCCGACTCAGTATGTTCCTCTCCCTCCTCCTTGCTGTATGTCAGCACGACTGTGCCACAGCACATCGCATTCAGCTGGGCGCTGGTCAACAAGACGGCGGACATATGCAATCCAGCGACACTCTGGGAGATCAGGTGCAGACAGCCTGCTCATGGTCGCATCAACACTTATTGTGTGTGTGTGAGCGGACAGGGTGTACCAAAACGGCGTCCGTCTGCCGGTGTCGCAGGTGGACAACCTCGTCACAGCACACAAGTCCCACAGGAATCAGCTGAAGCCTGAGTGTGACCTGGGAGAAACGCAGACCGCCCCAACGTTCGGCCAGGTACACCAACATCACGATCATTTCGTGGCGATTCTCGTCCATCTTTCTCCCATCCATAAAGGATTGGGACAAGGGCGGCACAAGTGGTCTGAAGCCCTCAGATTTCATCAGCGGTGAGTACAGCGAGATCAGACTTTGGAGGGGCCAGCGGACGGACCAGGAGATCGCCGAGAATTGGAACAAGCGGCTCACAGGTGAGAGAGGGAGAGGCGGCAGGAACCAATCGGCGTGTATGGCTGTGTCTCTCTCTCTGTGTGAATGTGTGAGAAATGAAGGCAGGGAAGGAAACCTTTATGTATACTACCCAATCACAGGTGTGCACTGTACCTACCGATGGGGTGGTAGATCCACAGGTCTATCCATCCATATGTATACCGAGCCGACCGACACATCTGACCACGTGGCTCTTCCTCTCCTCCTTCTCAGAGGACGACATGCTGCGCATCCCCAGCGAGGTATATGCAGACTTACATCAGTAGACAGACGGGCAAAGACACCGGCCATGTGTGTGCATTGGTTCATTCGTAGTCCAACGAGAGTCCCCTGATCAACTATGCTGCAGCCACAGGGGCAGAAATGGACGGCACACTCTGGTGCGTGTCCTCGGCATCAAGCTGCAAGCCATGGCTTCGCACGGGATTTGACGTCACCCTCGGACGAATGCCCGAACTGGCGGTGGGCGCAGCCGGCCGTGAGACACCGGAGGCGACATCGGATTTCTTCCTGTCTCAGGGCTATCCATATTCCAATGACGTGCCCTCTGCCTTCAGAAAGGCCCTCACCTTCCAGTCTTCCGACCCTGACAACATCTCATTGCGGCCGTACACGCCGCAGCTCGACGCCATCACCGTCAACGTGACTCGGCTGCCCGACAGCAGCTGCGGGTCGGTGTGGAGTGAGGACAGGGCCGACGGCACAAGCGTGAAGGTGGAGACGGAAGGGCACACCCACGATGACGCCACGCACCGATTGGTGTTTGAGGCAGAGACGCTCTCGCAGAGTATTGCCAACTGCTCCACAGGTTATCAATCAAAATGCACCACCGACGGGAGGAACTCACGCGTGTACCGCTGACTGACATCTTCCCTTTCCTGGATTTTGTGGTTGAAGGGATCGTGTACCATGCTATGGACCAGGTTGGCGGGGTCTCTGCCCACACCGCCGAGCTGGGCATCCACGTGATCCCCACAGGGCCCCAGCTGATTCATGTACGAGCCGTCGACCCCAAGCTGCCTCCGGAGGCAGGCATACAGCCAAATGACATCCTGATTCTTGCCTTTGACAGACCCACAAACATGTAAGCTGAAGACTCATGGCTCTGATTGGATGCCTGCCTCTTTGTGGTCGGGTGTGTTGACAGGCCGCCGATTGATGACTTGGCTACATTGAAGCGCTTCGTCACTCTCACAGATGGGTCGTGGGGCGATGAAATCAACCTCAGCATCAAGGTCCGCTGCACACGCATGGCATGCATCCAAGCAGACGTGTGTACGTTCGATTCCCTCTGTCTCTCCTTCGCCGTCAGGGAGTGTGGTCTCGCCTGTCCCATGGCCGCACTCTCACTGTCCAGTTCCTCGCCGTCAACACATCACAGCCGCCCATCTTCAACACATCCACAGTCGTCCATGTCGTTGGCGGCAGCGAAGCACTCGACTCTCAGCTCTTTGGGAGGCCGAGGCCTGTGATTGGCGACGCAGCCATGGACACACAAGAGGACATTGACAAGGTGAAGCCGACATAACACTGGTCTAAACTTACATGTCTCCGACCCTGTGGTTCTGTGTCTGCAGAATACTCTGCGTGGGACGAGTGAGGACGGCGGTCGCATGTACTGGGCCAACACGAGCCTGTCAATCAGCGACACCACCTTCAGTGTCAGGCCATGCCCCGCTGACCAAGTTTTCTCGAAGCTCACCGGACAGTGAGTGACAGACACATTGAGACCTATAGATAGACACACACATATATCACGCAGAGAGGCGAAGCAGAGCAAGGGAGGGCTGTTCTTTTGTGCAGGTGTTCGTACTGCGGCGCGAATCAAGTTCAAAGTGACGACGGCCTCGAGTGCACATGCCTGCCAGGACACCAGCCATACGATAGTGACACCGTCCCACCTCCCGAGATGATAGGCAACCTGTCGAGCAACGACCTGGTCTGCATCTCTTGTCCCCCTGGTACCGAGGGGAGGGACGGCTTGAGCTGTCTTCCCTGTGCAGAAGGCCTTTTCAGCTTGGGAAGTGGTCAGGTAGTGTGCTCGCCATGCCCCGTAAGCCACTCAGATGTGCCACATTCATAAACTTGTTGGTCACTGCTGCACAATGCAGGTTGGTCGTTACCGCAACTCATCGACGAGTGCGGCCGAAGAGTGTGTGTCGTGCCCGCCCGGCACTGCAGCGCCCAAGGTCGGTCTGGCTGAGTGCCAACCGTGTCCGCCCGGCAGATACAGACCCGCAGACGTCGCCGACGCCAGCCAGTGTCTCAGGTAAGTACATTCATTTGTGTCGCAGAGACAAGGCACAAGTAACAGTGACACTTCTTTCTCTGTGTTGTACCTATCCATCCATTTAGATGCGGTGAAGGTTATTACCAGAACGAGACCGGTCAGGTGTCCTGTCATCGGTGCCCCGCCAACACAGGCAAAACCACCCTCTACCCTGGGGCCGAGACAATCGATGAGTGTGTGGTACGTAAGTAAAATGTGCTCATTGGGTGTCATGGAGGGGGTGATGCTGATCCGGTTTGTGTCTTGTCTCTTTGTTTGTCTGTGTGTCAGTGCCCCGCCGGCTTCTACCTCAACCAGCGAAAAGACACCTGCACCGAGTGACACGAAGGTGAGAATACTACGCTATGCTATCTACACTCATGCCATGCGTGTGTCGATCGATGCGTCGTCTCCACGAAGGTTTTCACTGTGAGGGCCGGAGTGTCCTCCCACGAGTAAAGGAGAGCTACGGGGTGGACAAAGTGGCCGACCCGACGACCGTCGACAAACTGGATGTCTACCGGTGCAGCATGGAGAACGCATGCCCCCCCAGATATGTCAATGAGACCATGTGCAAGGAGGGCGCCACTGGCAGGGTGTGCGAGAGATGCGAGGAAGGATACTTTAAAAAAGGACCGGGTCAGCGACAAAAAAAGCACCATACGCAGGCTTGTGTCTCATGTGGTGTGTGTGTATCAGGCCGTTGTGGCAAGTGCAAGACAACCGATTTCTCGGCCTTCTGGCTGTTCCTCTTCCTGGGCGTGGTGGTGGCCATCATCCTCTATGCGACAATGAACCGGCCACTCACCAACGAGCTGGCGTCGTCGGTGGCCATTAGTATGGCTCTCGGCCTCATGGTACGCAGAAGGAATGCGAGCAAAGCCCCCACCTGGTCGACTGTGTGTGTGCGTATGCGTGTGTCCCTCTGGGTGGTCTTGTCACGCCTTCTGCGGTTTTGCAGCTGAATTTCTTCCAAACGATCGGTTGGGGATGGGTGGACGGACGGAGGGACGGAGGGACGGAGGGACGGATGGAAGGCGCACATTAATTACATTGTGTTGGTTGGCGGGGTTGCTGTGTTGTTCAGGCATCTACAACAACTTGCAAATTGTGTGGAACGAGCCATTTTTAAGTATACTCCAGTTCGGACGGGTCAGTCAGTCCGCACCCTCATATCCTCATATGCTCACTCTTTCCCATGTCTCCCTCCCTGGATGAATCTGTCCCTCGCTTCACGTGGACGCGCAGATATTCATCTTCGAAGTGAGCAAGCCACATATTGACTTACACGAGCCCCAATGCTCATGCCCCTCTCTCAATGAATTCCTCGCCACAGATGAGCTTCCTACGCCCCGACTGCAGCATGAGCATAGGCCCCGTCGGCCGATACGCCCTGCGCATGGCTTTCCCCCTCATCGTCCTCGGCATCTATCTAGCCCTCTACTTTATCTCCATACTCATTGCCGTGGCGCGCGACCGATTCATTGGTGGGTCAGAAAACCCACAAACGAGTGACCTCGCGGTGTGTGTTCTTCGGCATTTACAGGCCCCGCACTGAAGGAGGAGGGAGATGAAGAGGCGAGAAGGAGCTGAATCGGATGGTGTCGCCGCGAGCCTCGGTGTTCTCTGACACGCAGGAGGACGACGGACGGCGGCGGAGCAGCGCCATCACCACGGCCAACGCCACCACGTACATATCGACCAAGCTGCTGCTGGAGCACCGGACGCCGCCCATCAGCTCAAGCAACCGATATTTTGACCGCTTTTATCATCTGCTGTACAACACTGTGCCGATGGACATGCACCGGATATGCAATGTGTACCTGCTCATCATCAATGCACTCTACATCTCACTCTGGTATATATACACGTCTCTCTCTTCATTTGATCATCGAGACACGATCATGTGATGTGACCGACCGCTGTCTCCCTTGCTTGCCTTTGTGCAGCACCAACAGCTTCATCGTCTTCCAGTGCTACCAACACCCATGGCCCAACAGTGAGCACGCCACATACTTATTTACACGGGCCCTGGCACTGCTCATGCCTCTCAATGAATTCCTCGCCACAGATCGGTGGTCTCTGGTGGAGTTCCCGGATGTGCTGTGCCATGACGACTTCTGGTTCAAAAACCTCTTGCCGCTCGGCCTATTCGGCATCAACTGCTATGTGGTGGGTGTGCTGTGCTTCTTCTCCTGGCTAAACTGGAACGCACCCAAGTTCTTCCACACGCACCCAGGCTTCAGGTGAGAAATGAGGTACTCACTGCAGTCAGTACCGAGGGAAGAAGGGGTGCACGTGGGCCTCTCTCTTTCAGGATTCGCTACCGGTTTCTGTTGGCTGACTTTCGCCTTGACGTCTGGTGAGACACACCGTGCAATGCACTGCATGCATCAACGTGTGTGTATAGGGTCTCCTTCAAATAATACAGGTACTGGGGAATAGTCTTCCTTGTCCGCAACACACTGCTTACCGTTACACCGCTCATAGCCCACAACGACGGCAACATGCAGGCGACTGTCCTTATCTGTATCCTGACCTTCTTCCTTGTCCTTCATGTCTTCTACTGGCCCTGGGCAAGTGAGTGGCTCGCTACTGGCCCCATCAATGCGTCTCTCTCTCTCTCTCTCTGCGTGTGTCCGCGATGGGATGCATCCACAGGCCCCGCCAACAACGTGTTGGACACGGTCATCCTGTGCGGTCTGATTATCGTGTCTGGCGTGGGTTCGTACTTCGCCGACCGTCATGAGGACAAGGCGCCCGTCTTCGCCTACTTGCTGCTCACTGTGTTCGTGCTCGTCAACCTGTGCTGCGTCGCCTGCATTTTGTGGGCCATACGGATGCACAGAAAAAAGGTCAGCAGAGCAGACACACTGCGTTTTGGATCAACACAGATAGTTGCATATGCTGGCTGCAGGTGTTTAAGTTCGCCCAGGATGAAGACGTCGTGAGGCGGCTGATGGGGTTCTGCGCCTACGCGGAGGGCCGCGGCCAGAAGGAGCTCACTAGGAAGTTCCAAAAGTTGCCACGGTACGGTAACCAGGTTTGCATTTCACCAGAATGGCATCCTGGCTCTCTCTTCCCCTCCCCTCGCCAGGTATGATCACCAGCAGATCGAGCGTACGGTGAATGTGTTTGAGATGGAAATGATGGGTCTCCTCCGCAAACCCACCGGCCAGTCGGCCAAGCAGTCCAAACGATCCAATCGCCTCATCACCGCCGCCTCACAGCTGATGGAAGAGTCAAAACTGCCCGCAGACTACGCCAAAGAACTCGGCCAGACCTTCACCGAGCTGGAGGCCGAGCACCATCACAACGACGAGACAGCAGATGCGCATGAGGACGCCGTGCTGCAACTGAGCCCCCGGCCATCCAAGGCCAACAACGCCCTCGTCGAGAAACAAGACCACCAGCACCCACAGGCCGATGCAGCGAATAATGAGACACAACAGCACCAGCAGCAGCAGCAGGACTCGCCAGAGAATATGGGCGAGTACGAGCGTGATGGGCAAGACGGAGAGGAGAGACAGCTTGAGGAGGCGATGGCCATAAGCTCTGAGGGCGTGTCTCTGCGGACGCACACCGACGATGACAACGGAGACATACCGATGGAGCAGAATGAGGGCGGCGCGAAAGCGCCCCCCTCCCCTACGGACAACACGCGAAGGGCCCCTGAGACACGAATGTAGTGTCTTCCTTGTGCAGATGTGTAGACAGACCTGTGAGAAGTTCGTATGGGCGCGAAGGGTAGTTATGGGCCGCGGCCAATATTGGCATGCGGATTTGTAGCCAAAACTAGCCTCCAGTAGATACTCCTTAGTAGTTCATGCAGCCACAGTGGCCTGTGTGTGTGTGTGGCTACTTCCGTGTTTCATTTGCTGGATGGTTCGGCTCGCAGCCTCTCGACCGCGCTCCTCTTGACTTCGCGTTGGCCTTTACATGCTCTAAGTGGACCCCGTTTGTGTGTATTGTATGTGCCAATAGCGTTGGAAACGCAGAGGATTCACTCACTGATGCACGTGTGTCTCTTATTTTATGACCATCCAAAGATGCAAAAGACAACAAGAGAAGCGCGCGGCCCGCCCGTCCCGTCGAGGAGCACTCACTATGCATAAAAGCAACCAGACCAGCAAAAGGGTATGTCTGTCCGCCGCACGTCGACAATTAACACACACTGATGTGTTCCTGTCTGTCTGTCTTGCTGTCTGTCTGTCTCTTATGCAATCATGCACCCGCCAACAAAGACTCGTGATTAGCCCCATCCTGCTGAGTCAATGCACTGTCCATCTGCCCCTCCTCCGCTGTCGTCATCGTGTCCATCGCCCGCACACACGGCGCGACAGCCTTGCTTTCAGACTCGCCCCCCGCACCCGCACCCGCATCCGCACCCGGCCCCTCCCCTGCCACTTCCGCCCCGTTCGCACTCACACACGTCCCCAATGCCGTCTTGTGATGGCCATGGTGCCCTGGCGAAGGTGGCTGGTGGGAGAACGACAAGTTGCTGCGAGATACGGGCTGGTGCTGGTGCCGGTGCTGGTGCTGGTGCGATGTCCGTCGCCGGCGCTTGGTCCTGTTGGGTGAGAGCCCCGCCCCCCACTTCTTCTTGAGAGGCGATGGTGTGTGCAGTGCGGTGGCATGTAGAGGGGTGCCGGGGTTGTGAGGAGTGGAGGTCGTGCAGGGCTGCATGGATTGGGGGTGCTGCATGGCGGTGTTGGTGAGCTTCTTGCCGGCCGGCAGGAGCGGGAGCTTGAATTTGGGCTCGGCGAGTGTGTATGGAGAGACGATGATGGGGTACATCTCCATGTGGTGCTGGTTGATGATCCGCTCACTGGCCTCTGTGGGCCGCCACTGGAGACCCTCGGCACGCTTGGTTGCCGCCTTGCGGGCCTCCCCTGCATGCAGGTCGCCGCCCCTCTCCGATGTCAGACTGAAGTACCTGCACACACCACACCGCCGTACAGAGATGGATGGATGGATGGATGATGGGTGATGAGACAACGTGCCGTTTGTCGACTCTGACTGACTGACCGTATGTTTGCTTTGTTATTGTGTCCCCAGAAGCCGTGCCTCTTCTTGGCCAGCTCGCTCACCCCCGTGCGAGAACTCGAACCGAATCGCCAACCCTGCACACACACACACAACACAGGCCAGCAATGCATGTGTGTCTCTCTCTCGTGGGGCCTTTGTGACTCACCTTGAGAATGTTGCTATCATGCGGCCGCATGCCGCCTGGCTCGTCGCTCTCGAAGAGGCCTCTCTCCTCGCCGGCTATCTCATGCTCATTCTCAGCCAGCATCTGCTCCAGCTCCTCACGCATCACCAGAAGCTCGTCAGCCACCTTGCTCAGCGGCCTTAGGCCGTCCGACTCGTTGTTCATCGGCTCATCTGCGGGGGCGTCGCTGCCCGTGATGGCCTCCTTTGTCTCCTCTGATCCAGAGCCTTTGATGGTGGTCGAAATGTCACCGTTTTGCAACGCCTGTGTGGAGGCGTCAGAGGTGATGGTGGGGGCGGCGGCGTCGACCATCGCTGCTTTCTTTGCAGGGGGCAAGGACGAGTGAGGAATCAGTCGAGAGAGAGAGAGCCGGCATGGTTCTACACCAGAAATAATTCATTTGGCGATGGGAGACGCAAGCTTTGAGCTCGCAAATTGCTCGCACTGTTCCGTCGGAGGGGAAACTACTCGGGGCGAGAGGACCGGACGTGACAGTCAAGATCGAGATGGCGTCGCTTCTTTCCAGCCTGCTCTCCATCGTGTCCGTTGCTCTCCTCTGCCCGGCAAGATCTGCCCCTTTTCCCTCTTCTCATGACCCAGCCTTTCAGCCCGTGACGCCCTTCAGGTCACGCCTTCAGTCAGCATGGCCACTCAGATCTCCACGCGAAGCAGCGCGGCAATGGGCGTCGCCACTGCGGATGGCGATGGAGCGGACGTACATCATGGTCAAGCCCGACGGCGTGCAGAGGAAGGTGGTCGGGGACATTGTCGGCAGATTTGAGTCGAAAGGGTGAGAGGGAGGCAACACACACACACTTGAGCGAGTGATAAGATCACGTTTTGCATGCGGTCTGTGGCGGGCAGGTATCAGTTGGTGGGGATGAAGATGGTGCAGCCCGACCGGTCTTTGCTCGAGGACCACTACGACTCCCTCAAAGAGAAGCCCTTCTTCCCCAAACTGATGGACTATATGAGCAGCGGGCCCGTCATCGCTATGGTCTGGTCGGGCAAGGACGTCGTTGCCACAGGTACACGTGACACAACAGATCACACAGACGGACACAGCGGCTTATTCACCGTCTGTTGTGTGTCGGTCTGCTCGTTGTCCCTCCAGGTCGCAAGATGCTGGGCGCGACCAACCCCTTGGACAGCGCGCCCGGCACCATTCGCGGCGACTACGCCATCGATGTGGGTCGGAACATCATCCACGGCAGCGACAGTGTGGAGAGCGCTGAGCGCGAGATCGGCCTGTGGTTCACCGATGACGAGCTCATGAGCTGGCAAGACCACTCACACGACTGGGTCTATGAGTGAATCGTGCATGCGTGTGTGCGTGCCGGTAGTGTGGTGCCTGTGCCGGTGATGGGTGTGTGACAACTGTATAGCGTGTAGGCCCCCATACACAACGCGTGTATGACCGATGGATGGATGGATGGATGGATGGATGGATGGGCTGCGCGATGCGCTCGCCCGGACTTTTTCCCGCTAACTCACTGCTCTGCACTCTACGTGCCTGTCTCATGTGGATGAGGGAAGGAAGGACGTTTTCGACATGATGTCGCTCAATGGCTCCTTGGTGCAGCGCTTGTGAGATTCTGGCCGTGCACGTCTTATCACTCAAAGCAAGCACTTTGAGCGGTAAGTCGTGCGTGGCGGGCGAGACACAAGCGCTGGGTCAGGGACGAGAACGAGTGACAGACTGGCTGGATGATGGATGCGCCCTGACAACACTTTTCCCTTTCGTCTCATTCGGGTGTGCCGTCTGTGTGGTGGTTTTCCGTGGTGGGGTGCTCCGAGGGGCAGCCACGTCCAGCAGGGCATTTCCTTGCTGAGTGGCCTCTCCATGCTGGCCACCACGGGAAAGGAAGACAGAGATGGTGTCGATCCTTGCTGCGCTATCAATGAGAGCAAACATTGGTGCCCATTGGATACTCTTCTCGTGCGTGTGTGTGTCGGTGTGTGTCGGCCTTGAGCTGCTGATGGGTGGCGTGTGGTAACTTGTCGAGCGGTGTGACGAACGGAGCTTCACACACAAATAGAAAGCATCTGTCGTCACACTGTTGGATGCGCGCCCGCTGCCACCCTCGCAGGAAGACCGAAACGAATATACAGGGAATACATTGACGCGACGGACGAGCCAAAGTCCTCCCCAGACAATTCAATCCCACGAGTCTCAGCATCAGTCCAGCACACCCGAAGCTACTCGCAATCATGTCATCTACCCAATATATCCCATCCATCTACTGTCCGATTTCGACTAGCCCCGCCGCGGATCCTCCCCGTCCCGCCGTGCCGCCCCATTAGAACCCCCCCAGTGCCGCCCCCACACCGCCTCGCCACCTCCTCCCTCAGGGTGTCCTTCACCTCCTCACGCAGGATCTCCAGCTGCCTGGCGTGGTCCCATGTCGTTCTGCGCACACGCCTGGAGCGGCGCTCACTTGCATGCGCCACCTCGATGGCCGACACGACCTCCGTCTGCAGTGCGATGAGGGCGTCACGGGAGGTCGCAGACGCCACAGCCAACTCGGTGAGGCTGCAGAAGACACAAAGAACGCCTTTTGTGTGGGTCTGGGTGTGGGTGTGGGCGTGGGTGTGGGTGTGTGGCTGACTTGCTGTAGGGGGCGAACTGATAGGGTTGCATGAGTGGCTGAAGTCGGTGTATGTCGGGCTGGGCGGCGGTGAAGATCTCCTGCGCCTTCTGGCCATTGGTGGTGATGCGCTGAACCCTGGAAACATCGCGCCGCATCGGCCGACAGAGAGAGCGTGTTTCGACGAGCTTGCGCGCACACACACATGCATTCTGTGGTCCATCGCTCACTCCTGCTGCTGCGCTTCTATGAGTCCCTCCTGATTGCGTATCTCGCCCGCTACTTGTGCCAACTCAGCAGACAAAGCGGCAATGCTGCACACACATACACATACACATACAAAGACAGACAGACAGACGTGTGGCCAGGCCTGCCAGTGGCTGACATGGGATCGGCAGGTGGTCGAGGGCTGTCCAGATCCACCGGCCGCAAATCATCCTACGAGCCGAAACGCAGACATGAATAAGTGTGTGTGGGTGTGGGTGGGTGAGTGGATGATGTTCAGGGTGCTCGCGCCCTCACCTCCTCATGGCGTCTTCTCTGAGAGACGCCATGACGGGCCCCCTGACCGCCACCCCTGCAGGCACGGCACAGCAGCGTGTGTGCAGGTGATGCGTTGATGGATGTGCGCGGCTGGCTGGCTGGCTGGCTGGCGTGGCGTACATGTGTGTGAGTGCGACTGTCGGGGCTGTAGGGGGGGAGACTAAGGCGTGGCAGGCGGCCTCACGAGCCTCTCGATGCACTGAGACTATCGCCACCCTGATGGATGGATCAATGACACACACAAGGGAATGACACATGCCCAGTGCCCGCCCCCCGCTCTGTCTGTGTCCCCTCACTCATCACTGACCGTCTAGATCGTTCATCATAGTAGATGAGTGTGTGTGTGGTGTCGGCCAGCCGGTCGGGCGGCCTCCCCCCCGTGTAGCCCTTGACCACCAGCACGTCCTCCCTCTCAGGCAGGTCAAACCACAGCTCACCGTCCTTGCCCTGCTCCCACAGCGCCTGCAGACGGAGATACGCTATCGCGGCACGCCGCTCCTCACGCATCCCTGACAAGAAATTGAACCACGCAGGACCAATCCACAGACACGGTGTGTGGTATATGTGCGCTGCTTGCTGACCCCCGATGACTACGAAGTTTCCGACCCTCTCCACGCCGCACGCGCCAGACGCCCGAGCGACCCGCCGCGTCAGCCCGGCCATGCGCCCCTCGTCCATACGGCGGAACACATGTAGCGTTGATTCGCTGGGGAGATCATCACCCGACAACGCTATGCGGTCAATGACCAACTCGTCTCGTCGGCTGTGGCGGCTATCGGTCCACTCTGAGGCAATGGGCCGACAACAAAGCGTGTAGGGGTAGATGGGTCTTCACGTGTGTGTGCGTGTGCGGGAGTGTTGATGACTCACGTCCCGAGAAGAATCGTGCTGCGGCCGGGTGGTCGGTGCTCTCCACCAGGCGCATGAGCAGCATCCTGGCGGCCATGCAGGCACGCCTGACAGACGACACGACACGACACGACACGAAACGACACGACACATCACATCAACACAAAGCGCTGCCTCCATCCGTTCTGGAGTGTGTGTTGCTGCTCACCGAGACTGTCCGAATATGAAGATGCCGTGCTGATCTGATCCCTTGAACCTGCCAGGTATTACCAGACACCCGCACTCGCGCATTGCCTGGACGTTAGGCCCCCCTGCAGTCACACAAACAGTGCCCTTGCATTCCACACACACGTGGCGGGCGCGTCCTGTCAGTGATTCTACCCCACCCATGACGAGCGGGATGTCATCTCTGGGGACGGGCAGGAGATCCATGCCGCCGGTGTTGTCGCTATCCTTGAGCGATGCGGCGCCGTTCTCCATGTATCCCTTTAGCAACTGCAGGTACCTCCATGCCTTGCCCACGTCCTCCCTCCGCCCAGTCGCCGACATGTAGTCAACTGCAAGGAGAGGGAAAGAGCACAGCACGCATCGACGTGGCGCTGAACGCCAAAGATTTGTACCATCGACGTGTATGTGTGTGTCGGTGAGAGCCTCGGTCACACGGCGGTAGATGCCGTCGTGGGCTGTGAGGGCGTTCTCCAAGGAGGGCGGGAGGGAGCGCTCTTCGTAATGCGATGGTTGCATCCTCACTGCTTCTTAGTCGCCGATGCCGTGCGTGTGTGGCGAGAGCCACTGGTATCTTCAGATGGATGGATGCTTGCGTGGTTGATCATCTACGGCGTCTGATGGCCTAAGGTGGCGTGAAACCGATGTCCGTTTACCACATAGGGAGAAGCCAAAATCATGGGTTCCCTTGTTTTGTCACTGCTCGTCACTCTCCTACACCTACTGAGTGGCACCCATGAACTCACAATCCACCCACCAGCCGTCGTCCAGAACATCACCGATGCGGCCACGGTGGAGCTGAAGATCACCAACGACGACGATGCCGCTCTCTCTCTGGACGTGCATGTGACCGATATCAAGTACAGCCCCTTCTTCTGGCCGAAAGACGGTGTCTGGACGGCTGAAGACTGGCGCCGATATTGGCAGACCCGCCATCCGCCGGGCGAGAACCACACTGGGGTGTTCTCAAACACGACAGGTGAGGCAAGGCAAGCAACGGGAGAATTGCATGCACTAAAAACATGCATTACATTGCCCTTTCTCTTGCAGAAACATGGCTGCCATCCGGCGGGCACTTCCACTCATTCGGCTTCCGTGAGCAGCCCGGTGTCTTCTCGGCTCGACACGTCCTTCCTGGTGGCGCAACCGACTTCTTTGACGCGTCAAAATCATCGCCATGGAACGAGATTGCCTACAGCCCAGCACTAGCATGGTCGAAGGGCGGGCCCTTCGGCAAACGGGGCGTTCAGACGCTTCCATACTTCGCTGTATCGGATGTCGCTCCCTTCTGGGCCAGCTTCTTTGACTGGGGCTGGATTGGGATCGCGAGATGGTCGTGGAGTGATATCTGGGAGTGGGGCTGGGTCGGCATTGGCCGAGAAGACTCGCCGATGGTTTGATCCTTCTTATTTTGGCTGGTATGGCATTGAAGCGGACACTCACCCGATCTATCCATTGCATTTGTTTGTCTGTCTGTGTAGGGGCTGGTTTGGCATAGCCCGCTGGACCCCATGGGACTGGTAATGAGGCGGATCGGCACAAAGAAACAGATTGCATCAGCTGTGGTGCGCATGTTCTGTGTATACCACACACATCAGGGGCCATGTTGGCACAGGTCGATGGACAGGCGATTGGGGCTGGGTTGGCATCGGACGCTGGACTGGCGATTGGGGCTGGGTCGGCATCGGCCGTGGTCGGTGGAATCCAGACTGGGGATGGACCGGTTAGCAGGCTAGCAGACATGTGCCTCAGGTGCATCTCGTGTGTCCGGCCTCTTTCTGCAGGCATTGCTCGTTGGAACCCTGGATGGGTGGGTACACAGAGATAGATAAGACACACGAATAAATCGGTGACAAGACGCTGACCTTGTTTGCTTTAATCAATCTTTTGCAGGGATGGACGGGCATCGCGCGCTATTGGTAGCAAAGAGACACATCCATAATTGCAGCAGTGACTACTGGTGTGTGTTTGCGTGCGTGTCGACAGGAATCCGCACTCGTACTTCGGCTGGGGGTGAGAGGTTGATGGCTTTCGATGAAAGCCGCTCCCGTCCTGTTTGAATCGGTTCAGGTGGGTCGGCACCGGACGATGGAGCTGGGATGATTTCTGGGGATGGGTATGCACACACGGCTGAGAAAAAGGGAAACCAACAGCGAATATCCTTTTGGTGTGGTGTGTACCGGAAGGGCTGGGTTGGAATCGGGAGGTGGGTGTCGCCAGCGTATTTTGGCTGGTGAGGCACGACATGCCAGCTGCGATTCTTTTGGCTCCTCACCGCTCTGTCCTTCCCTGCAAAACGGTTCAGGGGCTGGGTTGGTGTCGCGAGATGGCATCCGGATATCTATGGCTGGGGCCACGTCGGCATCGGCCGATGGAACCCTTATTGGTACCAACGCAAACAAAGAATGCAGCAGCATTCATTGTCTTCCTGTTTCCTGCTCTCAGGGGCTGGGTCGGCATTGCGCGCGGCTGGTGGACTGGCGACTGGGGATGGGTGGGAATCGGCCGATGGACAGGCGATTGGGGGTGGGTTGGCATTGGACGCTGGACCGGCGATTGGGGCTGGGTCGGCATCGGCAGGAATAGCGTTCTCTTTCGCCGCCAGAACATCACGGACGATGCAGAACAGGAGGACAGCAAGCAGAAGGAGATAGCGAAGGATCGCCTGACAGCCGATAGCGGGATGGGGCGCTTCTCCGTGAGCGACTCCATGATGGAGTACTCGCCCACCGCCAGTACTTGGATGGACCTGATCGACAAGGTCATCCCTGTGGGATACTTCAGGTGAGCCGACAGGAGGCACATAGAGCAATCGATGTGCATCGTTTAGCAACGGTCATATGTGTCAGCCACAACAACACCTTCTATCCGTGGGGCGTCTACAAGGGGCCTGATGGCAACTGGCAGCCGTGGGGCTTCTTGCGCTCTTCCGAGGGGAACCTGAGGCCTTGGGGCTTCGACTACCAGAACCTGACGAAGCCCTCGGAAGACAACTACGGAGGCACTCGCTTCTGGTCTGTGCACGACGGAGAGGTAGAGCCTATCGGTCTGTTCAAGTAAGCAACGACAATGCATATAGAGAGAGAGGGATACTTCTGTCGAACGTCATGTGTGCCCGCTGCTGTTCTCAGGTCGTCCAATTGGCATCCCAATTTCCACGACTGCGCCATCGGTAAATTCCCGCATTCTGTCCATCTCTCCAGCTTCGACCTCAGTCTGTTCGAGACAGCCGAGTGGCGAGACAAGTGGGCAGACCTCACTAATCATCGCCATACGCAACGCTGACACCTTCGTGTTTTGTTCTCGCCAGCCATATCACGCCGAGGGACATCGGAATGACCAGCGAGACTACATGGGAGAGCCTCAAGGGGTAGGACGCCCTGCAGCAGTGGAACCTGGCCTTCCTCTCCTCACACGACGCGAAGCTTCTCAATAACTCCCACCCTGATGCATTCTGGAAACGACTTTCGCGAGCATCGTCCAGACAAAAAGGCGGCGCTGGCAGCTGGTTGCTCGCGGATGGCAGCTGTTTGGTTCGCCAATCAGGAAGGTGGGGCTATACCGAGGAACAGCGGAGGGAGCTGCTGCTGCAGTCCATCAAGGTCGACGAAGAGCAGAAGTTGCTCGCCATCACATTCGACACGGTAGGGAGAATTTAAGCCTGTGTGTCGATCAATGTGTCCACGCCCTTCCGTCTCGATCTGATTTGCAGTCGAGTGCATCGCTGTTCCGTCAGCTGAACGCCACGAGAGGCCGTGCTCTCTTCAATGAGTTAGTCGACATGGGCTTTTTCGCCACCTCGAGCAATACTGACAAGCAAACAGCCTTAGATCCTGTGTTCCTCGACCTCGACCTCTTCAGCATCGAGCAGGACATCGTCAACACAGAGCTCTTCACGTATGTGCCACGAGACACAGCCACATGCCATGCCAGTGGGCATCCATCCATGGTCTGTCGTGTCTCTCTCTCTCTTATCACAGCGCTAATATCTCTCTGATAATGAGCCTTGGTCTATTCCGTCTGAGCAACGAGACCGGCACAACTCCCTGGCTGCCCATGCCACTGCCTCTCATCTTGACCGCCGACGACCTTGCCAGACTCTCAACCGCACATGAGGGCATCGAGGCCGACATACAATATTCGCTCGATCGGAACCAGACCATCGTCGAGCCGGAGGAAGAGAAGTGAGACACCAACACTTAGACAAACGAGTCACTCATTGAACACTGAGACAAAGGAGTCACTCATTGATCACATTGCCTCGTCGCTTTGCTCGTCTTCAGGCCCACAGCCGACAGCACAGCCGTGGCCGAGCAGAAGAAGCGAGTGGCCAGAAAAAGGGCCAAGACGAAGAAACCTGACAGCTGGAGTGCCACAGCGATGCAGCAGCGGAGCATCCCCCGCCTGTTGGTTGTCTACCACAACGAAAGCGCAGCAGAGGAGGGCCGCAGACGGCTTGCAAGGAAGAACAAGGGCAAGAGAGACAAACTCAAGAGACGTGAGGAAAGGATACCTGCCAACCTGCCATTCACACATTGACCTGCCTGCCCTCTCTCCTTCGTGTCTGCAGTGATCCGACGGCACAGGAAGCTGAAGCGGACTCATGTCGACATCATCGATCTGACCGTCCCCAGTGCGACCGTCAAGAAGGAGCCCCCACCAGGCGCGTCCAGAGTCCAGAAGACAGAAGAGGACGCCCCAGTCGACATCGATATGGAGGCCATGCAGGACATCCAGAGCGCCATGGACGAGATATGTCGCGGCAAGAGGGTCGCGGTCTGTGAGGAGGACCAGGTCGTGACGGTCATGGGCACGTTGCCCAACGACCCTCAATTGGGCGAGCAGTGGGGGCTGGCCTCGAGTGGGGTCTTCGAGGGTTGGAAGATCACAACAGGCACATCGGATAGGCTACCGAAAGGTACAATCAGCAACGATTTATGAAGGTGTGCGTGCTGTAATGCGACCTTTCTGTCAGGTGCTGTGGTGGCTGTGCTTGACACTGGGATCGACTACAATCATCCCGACCTCAAGGACAATGTGTGGATCAACGAAAAGGAGCTCAACGGCAAACCGGGAAAGGATAATGACGGTGAGAAAAGACACAGCTTCGTCCGTCTGCACAGGCAATGAGCCTGTTGGCTTTTGTCTCCTCCAGACAACGGCTATGTGGATGACATCTACGGCTATGACTTCCGCAACGACGACGGCGACCCCATGGACGACGCAGGACATGGCACACACGGTGGGCAAGACATGAGACATGACATTTCACTGCTTGCACTCTCTGATCCGGCCCCACTTTGTGCAGTGAGTGGTATCATCGGTGCGAGGGGGAACAACAACAGGGGCGTCACGGGCGTCGCGTGGAAGGCACAAATCATGGCATTGAAGTTCTTGGCAGCCGACGGAAGCGGTGAGAAAATTTACATGGACAATCAACATGTTGGTTCTCTTATTCATCGATTGCTCATTTTCATTCAGGTCTTTTGTCCGATGCGATCGAGGCGCTTGAGTATGCGGTGAACAACGGCGCCCAAGTGACGAGCAACTCATGGGGAGGCGTCCGCTTCTCCTCAGCTCTCTACTCGGCCGTCGTGGCCAACATGAAGGAGAACCTCCTCTTCCTCTGTGCAGCAGGAAATGTCGGTGTGGACAGCGATATTGTTCCTGACTTCCCTGCAACCTTTGGATTGCCGTCCATGCTGGCCATCACAACACACAACGAAGAGGGCAGGCTGCCTCGTTGGGCATCGTACGGCAATGACACGATCCACCTTGCCGCTCCCGGTACCAACGTCCTGTCGACCGTTCCGAGCTTCTTCAATGACTCGTGAGAAGGAAAAGACACAGCCTGTGGTGGACATGTGAGTCTTTGTGTGCATCTGCTTGCCTCTGGCTCAGGTACATTGCCGCCAATGGGTCGTCGATGGCCGTCCCCCATGTCGCTGGCGCAGTCGCCCTCATGCTCGCCGCCAACCCTGATCTCAGCTGGGCCCAGCAGCGGCAAGCGCTGCTCGAAGGGGGCACCGAGATGCACGAGGACGACGCACAGCTGACCATCACGGGCAGGCGGCTCAACGTGAGCAGGTCGCTGCAGCTGGCTCAGGGGATGAAGGTCCTGACGTATCCAGCCACATTGAGTGTGCCGGCGAACCAGACGGTCAACCTTACTATTGGCATCAACACATCATCCGCAGGGCAATACGGGTACGTACGGACGAGCCGCGCAAACGCAGATGGAAGAACAACAATGCCTTCCTGTCTCTTTCAGGGCCACCGTGTCTATAGCGAGCAACAGCAGCATCCTCTCCCTCTCCCCCTCTCTTCGCGTCACAGCTCTCAGCAGCCCATCTATCGACCCGCCATTGCCGCAGACATTCCATCTTGGCACCAGTGCCCTCCACGTCCCCGGAAACACCATCCATCTGCCGCTCACCAACAACGGCTCAGGCGTGCTTGCTGTGGAGGTGGTGTCGATTGAGGGCGAAGGCGCGAAGGATTTTGAGGTGCTGCCACCCGCTGGGATGGTCATGACAGTGACGGCCGGACATACCTCGCATAATCTCAAGGTGATTTCGCCTTTCCAGCGAGTCGTGAATGAAACCTGAATTACCCTTGTCTCTTGGCTTTTGCAGATGCGCTGCATTCCCACGCAGAGCGGCACGCAATCCGCCACACTGCATCTGCTCACCAACGAGGCGTCAACTATCGGCTCTGATCTCAAGACCGCGAGAAACGTCACCCTCACATGTGAAGGTGCTACTTACGGCGTGTCGCCACCCATCATTCGCCACCGACTCCTTCCTAACGCCGCAAACACACACAAAATCAGAGTGAGTGAAAGAACCAGGTCATTCCGTCTTTTCTGAGACACATTAGTCTGTCCGTGGGTGGCTGCAGATCATGAACGGGGACCAGGACAGCCCCCTCCAGTATCATGGACAGCTCATCATGGACGACGATACGTCCCTGATCGCAGACTATACCGTCACACACGGCGACTTTTTCTGGTTCCCATCGGTCGAGAGGGACGACACCAACCTGACATTTGACGGCGCAAGGGAAGCCGTCGTGGCCCTGCCATTCGCCTTCCCCTTCTACGGCAACACATATGAGACCATCAGGGTCTCTCGCGACGGAGCCATCATGCTCGGCACTGACGGAGTGATCGCTGGCTATGCCTCCCGTAAGCTGGGCCATAAGAACGACAAGAAGAGTGCCGTGTACGTCCACAAGTCCCCGCACGACGTGACGATCGAGTTCAGCCACTTTCGTTTCGCCAGAAAGGGCCGTATCACGTTCCGTATCGTCATTGAGGAAAGTGGCACGATCCACCTGCTGTTTGACGACATCCGCAACATCAGCGAGGTGGCCTTCGATTCAAGCAGCGACAAGCGCGTCAAGATGGGCATCAAGGGCGGCACCACACGCAAATACCTGACAGTGGCCGAGCAGTATCCAACGAAGCATTCGGCGGTGCACTTCAAGCCGAGACGAAACAGCTGGATCAGCGTCCAGGGCACGCCATTTGGGTCGATTCCTCCCAGCAGCCAGACGGAGGTCGAAATCCACGTGACTCATGTGGCGAGACAGTTCGATCCATCCGAAGGTCCGCGAGACACACCTTCAGGAGCGAATGCGCAGACTGTCGTGTATGTCTTCTCAGTGTGCCCGAGGAATGCCTCCGTGCAGTGCGACATGGGCGGCAGCGGAGCCTTCTACGTTAAGACCAACGACTCGTCCACCAGAGTGCCGGTCGAGTTCAGTCCATTGCTGCCGCTCCCTGACCGCAAACATGACTGCGACGGCCCCAGCCCGCCCGAAGGTGACGAGAATGACAATGGAGGCGAAGCGAGCAAGGAGGGCACGATCATTCGTGCGTCGCCGCTGCTGCAATTCGACAGGCAAGAGGGGCGGCTTCTCTGATATCTATGCAGTGTTGAATTTGTGGTATGCGTCTTTGACCCGCAGGTATCCCGGTCGAGCGCTCTCGGGACATAATGACTTCCCCGTATTGCGGGCCCGAATGCTGTCAAGTGTGCTCGCACCTTTCTTGAACACCCCACGTGCAAGTCGTTTGATTACGAGCTGCTGACGACCAAGTGCAAGATGTCCAAGACAACGAAAGACCGCCATCCAGATGCCTTCATCAAACAGAAGCACGGGCAAGCACGGGCATGCCCACGAATATGCTTCTGGACTGGAAGATACACATTTGTGTTGTTCCTGCTCAGGTTTGTGGACTACTATCAACGGATTCCAGATGTCCGTCGATGAACGCGCTCACACCCAGCCCCTCCCGCGATTCGTGGCCCCGTCACTGTACGTGTTTATAGTCCTTCGCCTGATGTCCCGCGCTTTCGTGTCGGCCTTGCTCTGAATGTGAGTAGAGCAATGCTCTTCGTGGCTCATGCGCGTGCCTTGTGAGTATTTATAAGATGAGTTCCGTGGTCACTTTCTCCGGCGGCTGAGTGGTGCCAAGTCACTTTTTGTGAATGTGTGTAGAGGGAGGGAGGGACGACAAAATGCCAACATGTGCACCCACCTGCCTGTGTCCCTGCTGTATTAGTTCACGGCTCGAGTTGACTTTGCATGGTTAACCGGCAGCGCATGCGGGGAAGGCACAAATAATAATACGTCGAAACAAAAGTACATCGGAAAGTGATGCACAGGAGGATTTGGAGATGGGCGTCCTGCACCATCCTGTTGGCCCTCCAAGTGACAGCCCAACACGACGCGCAGAGGACGTCGACTCGGGGAGCCCTGCCCGCCCCAGACACGGACACCAACCCGCCGCCGCTGGCTCCCTTCGGCTATGTCTACCCCCGCCCCTATTCAGACACCATCTCACCCCTCGCCAGCATCATCATTCGGCCACCTGCAGCCGAAATCCGGGGCGCCCAGAAGATCATCAACGCCATCAAGAGGGCTGGCAAACACGTGGCAAGGAAGATACGAGTAGAGGGGTCGGAGAGCGGCAGGCACAAGGGAGTGGCGCACGTGTCGAATGACGCGATGACGGTCGTGTTCAAGCCGCATCGGCCCTTCGCGCTGGGGGAGAACGTCACGGTGACCATCGAGCCAGGCATGACCTACACTAAGATGGCCATCCCTCACCAGCCCGACACAGCAGAGGACACAGCTGATGACGAGGAGCCGTCGCCGACCGATGTGGAATTGCTGGCTCACGCAACCGAGTTGGGCGAGCAGTCGCTGACACTGGGGGGCTATCAGTGGGCATTCACCATTGCAGACGGCGTGCACTTCGACTCGCAGCAACGCGTCTTCCGCCTCGCGAGGCCACCGATGGCCGGCAAGGAGCTCAGCAACGGCGAGCACGATGGCAGCAATTGGAACGACACGCGCATCATCCAGGCAGCCACCGATCCGGTGTTCGGCGCCCTTTTCGACGATGACGAGACCTTCGCAGAGATGCTCAAGACCTTCAACAACAATGAGACCGACAACCCTCTTATCGACGACACTGTACTCGATGACGATGAAGATGAAGACGAAGACAAAGATGAGGTCATCGACGAAGACAAAGACGAGGATATCGTCGACGATATCGCAGCAGACGACGATCCTCACCTGCACGACTGGGAGAAGGACCTCAGCGAGCCGACTGAGAGCGACACCGACGACTGGCATGTGCTCCACCCCAGCCTAGCTGACGAGTATGAAACACTCGGCAAGAAGGGAGAGATGCGAAAGAAGCGGGGACCGACGGTTTCGTACGCGACTTTGGAGGAGGACTTCCCCCACATCAATGTGAAGAAGGGCAGCGGCAAGACGGCCGACGGGCTGATCTTCACCGAGTACCTGAGGCACCCTGCGGAGAGCGTGCACAACTACATCCTGATTGTGACCGATGGGGGAGACGTCGTGTGGTGGGTGGGCGGGCGGGGCACGCACACTTGACCACACACGATTTCGCATGTGTGTGTGGTGTGTGTGTGTGTGTGTGTGTGAGGTATGAGAGATGCGATTCGAGCAACCGGTTCTGGAATGGCTGGACGGTGAGAGACTTCAAAATGCACGGTGGGTGAGAGGCGAGAGCCCCATATGCTCTTTCTGCTCTGCCTGTGTGCATTCCGTTTGTGTGTCATCAGAGAACGGGGAGCTCACATACCACGACCGGTGGCTCAACGGTTGGATCCACCTCAACAGCAAATATCAGAAGATCGGCAACGGCATCATCCGCCCAAAGATGGGGTACTCGAGCGACGGCCACTGCATCACCATACGGAAAGACGGCCATCGGCTGATGCTGCTCAACGACTTCCGCGTCAAGGACATGGAACCCCAGTATGGCGGCTGGCGGAAGGCGCAGGTGCACGGCTTCGCGGTCCAGGAGCAGGACGTGAACGGGCACGTGACTTTCCAGTGGTCGTCGTGGGATCACATGCCCAAGCAGTTCAGCGAGTCCGTGAGGAACATCAAGGACGCGCTGGTCGACCACCTGCACCCCAACTCTGGTGAGAGTCAGACCCACAAACACAGCCCATACAGATGCATCGCATCCATGTCTGTGTGTGTGCCCGGGTGACTGCGTGTGTGCAGTGACGTACACGCCTGGTGGTGATATATTGGTGTCGATGAGGCACATGAACCAGATCATCGAGATCAGCAGACACGACGGGCACATCAATTGGCGCTTCGGCGGTGAGCCAGAGACAGACACAGACACAGACACATCAACGCTTCCACCTTGACACTCCATGTGCGTCCCCAGGCAACGGCGGCGACTTCAAGATCGCCCCGCAGCATCGCTTCTCGCACCAGCACGACGCCGTGCTGCGGAAGGGCGGCAAGCTGTCGTTCTTCGACAACGGCACCCTGCTGCACAGAGACCCCCTCTACTCCGCTGGCCGGCAATTCCGCATCGACCCAAAAGCCAAGTCGGCCAAACAGACGTGGGCCGTCAAGGGGCCGTTCGGCAACGCTATGGGCGGCATGCAGGCACGCGCACACATGCTTAGAGAGACAGGGGCCCATCTGCAGTGCAGATGGGTCGCTGTGTCTGTGTCTGTGTCTGTGCGTGGTTGTCCAGAACCTGCCCGGCGGCCGGAAGGCCATAACATGGGCAGGGGTGGAGTCGGAGAACTCCAACCCGCTGTACACGGAGTTCTCCCACGAGAAGGAGAAGCTGGTCGAGCTCACCTTCGCCAACGACGGCAACCTGGTCTTCAAATCCAAGAAATTCGACGGCTGGAAAGGAACAGGCGTCCGCCGCCCCAAGCTGATCGTCAGGAAAGAAGGTGGGCCGGGCCGGGATCCACACACACAGCCATCCACACACACACACACAGCCATCCACACGTATGACGGATGCCTGATGTGGTATTGGTGCTGGTGCAGACCACCACTGGGTGATGCACTATTCCTGGAACGGCGCGACCAACATCCACAAGTGGGAGGTGTATGCCGGCAAGGCCGGCCCCAAGCACCTCGTCCACACCCACAAGCACCAGCGGTTCGAATCCTTCCTGATCATCCCCAAGAATGCCGCCTGGCGGCCCAAGAAACGCAAGTGCGTCAAGCTCAAGGTGGTGCCCATCGACAAGGACGGCAACGCCCTGACGGCCAGCGACACGGTGGAGAAGGGCCCCTGCGGTGACAATGACAAGAAAGAGCAGCAGCAGGACGAGCCCTCTTTTGAGAGCAAAGGTGGCGGGGACGACGACGAGAGGAAAAAGAGGCGGAAACGGGAGAAAAGAAAGAAAAAGAAACGGCGGGAAAAGAAGACACGATCGGATGATGGGTGATGTGGTGTGCCGCTCTCTCGGTGGCCGGCGTATACATGTCCCTACTCTACTGGGGGGATGGGAGGGGAGGGTGGGGTACATTCCCTCTGCACGTAGTGTTAGTGTGTTTGGCCGATGCAGTCAGCGAGCTGGGTGAGAAGAGGTGCACCTGGTCTGTCTGTCTGCGTGAATACGCTGCGTGTCTGTACTTAACATAGTAGCACCAGATCGCTGCCTGCACGTATTTATTTGTGTATTTGGCACCTGCGTATTTGTATTTCTGCTGGTTGGTTTTTGGCAATGAAGATGTCTGCCTGTCTCTCTCGTCACTGCGATACGATTCATGCATACGATTCATGCTATGGAGTGTGTGCGTATTCATGTGTGTGCGTGTGCACACGCGTGTGCGTGGGTCGTTGGTTGCTGTGTGCACACTTGTATGCCTGAGACAGTGGTTGATGAGACCCATGAGTGACTGACTCTTGTGCACACGTAGAGTAGTCACCGTGTCCATCCAATCCGCCAAACGAGCCGCTTTCCCCTTCCACACAAGCCAGCACATCCATAGCATGAATCAGACTACGTATCGACATACTGCACTGTACTGCACAGCACAGGCCGATCTTCACACGCTAGCTAGGAAAAACCTGCCTGCCGCACACACGGCGGCTCTCTATCTCGCTGTCTAGCTGTCTAGATCGCCCTGCAGTCCGCAGAAACCAGCGCCATCGACTGTGATGACCTGCCCCGACACCCAGCTCATGTCGCTGCTCGCTATCGCCACACACAGAGAGGCTACCTCTCGCGCCTCGCCGATCCTCTTGAAGGGGGAGAGGCCCTCAAACTTCGGCACCATGTGTGGAGGCACCATACCTTCATTCACACACAGACACACACATCGACCATAAAGTAAGTGTGCTGTGCAGGGACTGGCTGACCAGGGACAACTGGCCCAGGAGCGACAGCATTGACTCGAATGCCCTTCTCGCCGGCCTCCTTGGCGGCACACTTGGTGAGCATCTCCACTGCCGCTTTGCTGGTGCAGTAGACCACCCGGCTGGCCCACGGGAAGGTGCCGAGTACGCTGCCGTTGTTGATGATGACGCCCCCCTGGCCCATGCGCTTGATGGCCTCCTGCAGCGAGAAGAACGTCGCCTTGACGTTCAGGTCCATGATGCTAAGAGAGTGCATAAAGAGGGAAAGGTGGCATCCAGAAGTCACCCGAGAGCGTCAGGCGAGGGCATCCTGCCATTAGCTACGATTACCTGTCATATAGTTCTTCTGGTGTGTTCTGTATCAGCGATTCACCACGTGCGCCGGCGTTGTTGAACACCACATCGACCCGCCCGAAGCGGGAGTACACCTGCAGAACACAAACCAGAGAGGACCGATGGCCGCGCCCGCGACCTTGACGAATGAGAGCGCACCTCATCATAGAGTCGGCGTATCTCACTGACGCGTGAGAGGTCGGCTTGGAAGAGAGCCCCGCTGCCGCCGGCCGACTCGACAGCCTGCAGCGTCGCCTTGGCCTTGGCCTCACTACCTGCAGCCAAACACACACATTCATCAGCCGAAGTTCAATGTGATGAGTAATTCTGCGTCAGCGTGGTACAGTACACGAGTAGTGGACGGCGATGGTGTTGCCTTTCTCGGCGAATGCGACGGCCGCTGCGTTGCCTATCCCGCCCGATGCGCCAGTCACCTGAGAGGAGAGGTACACAAAAACACGCACACGCACGCAGCGCCAATGGTGATCTATTCCTTTCATTCATTTTGGCGTACCAGGACAACGCGAGGCGAAGATGTGCTCACAGACATCAAGCGAATGCGTGAGGGAAGAAATTGGAACCGTGCTGGCGAGAATTCGCGACGCTCGAGAGTCGAGACGGCGTTTGGAGTTTTTTTTTTCGAATTCGAGTTTGGGCGTGTCATTGTGCCTCTGTATCCTCTCCTTTTGCCTCTTCCCTCCATTCAGCAGTCAACTTGGCCTCTTCTCCGGCCATATTCATCCAGAGATTCAAGGGAAGAGTCCGTTGACGCAGGAAGAGCGGCACGTCGTCGGCAAATCGGCAGGCAATGAGCTGTCGACCAACGGTACGACAGCTATGGATACATGGACGCACGGACGTGTGGGTGTGTGGGTGCGGATGTAGGGGAAGCTGGACAAGGCGGAGGAGAAGGCGGTGTTCGATAGTGTAGCGGCTCAGCTCAAAGACAGCATCACGCACCACGCCAACAAGTTGAGCTACACGGGCGACGAGCTGACCAAGGTAGTGGACGAAACGGTGGCCAAGGTTTCGGTTCAGGTATGTATCCATCTGCAGGGAGGGCGTGTAGGTCTTGTGCTGAACGTATGTGTGTTGCGTCGCTTTCAGGTAGTGGACAAGTTCAGTGCGATGCTGACATGCGACGACACATCCGCCACGATCAAGCGCAAGCCGCTGCAGAAGAAACCCTCGGAATATGCCAAGTTCGACTTTCACAACATCATGATCCACATCTGCGTGGCGCATCTGGGGGAGACCGAGGCCCACACGGGGGGCTGGGCGGGGGACGAGGCGGCTGCTGGTGCTGAGGGCGGGGCGGCTGATGAGGCCAACCTGCCCGCCGCCGCCGCCGCCGCAGCAGCAGCAGCAGTTGCAGTAGGCGCATATGAGCGGATGGATGTGTGATAGGGGTGGGGGGAGGGGGGAGGGAGATGTGTCCAGATGGGCTGAATGGCTGGCTGGCGTGCGTGGTGTGAGCCGCTCAGTCAGCCGGGCCACAGCGGCGTCCGGGTCGGCCCAAGAAGGATAAGAATAAAGCGGGTGGTGCGCAGGCGGACGGTAGTGCGCAAGGGGCAGGTGGCGATGGTCAGGGGGGCGGCAGCTCAGAGAAGCGGAGGCAGCTGGCGGCAGAGCAGAAGGACAAGTACGTCAGTGACGCTGGGCGGTTTCTGCAGGATCTGCTGGATGGTGTGAAGTCGTCAAGGGTGTTCGAGCAGTTCAAGGGTGTTCGAGCAGTTCGCTAAGGTGGCGACACCCGCATTCTTCGAGACGGTCCAGCCCGTCTTTGTAGACAACCCTACCTCCGAGGTGAGGGCGACACACACATGCAGATACCCATGCCGTTCTTTTCTCGCATCATGTTTGTTTCATGTGCTGCTGTTGGACAGGCGGAGGTTCGTTGGCGGCATGTAGGTGCGGATGAGTCGGACCCGTTTGGCGGCATCAACTTCAGCCTCTTCAAATACGGTACGCGGCACGTATGTGGTGGTGCCCTACGCATCACGCGGCATTGTGTATGTGCGCGTGTGTGCAGAGGGGGACATAGCGTTTCGGTGGAAGAACGCCGAGGGTCATCGACGTTCCTGAAGAGCGAGGAGAGTCGTCTCCGCCTTGACGGTGCAGCAGCCTCCGCTGCTGCTGCACCCCAGCCAGTCGCCCAGCTCCACCCTGCCATTCCTCCCCCCCTCTGCGCCCATCCCCCTGCCCCGCCGCGAGTGCGATTCGATGCGTTGATGTACAAGAAATACAACATCAGAAGGGATCAACTTGACAAACTCCACAACGACATGGAACGGAAGGCAAGGAGCTTGGATACGATGCACCCAGCTCACACACACCTTCTGCTGCTACACTTGTTTTTCGCCCTGCAGGTTACGAGCTGTGAGACTTGACATACGACTGGGTGGACGGCGTGCCCGACACGCTCTTCGACGGCGCCAAACTCTCATTCGGTAAAACATGACCCAAAACACTTCCACACGGCCTGCTGTTCATTGTGTGTCTGCTGTCCTTGCGAATGGTTGATTGCCAGACTGCAATGGCTTCCTGCCCGTCAAGTGCAATGGCTCATTCCTGCCCGTCAAGACCACCGGCCAATGTGCTCGCGCAGACGCCCCCGACCGCAGCAACGCCTCCCCCCCATCAGGCCGCAATGATGAATGGATGGATGGATGAGTGACTGAGCCATGCCCACGGGCTCCTGTTCATTCTGTCTGCTATCACGAGGTGGCAAGACACAGACATACACACACACATACAGGCTCACACACAAGCGCACACAACTACAGCCACGACCACCTGTTTCCCCTGCATGTCAATGTCCAGGTACCCGTTTCTGACCGCACCCGATTCCTCGAGATGATGTATAATGTCTTCGACATCTCCACCGCCACCATCGAAGCCACGGAACAGAAACTGCTCGCCATCGCAACCCACATAGGTGCGACACCTGCACCAAAAATCGCACCGCCAGCCGACTGTTAGCTCTCTCCCTACCCCCACAGGCAAGCCGTTCAAGTCCCTGGCGTATGTATGGCCCCATAGCCCTGCCATAGGACAAAGCGACATCATGAACTGGGGTGAGGCACGTCAGCACACACTGCCTGAGAGAGGCAAACACGCACCCATTCTCCCTTTCCCTTCCTGCACTCAGTGACCATTGCTGGTGAAGCGCAGAGGAAGAGTCCAAGGGCAAGATACTCGAGCACCCATTCCTGCCCGTCAAGTCCCCGACCGCAGCAACGACTCTCCCCCATCAGGCCTCAACGATGAATGAATGGATGGAAGAATGAGTGACTGTGGTCTGACTGTGGTCTGACCCCCCCATCAGGCCGCAATGATGAATGGATGGATGGATGGATGGATGGACGGGTGGGGCACGTGCAGCTATCACAAGTTCCTGCAACACCTCCGCCAGGTCCACGTTGGCAAGAAGGAGGAGGACAAGAAGGAGGAGGAAGACGAGGAGGAGGACGGGGGCGAGCCCGCCGCGAAGAAGGCCATGACGGGAGGGAGGAGAAGGGGGAAGCCGAGGGCGGGGACAAATTGTTGCCTACATTTTATATTTGTTGGCTTATTGACTGATGTAGGCGATGTACCGCTTTGGAGCCGAGGAGGGCCACACGCTTGTATGTATCACACACAGACAGAAAGCTTCTCCACGTGTATGTGCGTGTGGGTGAGTGTGCAGCTCAAGATGTGGCGGGCGCATCAAGGACAACCTCTTGGCGGCAAGCTGCAATTTGGTGTTGTGCGAGACACGGCGGTACACACACATAAGTGCCCGTCGGCTGACGATTGTAAGAATGTGTATTGGTGGCATATGTGTGTGCAGGAAGACGGAGCGTCAAGCTTTGGAGGCGATAGGCAACGAGACCAAATGCATGACCTTGATTCGCCGCCCCGAGTACGGCTCAACTATACGGATGGTGAGCGCCCACATGGTCGCACTCGACGTGCTGAGAGTGTTTCTTTGTCCCTATACTGCCTGCAGAGAGTGGACGCCCCGTTGCCCTGGACGGTCAGTCGCTGGAGAATGCCATCGCCAGCGCCCAGTCTTCCCTCAAGGATGACTCCCTGATGTCGTTCTTCGTTCCCAAGCGACCAGGCGGAGGGCAGTACATGATGCGGTATGTCATCAAGAGACCCTGACCCCACACACACACCCCTGTCGCAGCACTGTTTCCGTCCATTTCAATGTGTCAGTTGTCGATTCCCAGCGGACGGCGAGGCCTCAGAGAACGTTGACCAGGATGACGACATCGACGCACCGGTCCCAGCCACACACAGACTAACAGCGGCTTCCTCCCATCTTCCCTCTGTCCCTGGTGCAGGCACCCGAGCCAGTCCGAGTACGTTTCGACACACTCATGTACCACAAGTACAACCTCTCACGTAAGGATCTCGACTCAGCTGACACTAAGATGAAAGCCAAGGCCAAGAAGATCGGTACGCCAGACCACAACCCACACGCACACATTCATTGCTAAATCTGACACACTGGTGCATCAGGATTCGCGCTCACTGAGTTGACGTGCCAGTGGTCCAAGGGCATCCCCGACGCTTTCCAAAACGAAGCACAATTCACATGGAGTGAGCTGCCCCCCTCCCCCCGTCCAACCCCCCCACAACAACAACAATCATTGTCACTGCTTTCCTCCTGTCCCTTTTCTCTGCAGCCAAAGTTGAGAAGGACAAATCCAAGGAGACTGGCGACAAGGCCATCCTCGCTCCATTCGACAACGTCGCTGGTCAAGCTGCCGGAAAGGAGAGAAAGAAGGGCGAGGGCTCCAACGAATCGGGGGAGGCAAGTACGTCGGCAGGTAAGAAGGCGCACCGGCAGAAAGCAGAAAACACCAGCACCGAACACTCTCTTCCTATCGCCTACGCAGGTGCGCTGTACCTTCGGACACCGATCGAAACCCCGATGGCCTAGAATCAGACATAGATGGACTGGTACGACTGGCGCACGCACACATGGCATGACATACAGGAACACGACACGTGTGTATGTCAGCCACCTGCCCCCCCGCGAGTTCGATTCGATGCCTTGATGTACAAGAAGTACGGCATTCGGAGGGACCAACTTGACAAACTCCACAACGACATGCTGCGGAAGGCAAGCAGCTTGGGTACGATGAACCCAGCCCACATACACGCCATCCCCCGAGTGCCATCCTCCTGCTACACTTGCTTTTCGCCCTGCAGTTACGAGCTGCGAGAATTGACATACGACTGGGTGGACGGCGTGCCCGACACGCTCTTCGACGGCGCCAAACTCTCATTCGGTAAAACATGACCCACAACACTTCCACACGGGCTCCTGTTCATTCTGTCTGCTGTCATTCAAATCAATGCAGTGTCTCTGCCCCAGGGAAAGAAGCATCCCGATACGAACGAGAAACTGGTCCTCCGTCCCTTCAGCATTGCAGCTGGTGAGAAGCGGCAGGAGCACGAGACCAACATTGACCAACAGACACTCGCTGGCTTTCAGCTGGCAATGCAACAATTCCAGGCGCAGGGCTGCCGCCGCTGCCCCTGCTGCCGGCCCATAGACGGACTTCACTTCATGGGCCGCCGCCCAAGACGCCAAAAAAACAAAAAGCGGCAGCAACAGACAGAGGGGGAGGCGATGGGATGGTAGGGGATGCGATGGCAGCGAGGAAGGGCACGATGCCTGCACAGGGCCTGCATCGCTGCCTGCATTCTATATTTCCATGTCTCTTTCACTGGAACACGTGAGGAACGCTTTTCTGTCTCGATGTCTGCACAGGCTCAGTGCGGCTGAGTGCCCCAGATAATCGTTGCCTACACTTTATATCGTTGGTGCGTCTGTTCCCTTGGTCCGACCCCGCAAAGGACACATGAGTGTGTCATAGTTATGCGAACTCGTTACCATGCCATTCATTGTAAGCAGACGTCATTACATGTATGTGCTCGGGGCATCCACCACGATGCCTGTGATCCTACGTCTGCGTCTTATGTTTTGCCAAGTCATGGATGACTCTGCTTGCTGACGTGTCTCGGTGCGTTCATAAAGTCAGTGCGCTTAAGGCCAATGCATCATTGCATGTCGTCAAAACATTCTCGCGTCCACTCATCAGAGACACGACAAGAGCACATGATTTACTTCCAGTGTTTTCCACGACCAGCCAGCGGCACAGCCATCGACAAGAACGACATGGATGTGACACCAGACCTCACACACGCCATTCAATCAAGCTGTTCGGCTATTCGAGGAGAGTCAAATGATTCGCATCACCTCACCCTTTCACTGTCAGGTTCACCGCCCCACCGTCCCCGCCTTCTAGCATAGCTGTCATCCTCTTGTTCCCTGCTGGGGTGCAAGCGTGGCCCAGGCTTGTGCTGTTGTCATGCCCGCGGCCATCAACGCCAGAACATTCCTCAGCAGCCGGCCGAAGGCGCGCACTGGTACTGCCAAATTGCCGAAGAGCAGCCGCTCATCATTGCTCAGCAGCTGGAGGATCAGCTGCAGTGTCTGGGGGAGCAGAGGGGGCCCTCCTGGTGCGGCTGGGGAGTCTCAGTCGTGTAGAGGTAAATCGCGCGATAGTATTCGTGGATGTGGGCGGCGAAGATGTCGTGCTCGCCCTCTCCGCATAGGTAGATGGAGCCGCTCCGCTCACCGTTGTTGGTGCTCACCAGCCTCGTCTGACGACCCCAGGGGACGGCGGCCTGCAACGATGAGAACAGACAGGCATCCCAGACCTACGCAGCTTTTGACCTCGGTAGCTGGTCTACTTGGGTCAGCAGACAGGCAGCTCGATTCCACTGAGCCTGGTCCTCGTGAGAGCTGAGAATACCGCTACTGCACGTCCGTTGCTCCTCAGACGAGAAACTAGGCAGAGAAACAGGGCAGACACACACACAGGTCGTCCATTTGTGCGGAAGTGGCTCCATGGGTCAAATCGCCTTACCGCGAGACGACCAGTTGCCGGAAGCTCAGGTGATCCACCTTGTCGTTGACTGATGGGTACCACCTCCCTTAGGTCACTGAAGGAAACACCTCATTGTGGACTGAAGGAAACACACATATGCACACAATGGCCCACACGTGAGCATCGCCCTGTTGTGCCATGGGTATTGTCGCTCTCACACTCCCCTCTTACGATTGGGTCCGTCGGGTCGAACGCATTGCCGAAAGCATGGTTGGCGGGGAGCGTCTGCTGTGTGTAGACAGTCACCACTGTCTCAGCCAGCTCTTCGACGCCGTCGGTCAGTGCGGTCTCGCCTCGCCTTGCCCCAGCACGTGGCCGAACAGCCTGCTCTGCTCGAGTGAGTCCGCCCGGCCGTCGAAGACCGCCTTGGACCCCACACGACGCATGTCCGCCGGCCTCACTGCGATAGGCAGCGAATCGATGGCCCGGCCGTGTCGGGCGATGCGCATCGGGCGAACCCATCCGCCCCACTGCCCGCCCTCCTCCAGCACGCACACCAACTTCAACAAGTACGCCACACGCGGCATGGCCTCGCCATCGTCCGGCTGGTAGCTGGCGTCCCAGGACAAGATGCCGCCGACCTGGTGGTCTGTGACGCAGCGATTGATGCGCTGGACGAAGTAGCTGTCGGCGAACTGCTGTGTGGCCACGCGTGACAGCAAGCGGAGGGTGTACAGTACAGATCTGCTGCAGTGGCGACGTTCTCCGTGCGGCCTGACACACAAAGCGCACAATGTACCAAACGACACATGCCGTATCCCTCAGATCACCAGGTGCGCAGCAGATCTCCCTGACCTACGCGCGTCGTCAGAGATCAGGACGCGCCAGCAGCCGTGGTAGTCCTCCCCGGGCTTGACGATACACACACGGGGCGTCGGTTGGTGCCGCTCCGCTCCGGTGCGAGCTAATGACTCCTGCAAAAATCAAATTTTGACTGGACTTGCGACACACGGCTCCCCCAATAATAACTTCTCCGCAAAGGGTTCGACGAGCCGGAGGGGTTTCGTGGGGCTTCTGGGTGGGCGCTCCTCTCCGGGAGACACCGCGTTTGGTCTGTCGTGTCGCCGGCCCAGCCACATGACGACCCACGAGAGGGGCTCGGACTCCGCCAAAGGCACCGGCAAAGTGATGGTCGACAACCGTTCCACCGACAGGGCCCTCCCCGAGATGCCCAACGCCTCGCTGTCGTCTCCCGAGGACTCCACGGACGACAAACGTCACCCCGTGTCGCCAACCCTGACCGGCTCGCCGCCTCACATCGCATCGACCTTCATCGCTGGCAAGAGCCCCTACCGTCGTCTGAGCGGCACTGCGTTGTCACCGGGGAGGGGCAGGTTGGGGAGGGGCAGCTTTGGGATGGGCGGCGAGAGCCCTGAGGCTCCGAAGAAGAAGCAGCGGCTGGCACTGCTTCTGGCGAGACGCAAGGCGCTCATGCGCAAGCCGTAAGCAACGAATCGAGCCAGCGAGGGGCACACGGTGCCTTCAGGAATGGCTGTCTTGTTTGTGTGTGTCGGTCATGTGTGCAGGCACGTCATGCTGAATTTGGCCATCTCGTCTCTCCGCCGGTCGCCAAAGCACAACGAATGCCGCGCTCTGCTCACCAAGAACGCACGAGACATCAAGTCGCCACGCCGTTTGCCGCACGCCGCCTCGTCGCTCCCGCCTCCGCCTCCCTGGGAAGGGTATCCGATCTGCCCGCCACTGAAGGTCAAGATTTCTTCCACACCAGTCCATCAGCGTGAGATAACCATCCCGTCCATCAACATGCTGACCGGCGATTGGGTCTTCCCTGATGGGACGGCGATGCCCTGCTCATTCGCCTGGTCAACAGGCACTGGAGACGGGCGGCAGACGGCTGAGGAGCAGCAGACGATGAACAAGGAAATCGACATGGTGCTGAGTAAGATGACGAGTATGACGGCCCATGGGGCTGCTGCTGCTCCTGCAGACGTGGGTGGGGGAGGGGCTCGAGAGCCTGCTGGTGGTGGTGGTGTGCTGGGAGAGAGCGACGATTTGGTGGCTGCGGAGACGGCATCGACTGAGGGGAGGGAGACCATTGACACCAACACCAACAGCAACGGAGGCCTCCCCGACACATGATCGATCAGCCACACGAGACACGAGCCAATATGAAGAGACCCGCATGGATGTATACGTAATCACACCACACAGAGAGAGAGGGAGAGGGGATCTGACACATACACTTTTGGATTTGGGATCACTCATATTCTTTTGCTCTCCCATCTAGAGGAATCACAGAGAGAGAGAGAGAGAGGGAGAGAGGGCACACTAGTACTTCCATTTGTTGTGGCGGCGAAGCCGCCGTACGGGATGCACGCAGCAGTAGGGGTGAGTGAATGGTGTAGGGTCCGTCGATTGAGAACGAGAAAAGACCTTCTCAGTGTGCTGGTGGTGAAGGGTCTGTTCATCTGGTCATGCAGGAAAGGGACAGAGACGCGATATATGGTACATGAGAACACCGACCCGACGAATGAATGGTGCATCCTGTCATGAGGGGTGCATGTGGTTCATATGGCATCGCTGACTATCTATCTGTCTGTCTGTCCGCATGCCATGCACGCAAACACTTAACTGTCACATGCCCCCACGATGCATCGCATCCACCATCTGCTAACGCAACGACTGACTGACCCACAGACGACTCACCCACCCTACCCCATCTGTCTGTCTGTCTGTTCTACCTGTATATACATCACATACACCGCCCACATAAATACACACACACACACATACACACATGCCCAGCAGAGACCACAATCTACATTGGCTGGCTGGCTGCCTGCCTGCCTGTCTGCCTGCCTCTACTCGCCCTCACTCACTCACTCACAGCTGCGGCACGCTCCCCCTTCCCTCTTGGCTGCTCTGCCCATCCCCACCATCATCACCATCGTCCTTCAACTCGCAACGCAGCCACCTATGGGCGGGGCCACATACACACACACACGGCCGACGTGTGTGTGCGCTCCTTCGCCCACATGCACACGCATACCTGATGATGATGGTCTCCTGCTGCTGGTGCAGCGTGTGGAAGATCTTGTTGGCGAACCGCCACTGGGCGTGGGTACGGCTGGATGGCAGCTGACACGATTGGCCGGAGGGGGAGAGCATGCGCTTGATCAGGAGGAGCCAGAAGTTGTCGGTCTGGTGCCGTGCATCCAGCTGCGAAAAGAAGAACTCCGCCCTGCAGCCGGCCACACACACATCCATCCACACAACACAACACAATGCACAACGGATCCATTCGTGTGTCCACCCACCCTGATAGCAGGAATTTCCAGCTGTCCTGCATTCACGCACGCAGACAACAGACACACGCCCATCCGATGACGCACACGCACACGCACTGCACCCCCCAGCCACTCACGAAGACGGTGCACTTGGCTTCAATGAACTTGACGGGCGCTCCCCAGGGCAGTGGCGGCATGCCTTCCCCTCCCCCTCTGGCCAGCCACGGCTTCGTCTCGCCCACAGCCGTCAGATAGCCGTCCACACACCCATTGATCGACAGACGGCAATGCTCCGAATCGGCGGGCGGCTCCTCTGCAGCCCAACACACACACGGGGAAAGGCCACGTGCACACGACACACATGCCTTGGCTGTCTGTGTGTTGATTGATGTACCGAATAGGATGAAGTCGAAGGGGAGGCCGAGCTCTTCCACGGCATTGACCCACACCAGCCGCCACGCTGCGCCGGGCTGGAAGCTCACGCGGTACGACCGCTGATCGATCTGACCACACGCAGAGCAGACGACGGGAGATGAGATGGGGGAGAGGGGCTTGGTGGGTGGCTGTGGTGGGGCTTTCGTGTTTCGACCTGTGAGTGTGTTTGGTAGTCTGACTGCTGCGTGAAGAACTTCGGAAAGACCTTTCTGAAGGCAAGCTCCTCACCGGCCCTATCAGGTGGTGTGACGCGACACACACAAGAGTAGCCATTCATTCGAATGTCTGTTGGTGCACACAACACAGCCAGCCACCCTCCGTGGTACCCACCGTACCTGCCTCTCCTCTCCAGCTCGTTCTCTTCGACCCTCTCGAGCTGCCGGATGGCCGTGACGCTACTGCTGCCGGCTGCTGCCTCAAGGCCACTAGCACCCCTTCACACACACACATACGCGCCAGACACTCTCTCCTTCTCCCTGTGTGTGTGTGTGCGGGTGCGTACCTGATCCTGGCCCTATCATCAACGAGTGACGACTCCATCTGCTGCAGGAACCGATCCGTCTCCGCGTCGATCTCCATCTCACGCACCTCGCATATGGGCACGGGCGTCGGGCGGCGAGGATGATATTGTTGCTGGTGGGCAGGCACACGATCATGACGACGGTCGCCAGCACGCAGGTGCGTCGGAGTGGTGTGGATGGGGGGCTGGGAAGGGGTGGAGGATGGGGGTGGGTACAGGTCGACCTCGATGGCCATCCTGTCTGCTGCTGCTGCTGCTGATGGTGCTGGTGCTGCTGGTGTGGGTGGGAGGGGGCGAGGGGCGAGATGGACATCTGCTTGGGAGAGGGAGATGCCCTCACTCCTGAGCAGAAAGGACAGGTCGGCCGCATCTAACCCAATGCTGCTACGCAACCTGCACACAACCACAGACGACAAAGAAAGAAGGCGCATCACGCACCGAAGGACACATCAATCCGCCCACCCAGCCACCCAGCCACCCACCAATCGATCGCGATGCTCCTCAACGCTCCCCCAAGGTAAGCACTGATCGCCTCTCCGACATCCATCCTCTGCTGCACATGCTCGGCTTGCTGGTTGACATACAGCACCGGCACACTCTCGCCGCCAGCAGCGATGGGCACGTATCTGGATCTGCGCGACGGCTGCACCGATGGGTGCGTGAGGGCGGCGCCCAGGGTGACCGGGGGCATCCCGTGGTTTGCGACTGTGTACTGCACCTGCACAAGCCACCAAACGAGGCATGCATCCTGCGCCTGGGGAGTGGGGGGTTGGTTCATTTGCACACCTGCAGCTGGTTGACAGGCACCTGATGAATGAATGAATGAAAGACAGGCAGGCAGGCAGGCAGGCAGAGAGGGGGCTGATTTGTGGGTGCGGGGAGTCGGCCGGGTGCATGAGATGAGTGTGCAGATCTGACCTCGGTGATCCTGTCAAGCATGAAGATGGGGTGGGTGGGCTCATCGCGCGCAAGACGGGCCATCTCCTGCACACACCCAGCCCATCACAGCCAGCCAATTGACACAGACACCAATGTGGGGTGAGGGTGGGCCTAGGTGCGGGTGTGTGCAGACAGACCAACTCACCGTGGGTCTTTTTGACCGGCAGACGGCGATGAGTGCCTGGATAACCGACGTGTGCAGCAGCCTCTGGTGCGGTTCAGAGGGGGGGCGGTGCATGGGGGCCCCAACGATGTACTCAGAGATGCGCACACATTTCTCCAGCCTCCTGACCCCCAGGTGGTGCTGCAGGAAGTGCTGCACACGCTCGTTGGGCGCGTAGGCGATCGAAATGCCCATCGAGAGCGGCAGCCGCATCCTGAGAAAGAGAGAGGGAGGGAACAGACGTGTGCTATGAATGCATAGCCGACACCGTGCGTGTGTCTTCGCATCGTACCCTCCCTGGTCCTGGATGAATGCATGTCGGCGGTCGACAAAGGTCCGCCGAGCTGAGTCCCACACAAGGGCACTGCACGCCACGCACGGTGGACACAGAGAAGAGACACACACCCGTCCATCCATCCATCCATGTGTGTTCATCGTGCCGGGTGCGGTGGGTGCTTGCATACTTCTGGGCGAACGAAGGGTACCAGTGTGTGTCCTCCTGCCGCCTCAGGGCCAGGTCGAGGACCGTCACGGCCTGCACTATGAAGGCCTGCATAGCGTACACACACACACACATACAGAGAGAGAGACTCGCGAGTGCACTGTGCGATGGGTGTGCACAGGGATATCCCTCCGGCTTACCTCGACGCTGGTGGATAGGCCCTGGTCGGCACTGCCGCCGTGGCTGTTGCCCTGCACCAGGTTTGGACACCCCTTCCTCCACCTGACACACACGGAAAGATGTTCACTCGTGTGCGTGTGCAGATGGTTGCGAGGCTCACAGGTGTGCGTAGTGGCACGCTTCAGGCTCCTCCGACACCAACTGCAGGCAGGCAAGCAGACAGACACGTGGACGACACTATGCATACGACCATGGATGGACTCATGCATACGTACGTGTCGCAGCAGCGGCTTGACGGTGTCCTGGAAGGCGGGCTCGATGAGGTCGCAGAGTGTGAGCACCTCCCCTACAAAAAGCCCCATCCAGCCGTCGCGCCACACGAAACGCTCCCTGTCCACACTGATAGGCCAAAGACAGCCAGGTGTTGGTGCGTATGGATGGATGGAGGGATGGGCGGAGGCACTGTACCTGACCCACTGGGCGTTGCGGCGGTGAGGATGTCCCTCCACCGCCATGGCCGTGTTGCTCGCGTCGTCCCTGACGGCCCGCAGCGGCAGAAAGAGCAGTTTCTCCGACCTCATCGCGCGGACGGTGCCCTCTCGTTGGTGCAGAGGCGATGCTGGACTGTCCATCAGCCGGCCCTGAGCAAACAGAGAATGGATGGATGGATGGATGGATGTGGGCTTGGGTGTCACCACTCACCATGGCGCCATAAAGGTCCACCAGCTGCCGCATCCTCCTCTCCGTAAGTGATGTGGGCGGTGTATCGGCCGCCATGACCCGCAGCCGCTCGAGCATTGGGGTCAGCGAGAGGGCGTGATGCACACCAAACACAGACAGGATCTGCACATACACGTGGAGAGGACAGATGCGCCCAGCATTGCAGAGAGAGGTACACTGGTTACACAGATAGACAGGCCTCACAGTGAGGCAGACCAGACCTGTGTGATGATGTGTGTGGGTGGTGACGGCGAGAAGGGAGACGCCGGCACGAGCGACACCAGAGGGGCCACCAGGGCGGGATGCAGCAGCGGAAACAGACAGTGCAGCGAAGCCGGGATCTCCGACGCACAGCTGTACACCTACCGCACACACAGACACACAGAGAGAGAGAGAGATCCGACATGCACTGCACCCAGGCCAGGCGCCATAGCTTGCACTGCATGTACCATTGTGGGTTTGTGGAGTCGATATGTCCCGTCGATGGCCGCAGGGAGCCACTCGGTGTTCCTGGCCGCATCAATCAACGGCTGTGGCAGCTGCAGAGACCCTTGGGGTGGAGGTGGGGGCGGATAAAAGCAGGAGCTTCTCGAGCGGGAGTGATGATGGCTGGGCGGAGTGCTGTCCATTCGCCTCCCAGCACTGACCAACAGCAGCCATGCCATGCATCTCCCTCCCTGTGTTTGCTCCCTGACCGTAACTCACGTGCTGCCTTACTAGTAGTCATGATGCAGCACCACCTGCAGGAAGCAGCTGGCCCTCTCCACCCACAATTCCACCTCACCACTGCCACCGTCGCCCCCATGATGCTGCGAATGCTCCCCTTCCACATCCATCCCCAACGTACCGCCTCCCCCACCACGACGAGCTCCACCCACAGCCATCCAGCTCAGCATGCCGCTGCTACTGAGCGGCGGGCAGCATCGGATGGCCGCGTGTGTCCGGCACAGCAGCTCAACGGCCGCATCGTCGTAGCGACCATCCAGTGTAGCGAAGTGGGAGCGGTCGGATGGTGAGGGGAAGGTGAGCTCGAGTGGGGCGGTGAGGGGGCGGCAGATGGGCGTCCGGGAGAGGCCGTCGAGGGCGGGGTCGACGCGCCTTGCTGTTCCTGCTGAGTCAGTGCCTGTCCATGCCGCCACTTCTGGCGAGGCCCGTCGGTGGGCCGCCGATGGGTGGGGCCTGCAATGGTGGATCCACCACACCACACCACACCACACCACACATGGATGGGCGTGGCGTACAGGCATCAGTCGTCATCTGGCCTTTTCTCCTACCCCCATTCTCTGGGCGTCAGTATGATGGCCTCCTCTCCGTGTGAGCGCGTTTCGACCCTCGTGAAGGCGGCCAGGACGGGCAGCTTGTGCAGGTTGGCGGGCAGGGAGTGCTCCGCTACTGACGTGAGGAAATGCGTTATCACCAGCAGCACCCTGCAAGCATCACACACACACATATACACACACAGATGAGATGAGATGAGACGAGACGAGTGGAGCAGACTAGCCGCGTGGTTCTGTGTGTGCCTCTCACCGCTGGTTGTCGGCGTCCTTTGCAGATTGCAGGCTGAGAGCCATCTCGGCACATCCGTCGACCAGCCAGCTGACCACAAGAGAGAGAGAGAGAGTGAGAGAGATTCGTGTGTGTGGATGCGTTGCGTGCGCATGTTGTCGCCACAGCACAGATCAGCTCAATCACCTGAGGTAGTTGTCGACCGTCAATCGCTCCACGCCGAGCGTCTGGATGAGCCACTCGCGGGTCCGCACAGACAGGTGCCTCTCCGTCTCGGCAGACAAGAACACACATGACACCTGCACACCCACACACACATATCATATGCACAGGGGCAGCCCTGGCTGCACAGAGAGGACAGGCGTACACTACCCTTTTTCTGATGAGTGGTGCGACGGATGGATCGTTGAGCTGCGACCGCTCGAAGGCCTCGCGCAGCTGGGGGTTGGGCAGACAGACGCGCACCTCCTTCTCGCCCGTATGCGCGTTCACCGGCAATGGAGGCTTCATGAACCCTGCACACCACACACGACAGCACACGACACGAACAGATGAGATGCACACTCAGCCATCCCAGCCATGTGGCTGGCCACATGGCTCTCTCGGTGTGGGGTGCATGGGACACTGACTGACCGACCTTCGTCCGTCTTGAGGAAGGGCACCTTTCTGAGCACCTGCCCGCCCCTCGCACCGACTACCTCCCTCACATACTCGTACACCTCGCCAACCTGGTCGTCGCTCAGACCCACTAAAGACGACGCAGCACCACCACCACCACCAGCACCCCCCGCCCACCCACTCGGCTGGAAGAGAGCCTCCACAGAGGCCTTCTTGACTCCAAGAGCCGCCAGCACAGCCGTTCTCTTGGCGTAATGCGGGTGCACCAGAGGGATGTGCCGGATGCAGGCGTAGAGGGGCTGTGGTGGGGGGCTGCCTGTGCCTGCCACTGGGGGCAGGGAGAGCGAGGGTGGCGTGCACAGCGAGCCTGTGTGAGAGGGGAGCAGGGGAACGGCCCGCATGTGTGTGAGGATGGTTGACGCGCAGGGGCGGAAGGATGGGTGGACTGTTTGTGGGATGGGCAGCCACGAGAGGATCCAGTCGATCATTGCGGGGGTCTCCCTGCAGACACCACACACGATGGACATCAATTAAGATGGCTGCAGTGTGTGCAGGGTGCATGTGTTGGTTACGTGAGTGTGGGCGCCGCTCTCTTGACGAAGTCGAGAAAAGTGTCGGCGACTCGGTCGAGCAGGAACCGGTTGAACCGCAGCTCGTCGTCAAAGTCAAGCGACTCACGGCTGCACCAACACACACACGCAACAGAGATCCACACCACCTCACACACACACACACAGACGCCACGCCCACCTGGCAGTGGTGGTAAAGTCCTTCGCGTTGACGACGAAGGGCATCTTGCTGTCGACCCTTGTCGGCAGGTCGGCGAACACACTACACCCATTCCCAGACGCCGACCACTGGCCAGTGTCGCTCTCGCTCTCCCTATCTGCCGCTTCTGCTGCTGCTACTGTGGTGATGGTGGTGGGTATGGGCAGCGCGACAGTCACAGATGTCTGCTGCAGCTCTAGGCGACGCAGGGAGATGGCAGACAGCCGCTGGGAGGACGGCACCTGCACACACACTCACACAGGCACACACACACACACACAGAGAGGGAGAGAGAGAGCCGAGGATGAAGCACAGCATAGAGAGGAAGGAGGCTCACTTCACTCACTGGCGGCTTGGGCACTGGGAATGTGCGTCGGTGTGTAATGAAGGTCTCTGTGGTGGTGTGTGTGGCGGGGGAGGGGCCGTCACGCGTCAGGTTGGCCGTGAGCGTCCGGCTGCTGTACCACACCTGCACAGCAACCCAACAGCAACAGCCATGCACACACGACACCACAGAAACCCTCTGACATGACAACTCATCCCTTTATTCGTTGTCTGTCTCACCCACCCACCCGGGCCTTCTCTTCACACACGACCTCCCGCCTCTCCACCACTCGACCGCTCCCACTGCCATCCTCAATCTCCACGCAGATGCGCCGCAGCTTGCGCAAAAACAGCAGCGTGCTCATGGGCACCTCCAACAGCGACGCCTTGACGCCATCGATCTTCTCATGCAGCCACGCGGGGCAGTGGGTGCGCGAGGGGTCGGCCTGCGTGAGGGGCAGCCGGAAGATGGTCCATGCAGAGTGATGCTGTGCGAACGCGGGAAGTGACGGCAGCCACCTACAGACAGACGAAACGAGAAAGATGCGTGTGTGTTGGGTTGGGCTGGCTTGTTGGGTGTGGATGTGGGTGTGGGTGTGGGTGTTGTCTGTGTGTGCACCGACCGAGGGACGATGTAGCCGAACCCAACTTCTGGGTCCACGTCCTTGGAAAAGGCGAATCGGTAGCCCCCGCTATAGACTTCTGGCGTATCGCTCAGCCGAAAGACAGACTTGAAGCCTGCAGAGCAGAGAAGGAAAGGATACAGCAGACAGACACGTTCGTGTCTGTCTGATGTCCGTTGCCTTGGTCTTGCTCACTCCCTCACCGATGCCCTTCTCTCCGATCATCTCCTCTCGCCTCTCCGACTTGGTCGACGCACCCACGTCACACAAAGCCTCTACGTCGGCACCGCTGAAGCCCACCTGACCACACAACACACGGATTACACACACACGGAGGAATCGAATCCCCTCCCTCTACGTGTCGGTTGCCACAGATCCAATTATCCATGTGTGGACGCGCCTACACTGACTTCACTCACCTCATTGTTCATGACGTAGAGCGCCGGGCACCGTGGGTCGGTCACCAGCCGGAATGTGAGGCTGGGGGGAGCGGAGGACGACGGGTGGCTGATGGATAGATAGACAGCCAAACGAAGGGAGGGAGGGAGGGAGAGGGACACTCAACACACGTGGGTGCAGTGCAGTGCAGTCATGGATGCGGTGCGTACTAGGTGTTGTCCTCTGCGTTCTGTATGAGTTCGAAGAGGCAGTGCGCCCGGTGTGAGTAGATCTCGTCCGCCGCCAACTTGATGGCCCGGTGCAGGCGTGAACGCTGCTCGGGATCCTGTCACGTCAGTCACGCAGCACAGCACACACACATTCATTCATTCATTCATTCCATCATGCAATCATGGCCTTTGATTGATGTTGCTTGTGCATGTGTGACCCACCTCACCTCTGTCCTGAGCCTGTTCCTAATGGAACGGATGTGCTCCTCCTCAGAACAACGCGACATTTCACCCAACCGACCGATGCAGTCGCTCAATCAGTCAGTCACTCGGCTCATACACAACAGTCGGCTCAGTTGCCTCCTAGGGTGCTCCCTGAAACCGCTTCAAGAGGCGGGAAGCAGAGCACGGCACAATGGTGAAGCCTCCCCGCTGCACCCAATCCCTCACGAGAATGGCGACAACGGCGGGCGGAATCTTGCCCTTCCTGCTTGGTTTACTGCCGCTCACTTGGTTGGACACCGCTGCCGGGTACAGCGACTTCTTCATGGACTGTGCCAATGCCATAGAGCTGAAGAACTTCTCCGGCCTGCCGTCCCATGACAGCTACACGTACGTTTGTTCCCACCCATGGATTGGGTGCGTGTACTGTATTGCGACGCTATTCTGTCTGTCTGTCTGTCTGTGTGCAGATCTTGCCTGGCGGCGTCGAGCCCCGGGGCGGCGACCAAGTATTGCCTCGGCGAGCTGACGGCGTTCGGGGGCGTCGCTGGTACAAGGGCAGGGCAGATGAACGAACGAATGAAGTCTGACTGGCCTGGCTGCCTGTGGATTGGATTGTTGTTTGCAGGCCTGACGGCCGGGCTCTGCCTGCCCAAGCAATGCTCGCAGGTCTGCCTGCTATGACTGACACAGGGGGGCTGGCGTATCGCATTGGATGTCTGCAGGTGTTTGTGGACGGGACGGTTCGGTGTCATTCATGTCTGTCTGTCTGTCTGTCTGTCGTGCAGGGTGACCTGGAGGAGTTCATCGAGACCACCTGCGCGGCCCCGTCGTGTGCCGACATCATTGAGGAGTTGCAGCCCCTCTGCATGGTCGTGCAGGGGGTGCTCTGCGACCCCAAGAACAGGTAGGCAAGCCACAGCACAGGACAGGACGGCACAGGACGGCACAATACACCATCTCTCTCAGTGAATGAACGCGAGTGTCACTCACTCACTCTGTCTGTCTGTCTGTCTGTCTGTCTATCATCAGGACTGCACCGGCGCACAACTTCCAGCTGTCTTGCCTCGAATCCACCACACCAGACTCCAAAAAAGGTCCACACACACACACACGAATGTTCTACCTTTATATCGGCTGGTGGGCATGGCGTACAGGTCAGATGCTGGAGTCCACTTTGGCGTGTGGCGGGATCGATGCGCAGCGGACGGTCGACAGCGGGCTGGTCAACGACCTGGGCAACTGGGACGGATGCCACAAGGTAAGGTGCGGTGGGATGGTGCATGTGGGCCTGGCGTGGTGTGGCGTGGTGTGTGTCAGTCAAGTGGGCGTGCAGTGCAGTGCAGTGCATGTGGGCATCTATCTCATCTATCTTGTGCTTGTCTTGTCAGCTTCCTGGCGCCCACTACTGCTTTGCCGGGTACAACCCCATCTTCATCTCCTCAGGGCAGGTAGGGTACACAACACACAACACACCCCACACCCCACACTCACACACCTGTGTTGTGTTCTCCCTGCAGTGTGTGGCGGACACGTGCACGGCGGGCAAGTACGAGAGCATGGCGGCCTTCGCCTGCGAAGTGGACAACTGCCTCGCCATCACAAACCTCATCCAACCTCAATACTGCCTCTTCTGGTCCGCCGGCACGGCACACGCACACAGAATCCCCCATGGTTTCGTTGACAGACGCATGTCTGTGTGTGTGTGTGTGTGCGTGCGTGCAGGAAGACCATCCTGTGCCACCAAGCCCCGCCCCCCAGCCCCTTCATCGCCGCTCACCGTTGGCAAGGCCGGCTGGGCAGCCCCAACGACCTTCCCATCCCGCCAGAGGTCTCGCTCGACGTTACCTGCGACTACACACCTCCGAAAATCGGGGCCGGTCAGTCAGCCCGCACGGCATCCATCCATCCATCCATCCATCCGTGTGTGCGCACGTGTGTGTGCGTATGTGTGTGTGCAGGGACCTATGTGATGATAGGCATCTCAGCGGTGATCACGTTGCTGATCATAGCGGCCACCGGGCTGTCGATACACTTGAAGCAGCGACAGCAGAGAGAGGGCGGTGGAGGCGGGGGCGAAGCGAATGCCGACGTCAGACTGCAGACCATCAACGTCGAAGAGGCCGGCAAAGACGTGGCAAGACGGTTCGTGCCATGACAGACACACACAGACACACACAGAGACACCGAGAGAGATGTGAACACTCATGTGTGGCGGTGCTGTATTGTGGCATGGGGTGGGCGGCAGGGACGAGCCGCGTGTGCCGTCACTAGGCGAGAAGATGCTGCTGGCCTTCTCCCTGACGGACAACTGGGCGCACCTTGCTGAGACACACACTGTGAGACGACCAGGGAGGGGTCCACACCAGACACGGTGCGGATGGACCACATGTGGTGTGCTTGCTGTATGCAGCACACGGGCGACATCACCTGTTTGAACGGGCTGCGGGCCATCTCGATCTGTTGGGTGCTGCTGGGCCACGTCATGCTGCTCATTGCGGGCGGCATACCACTCAAAGACTTCGCGGTCGGTACCTACCGTACCGTACGACACACAGACTTGCACACACACCTACACACGTGTGGATGTGGGTATGTGTGATGTCGTGCAGGAGACCCTCAAAGTCGGTACGTGCCTTCACAAGGCGCACAGCACAGCACAGAACGGCACTCTCTTTCCTGCCCACACCTGTGTGTGTGTGTGCGTCTTTGGGCGGCAGTTGGCCGTTTCTCCTTCCAGCTTGTCGTCGGCGCCTTCTACTCCGTCGACACGTTTTTCTTCCTCTCGGGGTTCCTCACCGCGTACGTCGCCGTCAAACACGCCGCCAAAAGGGGCGGCAAGATCAACATCGCCCTGGCCATTGTACACAGGTGCCTACAGAGACACCGATGGATGGATGGATGGACACACACAAGTGGGAGGCCGTGGGGTGTGTGTGTGTGTGTGTGTGTAGGTGGATCCGTTTGTCGGTGCTTTATGCGTTTGTCATTGGGGTGTGGGAGTTCGTGACGCCCTTCTTCGGTGACGGGCCGCGGTGGCCGCTCTTCGTGACCGACCTGCACGCCTCATTTCTCACGGTGGGTGGGTGAGTGAGTGGGTGGCTGGATGGAGGTCTCATCCTTGTGTGTGTCGTGTGCGTGCAGGGTGGCAAGGAGAGCGCTTGCAAGCAATATTGGTGGGGATGGGGCAGGGGACAGCACGTCATTAGACGCTTGCTGATGTGTGTGTGTGTGTGTGTGTGTGTTAATGTGTGCAGGTGGGCGAACCTTCTCTACATCAACAACTTCATTCCCAAGAAGTTCGGCGAAATATGTCTGCCGTGGACATGGTAGGTACGGTCATCACTCCCCAGCCCCGCTATGCACCTCTACCTCTCTCTTTCGGTGTGTCCGTCTCTATGTCTGTGTGGCCAGGTACCTGGCCAACGACTTTCAGTTCTTCGTTGTGGGCATCATTGTCCTCGCCATCTACTGCGGGTACTCATCCGCAGACACACAACGGGCAGGCCCAAACAGGTCTGTCTGGCTGTTGGCTGTCTGTCTGTCTCCCTGGGTGCGTCAGGTACTCCAAGAAGATCGGGTGGTACCTCATCGGTCTGCTTCTCTTGACGTGCTGGATCGTCACCGGTGAGTCAGTGAATGGATGGATGCGCTATCTCACACACACTGTTCACACAGCACATCAATCCATACGCAGTGCGGTACAGCACGTGTGTGTGTATGTGTCTGTCTGCAGGCACTCTGGACGTCGTCCGGGACTGGCAGGTGGCAGTGCTGCCCATCCTCTTTGAGGCCGACCAGCACCAGTTCTATGAGCTATACGAGAAGCCATGGTGCAGAATCGCACCATACCTCATTGGAATGGTACCCCTCCCCCCTCCCTCCCTCCCCCCAAGAACACCAACACACAAAGCCGTTGGGTGCCTCGTGTGTGTGTTTATTTGGTCAGATTGGCGGTCTGCTGATCCTGGAGCACCGTGAGGCGGTGCGTGAGCGGCTTGTGGGGCTGACCAGGTATGGCCGGCTGGTGTGCCATGCCCTGGCCGCCGGGCTGATGCTCTTCGTCGTCTTCATACAGGTACATGTTGCACACACGCACACACACACCCCCACACACACACAGAGAGAGAGAGAGACGTGTGTGGGGCATTGTGTGCAGTATGAGGCCAACAAGAGCACGGCCGAGCCGTGGTCTCCCACAGCGACCTTCTTCTACAACGCCTTCTCACGGTGGGTGCGTACCTTCCCACACAATCCCACACACCACAGATGGACCTCCAGAGACACCCATGGATGTGTGCGTGCGTGTGTGTGTGTGTGTGTGTTCTCCACCCTGCAGGTCTGTGTGGGCGGTGGGGCTGTGGTGGATCGTGGTGTGTTGCGCCACGGACATGGCTCCCTGGACCAACAAGATTCTGTCGCTGCCGGTGTTTCTGCCCTTCGCGCGGCTGACGTATGCCTTTTACCTGATCCACCTGCCCATCATCGCCATCTGGCTCTTCACCAGGAGAGACGTCGACTACTATTACGACGGTCGGTATGCAGGCAGGCAGGCAGCCCGCATCCATCCATCATGTTGGCAAGCTCATGGCTTTGTGTGTGTGTGTGTGTGTGTGTGTTGTCCACCAAACAGGTTTGGTGGCTGTATACTACCCGGCCTTCTTGGTGCTGGGTTTCAGCGTGGCCACCTTCTTCTACCTCTTCGTGGAGGCCCCCTTCATGAACCTCGACAAGCTCCTGCTCGCCAACCTCATGAGAGCCTCCGACGAAGGTGCCAGAATCGCCAAACGTATGCAGACCCCACAACCCACCACACAACACAACACAACACCACATCCACCGGTGGATGTGATGTGTATCAGGCAAAGATGAGAGTGGCGGGCAGGCGAGCTCCGCTGAGAGCTTGATGGACTCCTCCGGCGCCACGCCCCCCGGCCGGCGGGCCATGAGGCACAACGGAGAGCCACATAGCACAAAGACAGACGAGCGCCCGACGGCTGCGCTGCTCAGCGCATGACCGACACACACACACACAACGGGGGGAGGGCGAGGGAGGGAGGGAGAGGAGCGCGTGCGTGTGTGTGTTATTTCTGTCCGTCCGTCTGAATGGCGTGGCGCTTGCGTGCGTGCGGTGTCTATCGTGGTGTCGGTTTAAGAGGGCAGGCAGGCAGGCAGGCAGGCAGAGGTAAGCGAGAGCTTTCTGTGACTGAGTGAGTGGCCCGGTGAGTGAGGTCATTGATCATTGTGTATTTCTCGGTAGCCAATCTGGCTGGCGAGCCAGTGCTAGGGCGCCCCGAGTGCCCGCCACTGCAGCCTGGAGCCTTTTTCTTCACCTACCCAGCCCTGCAGCTCAGCTGCGTCCATAGTCAATGTTGTATAGCAGCAATTCGTTCGGTGAGCGTACATCCATCGTGTGTGTACTTGGGTGGCATCCATGTGACTGTGACAGTCAGTCAGCGAAGCTGCTCCAGAGCTTTACCCCAGGCAGGGAGAACTAAGGCAGGGAGAGAAACACACGGTCAGAGTCGGATCTCACTCAGTCGACCTGCATAAAGGAAGCCACTTATCTATCTCTTTGTCTGACTGTCAGCAGAGTACAGCACAGCCGTCAAGGGGCTTTTGTTTCCCCCGGCCGGCCTGTCGATATGGCATGTTTGTTATGTATACAAGCACTCGGTGAGTGCCATCCATGAGCACGTGCGCACGAATTCGTCTCTGTCCCATGCATTCGCACATGTGCACACTTTGTGTGTCGTGGTTTCTCGGGGGAGAGCACAGAGAGGGTAGAGATCTTCACGAGTGTGGTCAAGGAATGGTGAACCTATGATTGCATGCACTGTCTGCTTGACGTCAGTGGATCTTAAGGGGCGTGCAATTCATATCCCAATGAAATCGCGATGATTTCGATCCTCACCGATCGCCGGCGCTGGCGGGCTGGCTGGTAGGCGCGAAAGAACAGGAAAAGTGAAGAAAGAAGCTTCCTCCTAGGTTGATCACCCGAGGCGGCTTCTCTCGAGGGTGCCCGCAGCCTATAACTCTAGCTATCTACAGCGTGCGAGGGGAGGCTCTCTCGGCGTGATGAGGTTGAAGGCCGTCGATTTGGACAGCAAGTACTGCTGTAGGCTGCCCCAGGAGGTCAGACGATGACAACTGGGCAATGCAGAAGACACCAGGGAAGAAAAGACGCCGCATTTCGTGTGTGTTGTGTTGGGTCATTCAGGTGGTGCAGAGGATCCTGGCGTTTCTTCATTTCAGGGTGCTCGCCCCTCTGGCACCGTGCGCCAAAGTGTACCGTGATGCATTCAAGGAATCCCTGCCATGGCGTAAGGGACGCCACATGCACACGGGGGAAGAACAAAAAAGGCCTGCACACACCGAGTCTCTTTCTGTCTGTCTGTCTGTCTGGTCCTTCAGGTGTGACGGATGGCCTTCTGAACACGCTGTCCATTCCCCCACCCCCGTTGCGACTTCGCCATGTGCGAGCGTCGAGGGGGCAGCCGCTCGATGCCGTTCATGGACCTAGCGGCACCATTGGTAGGTGAGCGAGGGAGCGCTGCAAAAGCCACATGCATTCACAAGTGTTGTGTGGTGTGTTGTGTGACTGCTGCAGTGGTGCACCAGCGCGTTCATCGGAAGCTCAACCAGCTCAAGATGGGCATGGAGGACATCCTGAGTGTGATGCGCGGACACAAGTGCCACATGTCCCACAAGCCCCCGTCCACCCTCGTCCGCCACGACACCATCAAGATTTTCACACCAAAGTGAGCGAGCCAGCACCGAGCCCTTTTCTCACTACTTCTCAACATCCGTCTGTCTGTCTGTCTGTCTGTCTGTGTGCTGGGCGGGTGGGTAGCTTTGTGCTGGTGGCCATTCCCGGCCGTCTCGGCCCCAACAACGAGATGCACATGCATGTGCGACCGTCCCTATATTCGGTATACAACACGCGATACCTGCAGGAGGCGGGTGGTGAGCTGCCACCCCGCCTCAACGTGCACCTGGCCAAGGCCATGCGCGACCACGTCGAGTTCGACAACCCCTACGTGCATCTGACGGACGAGCGCAACTTTGTTATTGCCGCCTCGTCGTCGTCGGGTCGGCGGCAGTGAGTGTGGTGCAGTGCAGTGCAGTGCAGTGCAGTGTAGCTTTCATGTGGGCGCGGTGAGGGGGCTGTGTCGATAGGATTCATGCAGTGTGTTGACGTGACAATATTTCCACATGAATGCGTGTGTGATGGCTGTCGAGACTGTCTGTGGCAGCGAAATCAAGCATTAGTGTCTCTCGAATCCAGGACACGACATGCCCACCCAAAACGGTGCCTATACCCTCTCCCCGGGTCATTGGCCACGCACAACACGCCACATACACCCATTAATCGAGGGACTTCCGTCTGTCTCACTCGCCGCAGGATCCATGCACACATGTCTCTCTCTCTCTCTCTCCCTCTCGCTCTGTGTGCGTGCGTGTGTGCGCTTCTAGGGTGACAACTAACTTTATGTGGTGGCAGGTGCTTGGCTGGCCCGCCGCCACCACATACTGAGACAGACTGGATTTCGATCAGCAATCTCACCGCCGATTGCAAACTCGTGGATGTTTCGACTCTCGTGGATGATCGAATAGATGGCCGTCAACTCATGACAAATGCATTCAATTGTACCCAACAACCCACGCACAGCAGATGAATGGCTCGGCCGATAGCTCACCAGCTGGCACACACCGGTACAGTACAAGCTGTGTGTCGGAGCTCTGTGAAGCGGACACTGTAAGTAAGTAATCAACGCTCCGAAGAGAAGAGACTAATTGACTGTACATTTAGCTGCACACATACAAACAAATACGTCAGTCAACATCGATCAGTCTCACACGTGTGCACCCCCTCCAGGCCTGTACACGCCCATATATCTGCGGCTGCACTCGCAGCACATTCACCAGCCACACACAACCCCCTCGACGACGAGCTGGCCGAGCTCCTTCGTTAACGACCAGTGGCTAGCTGCCCTTCAGCTTCCCCCTTTGTGTCGGCCGCTTCTCTTCCGCCACCAAGTGATAGTTTCGGAACAGCTCTTGGGGGGCGAAACACTCGCGGAAGTTCTCCCACACGCCTGACATACACACATGCATAAGACAACACGCGCAACGCAACCCAGTAATCCATCGGTTGTGTTCATGGAATGGTAAGGGTTCCTCGTCTGTCTCCGTCTCATCCACTGACTGACTGACCACTGACCTTTGTCGTATATGTTCTGGATCTGGTCTGGCCGCTCGCCGCTGAGCTCCAGACGCCGCCTGAAGGAGTCAGAGACACACACGGATATGATGCGCAGGCAGGGCTGGCGATCTGGGTGCTCCACTGATCGACTGACCTCTCGTTGCGATACTTGAAGGTCTCGTTGGTCGTCACGTTCGCAGCGACCTGCCGTAAGAAGGATGGCACACGTCGCGGGGTGTCAGTGTGTCGTGGGGGGTGCGTGTGCCCGGCCAACCGACCAGGAAGAGATGGTATGCGGTGAATGCCACGAGGACAGCCGACATGATGATGCACAGCAGCGTCACGAACATCAATATGGCGTTGTTCGCCAACATGTACTGACGTCCATCGACACACAGAGAGACAGAGAGAGAGGGATGGCTACCGACGGCAGGACAAGAAGAAGAAATGGCCTCTTCGTGCCGACTGACCTGGAAAACGATTGAGTACGAGGCAGAGAATCGCTCTCCTGTGACGGCATCGACATACACAGCTGCAAACACGCACACAAGGACAGACAGGTCTGCCCTCCCCTCCCCTCCTCTCTCTTGGCACAACCGGTCCACGCACCCACAGCCACCACACCCGTACCTTGGAACAGCTGCCTCTCTATGATCTGTCCCAGCAAGATCAATACACCTTTAAAGCAGCGCAGCCACAGACAGCAAGATGAACAAGATATCACTCACTCACGGTGCACATGCCTTCTGTGCTGGCCGAGTGTGGTCGGTGTGTGTGTGTGCGTGTACGTGTGTGCGTGGTTGCGTACCGACGAGGGATCCATACACACAGAGGAAAGCGTGTGTGAGGAGGAAGTAGATGAACCACCGGTGGTTGCCCTCGCCCACACAGTTGCCTATCCACACACAGTGATGGTCAAACCTGCTCAAACAGAAGGTCCACCCACAAACACAGCACTACTCCCGCCTCTCTGCCTGGGCGTCTGGGTCTCTCTGTCTCTGTGTGACTGACCTGACGACGCACACGTCGCACATGCTGCAGTGTTTTGACCGTGCTGGTTTGAGGGTATCGCAGGTCGGGCACTTCTTGCCTTCAACAAAGATCACCCCGTCATAGGGAAACTGGGACACACACGCCTTCTCGTTGGCCCTATGCACAATCCCTACACACACAAAGGGGGCGGAAGGAAATGGGGTATGTGTGCTGCATTCACATGCCGTTCATACGGACCTGGGTCTTTGAGAGATGCAATAGCAAAGGTGAACAGGCACACAGCGAAGGCAACCAGGCCGCCCCACCTGCAGCGCAACAGTGTGTGTCTTCCCATGCACCCTGCCGGCTGTGGTGCATTGCATAGCTGAGTGTCTGCTCGCTCACTTGTGGGCGCCACTGATGAGCGGCCCGGGCATGTACGGGTAGCCTGATGGACAGACAGACAGACAGACAGGCACAGATCTCATGCAGGAATCGACCGCCTGTGTGTGGCAGGGGTCCGCTCACCGAAAGTGACGAAAGCAAAGTACCCCCCAACCACTATAAACAAGTAAAAGATCTGCACCACACACACACACACACACACAATGAGCAAGTAGCACGGCACTGCATTGACATTGACCTGTATAGAGGGGTTGTTTTTGTAGAGCAGGTAGTGCATCCACGAGTCGACCACCTCGGTGCCCTTGTCGCCGAAGAGCACCTTCAGCGTGCTCTTGAACGCCCACGGCACGCCGATGCACACGCACCTGGTGATGATGTCGATGCACGTAGAGCCTTCGGGGTCGCCGCAGCACAGGATCATGGCGGCGAAGCCGCAGATAGATAGATAGGTGATTATCCACAGCCACCAAGCCATCTGCTGATGCGATGAAGAAGCCAAGATCTGAAGCTCAGGCTGTCAAGAGAAGGCTACCTCACGGCTGGCTGAGGCGTAATCTCACGCGTAATCTCAACACTCCTCTCTGCGTGAAGAAGTCACAGTGATTGCTTCAAGCCCGCAGTTAAGCTCGCAAAAATGGGGAGTGAAAAAGATGACCACGCAGCAGCGCGTCAGAAGAGCGGCTGCATCACGACAGTAAGACCATCTGTTCGACGTTTTGACATTCGATTTGGACATTGATGCGCTCGTGAGGCATCAGCTGCTACCTGTTGCCTCACTGTTCGAAGGTGAGGGACACACACGCTGGAGATTAGATTGTCGCGCAGCCTCACTCCTGTCATTGTGCATTGCGTGTCGTCGTCAGGCAATGTTGGCCTCCGCCCTGCAGAATGGCGTTCACCATGGTGGTGGGAACGGCGAGGAGATAACGTCGTGCGGCAGCTGCCAGTACAAGCAGCAGCGCATCCAGGACCTCCAGGATGAGGTGCTCCGGCTGTCCAACGCCTACCACAGTAAGCTCACAAACACGCGCAGACCCTCGGCCTCTGACCGACCCTGACTGACGTGTTTGCTGTGCGTGTGTCTGGGTGCAGACCTGACGATTCAGTCGGTGTTCACGACGCCCACGGCATCGGCTGCCGTCGCGCCCCCCTCCATGTCCGTTGCCGTTGCCGTGCCCCCGCGTGCAAGCAAACTCGGCCTCTCACGCGCAGCCACGTCCGTCAATGCCGACGTACGCAGCACAGCAGGCACACACACAGACCACACACCCGCCCCCCGACAGACACACGATGAGATGAGTCAATCCACTGCCAACCGGCTGTTCCTGCGTTGCCTCTAACGATGCAGGTGGACCGTGCGTCGGCCATTCCGGCGGCCTCGGTGGGCTGCGGCGTGTGTGCAGGTGGCGAGACGGCCTCGTTCTCAGCGGGGAGCGGTGGCGAGGTGGACAACGACAACGAGCAGGAGGAGCAGGGCTTCCACGGCATCATCGAGGACGGCATGGGCATGACGATGAGCATGGGTGGCGGAACCGACGTGGACGGCGGCAAGCAGGGTGACGGCGATGCGAAGGAAACGGAGAGGGAACATGAGGATGACACTTATGAGACCGGTAGGTGGGGGAATGAGGGAGGGACACTCTTGGCCCTCGTGTTCTGCCAGACAGACAGACAGAAATGATGGATGGTGTGTGCTCCCTCTGTGTGATGTGTTGTGTGTGGCTGGACGATTGGTGCAGTTGAGGAGGCTGTCGACACCATTCGCCGCCTGCGTGCCGAGATGGAGACCATGCGCGGAAGGCTGCAGTACCTCGAGAGGAGGGAAACAGAACGTCGGTCACACACGACACGAGCGCCCTGACATGCATTCGTATGTGCGTATGTATCTATGTTGCCTGCTGCAGGGTCCCAGGAGAAGCGTCGACAGGAGAAGAAACTCAGCAGCCTGCTGCAGGCCTTCGCCGAGACGGTCAGTGGCCAGAAGCGAACGAATGACCAAAGAGAGGAACGACCCCTTGCCGCTGCTGCGCTCGATGCAGGTGAACATCAGTGCCTGGTACTGCGACACGGAGGACCAGGCAACGACCTACTGCCACCACTCCAGGTGCGTGCAGCAGAAACAGATGCTCACACGTACTTGTCTAATTGTGTGGTCACGTCGCATCCCTGATGTGTGCAGCAAGGTGTATGAGGCGCTGACGGGCCGGTCGATGCCGAACGACGAGAACACCATCCAAAGCTTCGAAGATTCGCTACAATACTTCCAGGTACCGACCGTACCCTCTTCTGTGCGTGACGTGCACCATCCACGTGTGTGGGGTGGTGCAGGAGCCCGGCCGCGGGGAGCTGCAGATGGCGTGGAACAAGCTGCGGACAGAGGGGTGCGGCTACACACTTGAGCTCGGATTAGAGCGGCCTGATGGCCAAGTGCGGTGGTTCAAGTGTGCGGGTCGGATGGAGAAGGAGGGCTCCAACCACCATGAGGCAGGCCTCATGTGGGGCTTCATGATGGTATGGTATCCATTTTATCCACACACATCACATAGGGAAGATGAAAGGCCTCCTCCCATCCCATGTTTGTGTCAACTATTTAATGGTCAGGACACGACAGAGGAGAGGAAGAGAGAAGGCGAAAAGGAGCGGTTCCGCGGCCGGCTGCAACGGCTGGCGGACGTCACTTTCGACGGATGGGGACTCGGCGACCTCCAAGAAAGAGTCCTCATTGAGGTGGGTCGTTTGGCACACCAATACCACACACACACACACACAACAGACCTGCCTATCTGTTGTGGCCGCGTGTGTCAGTGTTCGCCGTCGCTCAACGTGTTGTTTGGTCGCCGTCTGGAGGGCACGCCCATCGAGCAGACCCTGCCGTCCACCGTCATCCAGCGCATCGCTGCCGACGGATACGGCAGACACCTGCCAGTGCGGCTGAGGCGGTCTGACGGGGAGGTTTTCGTGGCAGAGCTCAATGCGCTCGTCGACTCTGACGATCCAGGTGAGAATGTCGACGAGTGGGAAGCGAAGCCAATAAGAGTACATTCTGATGTGGCCTTGTGATGCGCTCAGCCTTGGTCTTTTTCGCCGTTCGTGTGGTGGAAGATGAGTCGACCAGCCCCACACCCACACTCGGACCGCCGCCACCCCTCAGCAGTAAGGAGCAGCAGCACAGACGAGGCCTTCACACACGTCTCTCGCACTGTGTGTACCTGTGTCGTCTCCCTGCCTTCATCCCTCTATCTATGCAGTTCGCAGCGCCCGAACTGCTGTCAGAGGCAGCCGGACATCCAACTCATCCAACTCGTCTTCCAACACCAACCGGCAGCGGCCCCCCCAGCCCCCGCAGCAGCGGGCGGGCTCGCTGGGCAACCATCAGCCGTCGCCCTCCCCCCCTCCCCCGCCCACCAGGCAGGAGACGCCCCCCTCGCCCACAGCTGCGCTGCCGCCACTGCAGGCGAAGCGGAGGGAAGGCGACTCCAAACCAACAAGGGCTACAGGGTTGGCAGTGGTGACGGGCAGGAGAGTTCTGAAGGAGTCGCCCAGTCCGTCACCGTCTCGCGGCTCGCGGTCTCCTCTCGAGATTGCTCGGGCCGACCTGCCAGCTGTGTTGGAGGAGAAAAAGGACGACGAGGCGGGAGATGATGTTGCCGTCTCGCCCTCACCTGTCCGCGCAGCTGCTAGGCCGCCCTCCCCCCTGCCGAGCGCATCCTTCCCCTTCCCCGCCCCCGCTCCCTCCTCCACAAGCGCGGATGCCACCAACACGGCCGTCTCTCCCACATCCACCGCCGCCCCAGTGGTGCTGGATGGGGCTAACGAGCCCCCACCCAATGTGTCCCCGGTCAACGGCATTCCCCCATCAGCCGGGCCGGCAGAGCAGCCCAACCACCGCCACCAATCGCGGCCTCTCACTCTTGCACCGAGGTACCCATCACTATGCGGCAGCGACAAGGGCGACCGCGGCGAGCTGTCGTCGCCCCCGCCGCCCGTCAGCCCTGCCCACCAGGAGCTCAAGGGCGACAGGGCGTCCTTCATGCTGTCGCCCACATCAGACGACATGATCAAGAACGGAGTGGGTGTGGGTGTGGGCGGCAGCAATCCGCAGGTGAGGTTCGGCGGGCCGTCGAGTCGTCCGCGTGCGGTGCCGGGTGCGCAGACATCCTTCCTCGCTCGCCTGGCACAGGCATCGTCGGCTGAGGCAACCCAGGCCGGCGGAGCCGTCTCGATGGCGGTCAACGGCACGAGCACGGGCCTCTCCCTCGCCTTTCCCCCTCCGCTGCCACACCAGGCGTCCCGCGGTTGCTCTCAGTCGCCCTCGTCCCAGGCCAACAAGAGGGCAGAGCCAGACGTGGTCGACACGCACCCATCGCCACCGCACCCGCACAAGGGCCGAGGTGGGCTGCCCAACGGCCCATCGTATGGGGTCGGTGGCCTGATGGACGCCGAGAGGACGGAGGAGATTCTGGCGCAGGGGACGGCGTCGTCGCCTGTGCGGCTGGAGCCGTTCCTCAGGGAGTTCCAACTCTTAGCCGGTGTGGTGTTTGATGGCTGGGCGGTAGGCGACTTGCAGGAGGGGGTCATTGTGAATGCGAGCCCTGGTTTGAACACGCTCTTCCGACGGGCGGTTGAGGGCACACAGATGGCCGAACTGTGAGTGTTTGCAGCAGAGAGAGCGGACGGGCACACGCAATACACATCGTCTAGGGAGCGTCCATGGCATGGATGGGTGCGGCTTGTCTGTGTGGTATATGCAGGTTTCCCCCATCTGTCCTGACCACCATCCGAAGGTACGACGGACGATGAGATAGAGTTAGATGCATTCTGCATTTGCCTGTGTGTGGTCACTGACTGACTTTGCTTTCAGCACTGGTTGCGCCCGGCACCTGCTGGTCGACCTGACGCGCGGCGACGGCACGCGGCTCGTGGCCGACGTCAATGGCGTCATAGATCCTGACTCGATGGGCTCCGTCTTCCTCACCGTATCCGACCTCACAGACACCTACCAGGACAGCCACCACCAGCTGCATCTCAACACGGCCGTGACGGCCAGCAGCACCTCGTCAGTGGACCGCACACACGGGGGCCTCACCGGTGTGGCGGGCTCTGGCCAGCCCGCCAACATGCTGTCTGCATCGGCGGCCTGCCCGGCCATCGACGAGGAGGAACGTTTGAGTGAGTCGGTGCACTCGCCGCGAGAGAGGGAGAGGCAGATGAGCACCAACACCAACGCCAGCAGCAGCAACAACAACCAGTCCACCAATGTGCGGCCACCGCGGAGCTTCAACAATAGGGACGTCCTGCATCTCTACTTGTAAGCTATGATGCTATCCACGATGAGGCGAAACACACCGGCCGAGCCGCCTGTGTGTAAGTATGGCCTCCCCTTCTGTCTCTCTGTGTGTGCAGCAACGAGTTGGGCGATCTGTATCTGAAAGTGAAGGACCGGCAGCCAACCGCGAGCTCTCCTGGCCCCTCGTCCCAGGCCAGCGGCAGCAGGTCACTCCGACCGCCCGCCGGCCGCAGATCACGCCGCTTCCGAGGTGGATCGCTCTCATCACGGTCATCGTCAGGGGGCGCCTCCACCGGCAGTTCGGCATCATCATCCCTGCCAACCATATTCGAGAATGTCCACGAGCACGACGGTGAGGACGGCGAGACCAACGAGCACCAGAAACACCACCCTGCGGCCAAGAGGCACCACCACAACCATGGGCTTCGCCCGCGAGGGGCCAGTGCAGGAGCAGCAGCTGCTGCTGCGAGTAGTGGAGGAAACGGCAGGCATCCGGAGGCTTCAAGCTCGTTCCGTGACGTGGGTGGCGGGGGGAAGGGGTAGACACAGGGATGTGTGCAGACAGACAGACAGACAGAGGGTGGTGTGTTTACTTGTTTCGTCGTGCTGCATCCGTGAGATTGACTGATCCACCTGTGTGAGAGTCTTTATCGCCCTGACCGACCGATGGATGTGACAGAAATCCGAAGGCCGATTCATTCATTCAATCATTATCACGACGTCTTCTCTGTCCATATCTTTCACGCACTAGAAAGGCAGCCGCACTTGCCGACCAGTCGCAACTGCGAGCTTTGCCCTCACCCACCTTTAATCAATCAGTTGAACCCATCCCCCCATGAGACGACAAGGGCACTCAGGCCATGCACACGCGCACGCAGGGCACGCAAGTGTCGTCAGGTGTTGATATTTACAACGAAGAGAAGAGAGAAGCATGCTCTATCCACCAGGCCCTCGCGCTAAGCAGTCTGCCTGTTTCTCGGTGCTAACAATCCATCCATCTGCAGCTATGTCTGGCAGTGCGTGCATGTGACCCCTTGACTAGCTAGCTATCCGGCCGGGAGGGGGCAACAACGTCTAAATCCGCTGAATAGCATCAGCGATCCCCTCGATGCTGATCAGCCGCATTTCCACATACCGCTTCAGTTGTGGGTCGATGAATTGCCTGATCTCCCCCTCTCGCATCGACCCCAACATGGCCTTCTCGCAATCATTCTCGCCGGCCACACGAATCACTAGCCCGGGCAACTCCATCGCGTTCCTCTTGCCGTGAAATCCGTCAGTCCATGTGGCCCAGTGCAGCTTGACCATGTCGTTGACTGTCGGCACCTTCCCGGTCCCTTCGCGCACGATGCGGTAGCGGATACCGCACGGCGTCACAGTGAAGCCGTCATCTCTGTTGTCGCCGTCGCCTACCGCCGCCGCTGCCGCTGCTGCTTGTGATGGGTGTTGCCGCCCTTCTTGCTGCTGGTCTTGACGTTGCCTCTTGGAGCCAACCGATGGCCTGACAACAAGAGGGCAACCGATCATGAGATAGGCACATTGATGAGCCGACCACATGGCTCACTCATGGTGCTCGAAGCAGAGCTTGATGTGGTGGTGGAATGATGGCTTGATGGCCACACGATGGCCCTTGACGTCCATCTCGTAACCGCCGCGGCTGTCCTCATAGACAAAGTGCCCATCCAACAAGCCGACGACGCGGTCACTCATGGGCTGCATGCACACAGCAATTCGCCTGGCGATTCGTGACACCCATGCATTCCATTTCCTCACCTGTACTTGTCGCTGATGCTGATGGTGGGAGATCTGTCAAAAGCGACTTGTGATCTCGGTAAGCAACCCGCTCAGCTCGCTATCCTCACGCCGGGGTCCAGCGGCGTCAGCAAAAGCGGGAAAAGATCGCCAACTGCGAGCTTGTGAGCATCTTCGTCAAGTGCTTGGCCTATCTCACACAAGCGCTTTTCTATCGACCTGTTTGGTGTCGAGATGTACGGGGGCACGTTCGATGGTTCAAGCAAAGGGCGTGTGGTGTCACTCGCTGGTGCCAGCGGCCGCAAGCAGGACAAGACGGCCTTCCTCGCGCAGCAGCGGCGTGAACGGGAGGAAAGGGAGCGCCACAGACTGCGGGAGAAGAGCGCCACGGCCATCCAACGAGTCTACCGCGCTTTCCGGGACCTTGAGCAGCACCGCAGCGACGAGAGGGCGCTGTTCGATAAGCGAGTCGCCGACGTGCAGCGCGTCCGGGCAGCCCTGCCTCAGGACGTGAGTGCGAAAGCAGTGGCCACCGTGCTGCCCCTGCTGTTGCGGCACATCCAGTTCTTCATGAGGGTGACGCGAGCGGACCAGGCCGACCGCGAGCGGCTGACCAGGGTGGTGGAGTGGGTGAGGGAGTCGGGCCAGCAGCAGCCGGGCAATGGCAACTTCTTCGCATCCGGCCGGTCGACCGACCGCCAGATCGTGGCCGTCTACACGGTGCAGACGAAGCGGCTGCTGACGGCCCTGCTGGCCCTCCACTTCCCCCCCGACTGCATCCTCAACGTGCTCGACTGCTTCGTGTCGTCAGGGCAGCCGAAAGGCGGCAGCGTGGGCGGCCTGCTCGACGCGAAGCTGCCGGCTCACGTGTCGGCGGTGGTGGCGCACCTGGTGCAGCGATGCGGTCTGTTTGGGTTCTTGGCGGACTGTGTGGGTGGGTGGCTGCGTGAGGGGGAGAGGAGGGGGGACGTCATGATGGCCGCCAACATGGGGGTGGTCGCCACCGCTGCCGTAGACGAGCAAGGTACGCCACCGCCGCCCATTGTACGGCTGTGGTCATGGTCATGGTCATGGTCATGGCTTGGTTTGTTGTCTTTGTGTGCGTGGATGCAGATGTGCCCTATCGCAGCGAGGGGTTCTTTGTGCTGTTGTTCGCCATTCCCTACTTCGTCCCGCGCACCCTGCAGACCTCCCACGACGTGCTGCAGCTGATCCGCAATCCGCCGGGCCGGCTGGTCGATCGCCTGTGGCAGCGGCCCACTTCACAGGGGACGACCATCGATGGGACCGTCACGGTGAGAGAGGGAGGGAGGGAGGGAGGGAGGGAGAGATTGGGAATGGCAGTGGGGTGAGGGAAACGTGTTGCATGTCTGCATGGTGTCATGGGTGTCAGGATGGGCAGCCCGCTGCAATGTGGACGCTCGGCAACCTCCTTTCCTTCCTGCAGCAAGTCCACAACGAAGGAGGTAAATAAATAAAGCAACCAAAGCAACCAGCCACTCACCTCTCGCTCCCACACTCCTATGCCAAACACTCTTTCAGGCGAGCTGCCGCCCCTGTATCTGCGGTTGCTGTCCTGGTCCCACGAGAAGGTCCCCCCGCTGCACCTGAAAAAAGCCCTCAGGCGGTACCACCACCTCCGCCGCGCCAGCAAACAAGCGGAGACCGTCGATGCCGACATGCCACCTGCTGCTGCGGCGGCGGCTGCTGCTGCTGCGGAGGGTGGTTGGAGGAGGGAGGATGTGGTCATGCGCGACGTCAGTGTGAGCGTGAGTGGGGGCACTGGGCCGTTCGATGAGCCGCCTGATCGGGTGAGTGACTGAGTGGGAAGAGGCGGACGGATCGGGGGATGGGATGTGTGACGGTGTGATGTGTGATGTGTGGTGTGTTGGGTGTCATGTGTCCATCCATCTGTCAGTTGTGCTGTCAAGTGGGTATCCTGTTGGAACGGTTTTTGCTGCGGTCGCTGCTCGCCATGGTCGAGGGGGACCCGCACCAACGTACGCACACAAACACAAACCACACATCCCTCACTCACCCATCTCTCTGTTCGTCTGTCTGTCCCTCTGTCCCTTACCACAGAGATCGCATATCTGCTTCAGCTGTACTTCCCCCCGCCCCCCATGCCGGTCCCCACATCGCCCCCTCTCCGCGGCGTCACGGCAGGCTCACACATGTCACACCACTCCGTCGACGAAGATATGGAGGAAGAGCAAGAGATCGGCAGCAACGTCGCCGGTGCGCGTGTGTGTGTGGGGGGGTGTGTGTGTGGGTGTGTGTGGAACCTACGCATCTCTCATTGTGTGTCTTGTGTGGTGTCTTGTCTTGTGTGATTGTGTGCAGCGATTGACCCAGCAGTGCTCAACACGCTTGCATTTGCGACGGGGTTGACGGCGAAGCTGTATTCGCTGATCCGGCAGGAGGTGACGCGGATCATGCAGGCCAGCAAGTGCTCCTTCACCACGATGGTCGACAGCTTCCTCTCTCAACTCGGCAGCCCGCCCGTATTCCTCAGCCCACTCGCAACCATCCTCCGGTGAGTGAGTGGGTCTGTGGGCCTGCCCTGCCACACACACCCTCACCCTCACACACCCTCCCCTGGTCTCTCTCTGGGTGTGCGTGCTCAGGGCGTTCTGTGCGGTGTATCTGCATCAGCTGCAGGTCATGTACGACCACGAGTTCCGCGGCGACGGCCACGGCCCCAGCGACGGTCATGCTGGCCACGACGCCGGAGCGACCAACTCCCAGCGCAACCCCCTGTCCATCCCAGAGGTGCGGTGGATCACCCCTTTCCTCAACCTGCTCGCATTCCGGCTCGTCAAGACCTCCATCACCAATGCGCCGCAGGCAGGCGCGCCGCCCAAGGTGAGCAAAGAAGCGGGGGAGATTGACGGCGCAGAGGGTGCACTGTGTGTGTGTGTGTGGCATAATGGCATGTATCAGTGGTCGCTGCGGCAGCTGCTGACTGGCCTGGTGCGGAGTCTGTACGATCGCGATGCGCGGGTGCATTTCATGAAGGACGGCGACTGGGTGGTCGGCGAGGCGCGCTCACTGCTGGTGAGGCCCGACCCCCTCTACCCCACACCCACCACCCCGCCACACACACACACTCTCTTCTTTCTCTCTGTGTGTGTGGTGCATCTCTATCAGCGCAACCGCTATCAGCTGATTCAGGGTCTGAATGCGCAGTCTCCCTTTGACGACTGGGAGGCCGGCAGCCAGGTGGGCGGCGGTGTGGCCAACACGGCCATCCCTCACGCCAACGACATCCTCGACGCCGTCCTGCTCGAAATCCCACACACCGTCCCATTCAACGACCGCGTCCTGGTCGGTCTTTCTGTCTGTCCGTCTCTGTCAAAAAAGTGGCAATCAATGCTCTCATCTGTGCCTGCCCTCTCTGTCTGTCTGTCTGTCTGTCCATCAATCCATCAGGTGTTCCGTCACAACACGGCGGAGGACCGTCGTGAGAGAACTCGGAACCCTTTCGGAGGGCCGCAGCACGTGCACCAGATACGGAGGGACTACATCGTCGAGGACGGGCTCACCTCTCTCGGCTCACTCGACGGTGCGCGCGTGAGGCCCCCGACGCCCTCCGATCCATCCATCCATCCATCCATGTGTGTCGGTGTGTGCAGAGGCGGGTCTGAAGGATGTGTTCCGCGTCCAGTTCGTTGATTCTGACGGCATGGTGGAAGCCGGCATCGACGGCGGCGGGCTGTTCAAAGAATTCCTCGTAAGATGATGAGAAGACTTGGACCCTCCACAACCAGACAGACTTACCCAGCCAGACACACGCCGACCTCTCGTGTGTGTCACACGTGTGTGTGTGTCAGATTTCGCTGTCCCGCACGGCCTTTAATCCCAACTACGGTCTGTTCCAGGCGTCCCCCAACGACCAGTCGCTGTACCCCTCACCGGCCGCATTCGTCGCTCATCCAAACGCCGCTCAGCTCTTCACGCTGCTCGGCAAAGTCGTCGGCAAGGTGGGCAGGGGATGGCAATCCACTCCTGTCTGTGGATTGGTCGCTATGATGTGTGTGTGTATGCGTATCAGGCGTTGTATGAGCACATTCTGATTGAGCCGCAGTTCAATCGGGTGTTCCTGAACCTGCTGCTGGGGAGACTCAACCAGGTGAGAGACCTATGCTCTCATTCGGTGCACTGATGCATGGATCTGTCTGGTGTGGTGGTGTGTGGTGTGTTGGGAATAATGGCCAGGTTGATGACATTCCTTCGCTCGATCCCGAGTTCCACAAGAACCTCCTGTACCTCAAACAGTACTCTGTACGTCAAGAAAGACAGAGACACACACGCTCAGAAGGATCCTCGCCCATCAGCACACACCTGTGTGTGTGTGTCTGTGTGTGTGGTGTGTGTGGTGTTTGTGTGGTCAGGGCAACGTCGAGGAGCTGTCGCTGACCTTCGCGGCATCCGTTGGCGAGCTGGGCTCTACCGAGGTGAGCCACAGCACCGACCTGTGTGTGTGCGTGTGTGTGCGTCATTTGTCTGCGCGTATGTGTGTTTCAGGAGCATGACCTCATCCCCAATGGCCACAACATCCCTGTCACCAAGTAAGCAACCCCCCCCCCCACACAGATGGATGGAGAGGTCGCCCTTGTCATCTGTGTGTCGGTGTCTGTGTTGATCTGTCTGTTACCTATTGCCTTGATTGACTGACTCGTTCAGCGAGACCAAGTTCAAGTACATTCACCTCATCTCCCATTTCAAGACCAACGTCCAGATCAAGACACCCACTGACGCGTTCCTTCAAGGCACGCACACACACCACACTCTGTCCCCCGCCCCCCTCTCTCACCTCACCCACCACTGTGTGTGGATGTGACACACACACACACATGTGCAGGTCTGCAGGCGGTGCTGCCCCTGGAGTGGCTGCGCATGTTCAGCCAGGACGAGCTGCGGCTGCTCATATCAGGCACGCCGGAGGGCTTCGACGTCCTCGACCTCAGACGGCACACACGGCTTGCGGGCGGATACGAGGAGGGTGACGAGACCATCAAGCTCTTCTGGGAAGCGCTGGTGAGTCCATCAGCACTCACCTCAGCCACACAGAGAGAGCTGAAGGGACTCTGTGTGCATGTGTGTGTGCAGAAGGAGATGGACAAGAACGAGAGGGCGGCCTTTCTCATGTTTGTCACGTCATGCTCCAGGGCGCCGCTGCTGGTGAGTGTGAGTGTGGGTGTGAGGGAGCGGGCAGGTGATGGTCAGCTGATTGCAATCATGTGTATGTGTGTGTGTGTGTGTGTATGTGCAATTGCAGGGTTTTCAGAACTTGACGCCTCCGTTTTCGATCCACCGTGTCAACGACACCACCAGGCTGCCCACAGGTGTGTCCATCACTCACACACTTACACATGCATCGCATGGGCGTATGTGTGTTTGGTTACATTCATCAATTGTGTGCAGCGTCTACGTGTGCCAACCTGCTGAAGCTGCCCGACTACCGCAACAAGGCGACCATCATGAAGAAGCTCAGGCAGTCCATCTTCTCGGGGCAAGGATTCCAACTCTCATAGGAGGACAAACAAGCCAATCCCCTCAACCCCCTCCCCCGCCCCACCCCCTCCCCCGCCCCCTCTCGCCCCCCCGCGCCCTCTTGTGTGGGCCCGGCAGCCAGCCAGACAGAGAGACAGACGCTGGCTGTTGTGCTGATGCCCCATCCCCTGCCCTCGCTTGATTGACAAACAGACACGTGCAATGCATCCTCATGACATCCTCGACCTCTCTTATCCCATTCATTGTACAGCTAGTTGCGGACTTGCCATGCACCTCTGACCGATCGAGGGCACCCATCAGTGCGCGCCTCCCTTCGTCTTCATGCGTATGTCTGAGTGTTTTTTGCGGCGAAGCGAAGCGAAGCGAAGCGAAGCGAATGGAAGGGAAGCACAGGGGGGATGGGGGCCTCTGTTGTTTTGGCTAGGTGCATCTCTGTCGTGGCCACGACAGATGGACAGACACAGACACCCTTGTGTGCCCCCATGCCTGTGTGGACTTCCGTCGTATATGCGTCTCGTGGTGTGTGTGTGTGTTGTGTGTCGGTGGAAGCAAGCGACTGAATGCTTGCTTGGCGGTGCGTTGCGTGATGCGTGCGTCCATCTCTCTCCCCAGAGATTTTTGGCGTGACTCCCCTGACTTAATCGACGGATGGTACACACAACTCCCTCCACCCACGGTCAACGAAACAATCGTCAGTAGAACAACCAACAAGAAGACCCACCCACTCATGCCACGGACACAGACGTCCCCACCCTCCCTCCCTCCCAGCCCTTTACTTCAAGTGGCACACTGCTGTCTCCCTCATCTTCAGATGGACGGATGGCTACGATAGGTCGGTCATCTCAGAGATGGGAAATCATGTGTTGGGGAAAGCGCTGTGTCGTGTGGGTGTGGCGTCGTGGTGGCTGTCCGAGTGGTGCAGCAGCACCGGGGGCACGCTGAACGCACGGTTCGACGCCAAATGCGATAGAGACACGGGGCCGCTCGGGTGCGGGTGCGACTGCTGCTGCTGCACACACGCAACACAGCCAAACCGACACACGCAGAGAGAGAGAGAGAGAGAGAGAGAGGATGATTCAGACCTTTCAGACTTCGTGTCTCGTGCCGTGCGTGGCATGAATACCACGTTCATGACAGATGCGGCCGATGCGCGCATCATCGGACACGACACCGGCAGCTGAGTGGGCGGAGGGGGAGGAGGGGGTGCGACACGGGCCACAGCTCCCACCGATGCCGCGGAAGGCCCCCCTCCCCCGCTCCCACCTCCCTCCCCTACCTGAATCACACCCGCCGGCTGCTGCTGCTGCTGCTGCTGTTGGTGCTGCTGTCTGCTCACCACCCTCACCGCCAATTCGGCCTCCTGCATTATCTCCCACGGCGACTTCTCGCTCACAGGCGACAGCAGCACCCGCCCGCCAGGCGATACCGACGGCGTCCCCGGCGATGAGGAGCCCGTCTGCTGCCCGTTGGTCGGGAAGAAATAAACCACTGGTGGCGGGGCGAGACTCATTGCGCTCGGGACACCCCCCCCAGCGGCCCCAACAGCAGCAACCGAAGCCGCCTTGCTCTGTGGGCCTGCTCCTGGCGCCGCAGAGGGCCCGACCTGATATTGCTGGTATTGGTGATGATACCGGACGGCACTCGGCCTGCCCTGGGCCTCGGGGGAGGCCACTGGGCTGGCCTCGATGGTGGGGTCCTGGCAGATGGCGCTTGAGTGCCTGCGGTGGATGTTGGAGGCGTCCCCTTCATGTTGCTGCTGATGGGGGAAGTTTGGTGGCCGGGACGGCGCGCCCATGGGCGTGGGAGTACCTGGAAGCGGCTCCATCGCTTCTCAATTCCGAGCTCGCAGTCGACTGGGGTGCTCTCTGAAACCGCCAAACTGGGGTTTGGACGACAAATCGGATCACGCTTCGGTGTGAAGTAGGGTCTTTTGAATCATCAACCTGTTAATCGGTGTTTTCAAGAGGCAGATCTCTGTCACCATCATCCTGAGTGTTTCTCAACGAACTGTCAACGAAGCATGGCAGCATCTGAGGAGGCGTCGCAGTTCGAGGAGCTCATAGGCTTCATCTCTGACCCGCGCGTGTCGGCGAGATCCGGCGCCATCGACATAGTGGTTGGCTTCGCAACCAACAAGGCGTTCGTGGACTTCTGCAGCGACAGGGAGCGGGCCAAGTCGGTGGTCAAGCCGCTCCTGCGGCAGCTGGGCCAGGGCAATGAGCTGTCCCACAAGGCACTCACTGCACTCATCAACCTCGCGGAGATCCCTGAGATCGGTACGCGGCAGAGAGCCAGACCGAAGCGCTTGTCGCACTCACTAGTGTGTGTGGTTCCCCGGTGTGCTTCTTGTGCTTGTTGTGCTTGTCTGTCTTCAGTGTCGTCGATGCTTGATGCGTCGGGTGTTCGTCGGCTGATGGAGAGTCTGTGGGACATGATGGCCGCTCGGGAGAGCCGCAGCCATGACAGCACGCCGCTGCACGAAGAGCTGAACCTCATGCTGCTGGCCAACCTCACGAGGGACGACAAGGGAGTCGCACACGTGCTGCAGGTGGGTTATTGCCGAGGGGCATGAAAGGGGTTCTCATTCATCCATCAGATCCATGTCACACAGTGTGTTGTGCCATCTATGTGTAGACCCACGAGAAGGAGGAGAGTCGTGGGTCGTTCCTCGCCACTCTGCTGAAGCTATTCTTCGATCCCCCGGCGCCATCAGAGGACAGGTGGGTGTGATTGATGTTTGAATGGCGGCCATGGGCACGGTGACCGTGTGTATTGTATTGGATGATGCTTCTCTGCTTGTGTGTGTCGTGTCAGGGAGCACCCTGATCGGTGCCTGTGGGTGGGGCACATTCTATTCAATGTCACGGGCACACAAGAGGGCAGAGAGGCCTTCCTCAAGGGGGCGCCACACACGCTCAACGCTCTCAGGTACGCACAGACAGACAGACAGACAGACAGCCAGGGGCTGACAGACAGGGGCTCCCAATGTGCTCGTACGGACGGCGGCCTCTGTTTCCCTCCTCTCTCTGTCCAGTAAGCAGCTTCGCTACACTGGTCGTCGCCCCACCGTCCTGCAGACCCTCCGGCATACAGCGCTGGACCAATCCGCCCACCAGAAGTTGCTCGCCGACCAGGTGGAGCTGATGCCCCGCGCACTGACCCTCGTCTACCCGCCAAAGGGCCCCAAACGGGACAGGCCGGTGATTGAGGGGCAGGGGAATGGCGTGACGGAGGCGCCTGTGGCCGACGCGTCGGTGCATCCCATCATCGATGTAAGTGAGTGACCGACACAGAAAGGGTTTGCGTGCATGTATGTATGTGTGTTGTCCCCGATCAGACTGATGGGTTCGGTCCAGTGCGCGACGAGTCAGTCCGCAAGTTGGTTGCCGACATCGTCTTCATCCTGGGGGCCACCAAAAGCGGCAGGTAGGAAGGCACCTGACACATGTGGGTGTCGTCAACTGCCGCAGTGTGTTCTGTCTGCTTCTTTCCTTCAGGGAGGGGTTGCGGCGGCTGGGTGCGTACGAGGTGCTGCGGGCATGGCATCTCAACGAAGAGGCCGACCACATCCGGTTGGCGGGCAAACACACACATGGACAAAGAGAGATGTGCCTGCATCGCTCTCTGTGTGTGCGTCTGTGTGTGCAGGGACCAGATCGAGAACATGGTGCACCTGTTTCACTATGAGGAGGAGGAGCTGGACGAACAGGACCGGCTTGAGGCTTTGAGGCGGCAGACACAACAGGCACTCAAAGCCGCCAAGGAGAAAGCCGAGGCCGACAAACACACCACTGACACGTACGAGGAACCAGCACGCAGCGGCACGCACAACTCTGCCCATAAACTGTCTCTCTGCCTGCCTGTCCAGCTCTTCTCGCGACACCGACGTCCCCCCTCCCCTGTCAGCAGACGAGGCCGTTGCCGATGGCGCGCCAGGCGCTGGTGTGAGTGAGAAGACGAGTGTGCCGTTCAAGGTGTCCACACAAGTGGACGAAATGGACTGAAGTGAGTGGATGCGCGTGTTGCCTCGTGTCGGGAGTGCTTTGGGGCTGTGTGTTTGTGACGCTTGGGTAGTAGGCGGGCAGGCTGACCTGTGTGCATGTGCAGACAGACGCGAGAACGTCCCCACAGAATGGATTACTGTCGAATGGCCGGTCGGTCCGTCAGGCAGCCCCCCACAAACCAATCAGCGAAGCCAGCCGGTCATTCATCCATCCATCCATCCACTCAGCAAGGGATGCATACCACACCACGTCTGCGCTGCCATGACAGAATCGATGGGTGGGTGGGCCCTGCGGGCCCTAACAGTCTAGACTCTCGCACACAACACACTCACGCATGTATGTATCTCTCGTATACACAGACGCGGGGACGGATGCACTCGCTGCACTTGGCCCAACCAGTCTCAACGCATGACTACTAGGCGAGCACGCAGGACTCATATGTTGGGATCATGTACTTGATGTTGATGAATGCATCCTGACTCACAGACAGACACACAGACAGACACACAGACAGACACACAGATAGACACACAGAAAGAAAGACGCACCATCCACTCGGAATTACACCATAATAATGCTGACCTCTCCTCCGTGAATTTCGAAGAGCTCCAGGGTCTCCTCAATCAACTCGCCCAGGTTGGCCCTGAAAGACACACACAGACAGAGGGCCCCAGAGAGACAGACAGGAAAATTGTCGTGGGTAGCTTGGTGTCTCTTTCTGTCTGTGTGTGACCTCTTTCGTTGTCCGTAGTCCATTTGGTCTCCCGTGGATGTCTTTCGGTTTTTGTAGAGGTTGAATACGGGCAGAATCTGCCGGTAGTACGGCACCAACGCCTCACCCACCATCTCACCTGTACCAAGCCGCCGTGGTTGGGTCTCGGTGTCCATAGGGCGGGCCTGTCTTGTGGTGTGCTAACCTGAAAGGACGAGAGCCTGCAGCACCTTGAGCATCGTGCACATGATATCGTGGTCGCGTGTGTTCAGCGCAGCTAAAGGCAGGCAGGCGCGCGAGAGAGGGAGAGAGGGCCCCCCACAAGCGGGGGACAGCGAGACATATATCCGATGCCGAAGGTTGTGGGTGTGTGTCTCCCTCCCCTACTTTTGATTGGGATGATGAGTTGTGGGACGACCGGCAATATCTTGCTCCCTCCTGCCTCCAACAGATCAAACACCTTCACACGCAACCGAAACACCACACAGCGAGACACCGACCGATGGATGCACAGAGTGAGAACACATAAGTGGCCATGCCCGCAGGTCTGTCTGTGTATGTGTGTGTGTGTGTCTCTGTGCATCTCTGTGGCCAATTGCATGGCGTGGCATGACTCACGCCCTGGACGGCGAGGAATCTGTAGGGGTCTTCCTTCTCGCGAAGTCCGTCGAAAAAGATGGGGAGGTAGTGGTGGTAGTCGAGCTGCTCTGGCTTCACCTTCCACGCTATCTTGTTGCCGGTGCCGCCATGAAACACGTTGATCGGCAAATCGCCACGGTCATAAAAGCTGACGACATGACACAGGACGACGACATACCACGCACTCCCTTCCTCCCTGTGCCTGCCTGCTTCTCTGTATGTGTGTGTATGTGTACCGTCTGAACTCCGATGGAGGGATTGGCCGTTTCGAGTACGCCCCAGCCTTGGGGGGCGGCGCCAGGTCAGCCCGTTTGGCCTTCATGGTCGAGGTCGTGATGCCGCCCGTCCCAACCCCCTTCTTGAGGTAGTCTCGCCGGGGGCTCGGCGGCGCAGTTGTGGCCTTGCCAGTCACAACCAATGGGCCGGGCGTGACTGTCTGTGCCGACAGGGTGTGGGGATCCTTCTTAGGCTTGAAATCGGGCGGGAAGTCGCCGAAGGGCGAGTCGGGGTTCTTGGGGAGGCGCCCAGAGGCCTTCTCCTTGCGGTGCCAGTCGGGGTCTGTCAGCTTCTTGATCCCATCAGACAGGATGAGTGTGGCGGCGGCAGATATCGTGCGTGACTGCATGGTCAGGGGGAGGGAAGGACGGTCTACCAGATGTCCGCTGGAGCTTCTCTCTTCGCCGTCAAGGCGTCAGCAGGCCGACTTGATCCGTAGCTTGAGCGGGCCACTGGGAAAGTTCCCCTCCTCGGGAATCGCACTTCTTGTCAAGGATGGGGTCCAGGCGAGCAGTTGCCTCCACAGGGCGGGGTGGGAAGCTGCCACAACCACTGACAAAAGGTCTCCGAGCAGCTCGCAGTCTCGCCCCCCACCAGGCCCCCATCAAAGAGATGTCGGAAGCACGAAAGAGGGCAACTCGGAGGCCTCGTGAGAGCCTCCACTTCTCGTTGAAGCCCTTCAAGGCTCTGCGAGGCGTGAAGCGGCACGAGAACGACGCCCCGAAGGAGACCCCGTCCGCTGAGCCCCGGCAGCATCTGTGTCATGTGCACAGACACGGCACGAGAGACAGAAAGGAAGGCTCGGAGGAGAAGAGCAGCGGCGATGCAGCTGGGCTGCCAATCCTACCACTCAGGTTCGAGGAGGCGCTGGACCAGTTCCTCTCGGCGAGAGAGGTAGGGACACCAACACAAGACAAAGGGCAAAAGACAACCGACGTGCGGGCTGTTGTTATCGCAGGATGTGTACCTACCCAGCCGCAACTCGCCCACTTCCCGGTCATCGACCGACAACGGATTTCGGTGCACGCTGTCGGACCTCTTCGACTTGGAGAGCCCCATCACGCAGAAGGCCCAGGGTGACAACGACGAGCCCGAGGGGCGCGTGAAGCCCATGTCCAATCTATTCGAGGATGAATCGGACATGGGAGACGACAGGGAGGGGGAGGGAAAGCCTGCCGCCGACAAAAGGAGAAGAAAACGGAGACCACAGCCGCCGCAGAGGGAATCGTGGCAGGTACACAATGTATATGGCTCACTGGACATTCATGGTGCAGGATGGTTCGGTTGGTGTGCCGTGTTTGTGCCGGACAGGAGATTCTGTGTTACAATCCGCGGCAGTACCATGAGTTGGTCATTTGTGTGACGGGAGTGCTGGGCCGCGATATTTTCGCCGCAAAGCACCTGACGTTTGACCAGTTCCGCCAATGCTTCGAAACGGCATACGGCGAGCTGCAAGACATGAACTTCCAGGTGGACATGCATAAAATGCCGCATGACACTGTCTGTCTGTGTCGCTCCCAGATCCGGCGATGGAGAATGAGAAGCTTTCTAGTGAAGCCATACACCGCAAGTAAGCCCTACCCCAGCGATTGAGTGGTCTTTCCCATCCTACCATCATCCCTATTCTCCTCCCTGTCTCAGTCCCCACTCCCTGCCGCCCCAAACACCGCCCAGTGCTGCCCGCGCGCCGGCTGTCGCGACGGCCGCAGCCACTGGAAGGCGACCAATCGCCTGTGGTCGACTCAGCCAGATCGGCGTCATCCTGTGCGCGAGAGAAGAGAGCAGGCCGCGGCCGACGGGTGTCGCCGTCGCTGCAGCAGAGGAGGAAGAAGCCGGCCATCCGGCTGGTGGTGTTTCTGGGCGGCAAGGACATGCTTGCTCTCGACTGGCTGGAGTTTCTGGCGATCCATTACGAGGCCAAGAGACGGAGGGGGGAGGGGAGTCCGGGTGGGAGAAAGAGGGAGAGGACGGCATTGCTTCTGGTAGATTACCCCGGGTATGGTGTTTGTGAGGGGAGCCCGAATGTCGAGACGCTCTGTGAGACGGCAATCGCGGTCAGCCACAGAGAGGCAGAGACCTAATGTGGTGTGGACCGATCACCAGAGATCGTGTCTCTCTCCATCCATTAGGCCATCCGTGAGGGCCTGTCATGGCTTCGCGGCCGGCACCCCTCCTCACCTCTGAAGCTGCATCTTCTGGGCTATTCGCTGGGCACGTCAGTCGCCCTCAAGACGGCCACAAGCATCCTCAGAGATCCCTCAACAGTCATCCCCCCAACACCGCCCGTCCCCCTTGCTTCGCTATCCTCTTTCCTGGACTGCCCCTGCATACACGCCATCCCGAGGCCGACCATCCCGCCAATCGACCTTTTTGCGGCAGAGAGGGACGCGAGGAAGGAGGACGGGGAGGGTGAGACATGTTCTGCTGATGGTGCTGATGATTGTCCGGGCGGTGCACCTGCCCTGCTGTCATGCGGGGGATCGTCGAGGCTGAGCCGGCTATCCGATTCGGTGTTTCTTGACGCGCCTGAGGTGATTGACCCGTTCACCCCGTCACGCATGGCTGATGTGGAGAGCCGGGTTGACGCCATCTGCGGCAACAACTTCGACTTTCTCGAGGTGCTCTCGCTGCCAAGGTACACACAGAGAGACAGGCGCACATTCACAGACCGTTTTGTATCTGCCTGTGTCAATCAATGGGTGGTCGGTTACATCTGCAGTGAGGACGCCACTCCGCCCTGCTTGTCGATGCCGGCTTTCCCAAACTCTCCCAATACGGCCAACGGAGCTGCTGTGAAGCAGATAGAGGTAACGGCGTCCACCAGTGTGTCATCGGCGTTCTCAACGCCACTCGTGGACACGCCGGAGAGTCAGACGAGAGAGGGGCCTCGCCGAAGCTCATCTGCTGCTTCCCAACTTCCGCCTTTGCCTGAGTGAGTGTGTGTGTGTCACTTTCTGTGTGCAGAAGATGTCTCTGTGTCTGTGTGTCCATTAGCTTTCATTTGGAAGGGCTGAGCTTGATGGCCCCGTTCACCAACACGGAGGCCATGGCGACTGAGCTGCTGAGGTCTGTGGGCCTGTGGGGCCCGCCGCAGCTCATGGCCTTCTTCCTCAAAGGCCTCGTCGCACCATCCGTCAAGTAAGTACGTGAGAGACTGAGCGCCCGACATAGAGGGACGTCACCACATCGATTGAGACACGCAAGCCATCCTACGTTGTGTTGGTCGCCAGGTGGGACAATCTGTCGGCCCTTAAGGATCTGATTGAGCTGCAGCTGGGCGGTCAACCGTCTCCCGCCTGTTGCAAGCCGCCTTCCCTCACGGTGTCGATAGTCCACGGCAGCGACGACGCCCTGACGCCCCCAGCCATGGGTGAGCAGCTGGCCAACGTGGCCCACCGATGTGTGCGTGAGGGGCGGCTCAAGCACGCCGCCCATGTGCTGGTGAGCAACGACAGCGGCAAGAGCATCCGGCAGATCCTGGGGGAACAGAAGAGGAAGATGATACCTGATGTGCAGATTCACGTACGCATCGAGGGAAAGGGAAGAAGAGAGAGAGGAAGGGAGGGCAGGCCAAGCGCATACATACATCGTGTGTATTTGGTTGCAGTATTCGACGGTTGAGGGTGCTGACCACGGGTCGATTCTCGTGACTGAGCGGCACGTGCTGGAGGTCCTCAAACATGTCAGACTCGATTGACTGACTGACGAGAAGCGCTTTTCTCTCTCTCTCTTGTGTCGTTTGAGCTCTGGGCGGGACAGACAGACAGACAGACGTCAGCTTGGACGTTAGGTCTCAAGGCCGCCGAGTGGCGGTGTTGCTTTGGTGTTGTGCGGTGTGGTGTGCTGTGTTGCGGTGCAGCACATGTACAAAACGAACGATGGACTGCTATTTTTCCTTCCCCTCCGAGTCAATTTCTGGATGCGGGCGGATACATAGACCGTGTGTCAAATTGATCCACGCATGTGTCTCATGTTCGACCGGCAACTTACCTCGAGAAGTGATTTCCACTCAGGCTTGAACTGCCTCACGCACTCGTCTGTCCTTATCGCCCCTTGAGAAAGCATTCTCTCATTCAGATAACTCAGATCTTTCATTCACAAGCTCGTCACAAAGTAACAAGCACCGGCCTGGCTTCGTCAACACAAAGATTTTCTGGCCCCTCGAACTGTGACGCCTCCTCGATGTCGCCATGCTTTCTTGAGAAACACTCGGGGTGATGGTGACACGGATCGATCTCCCATTAAAGCACCGATTGACAGGTTAATGGTTCAAAAGTCCCCCTTCGCGAGACGAACGGGGAGAGACACAGGACTTGCTCCCAGTCCGTAGCTCGCAGTCTCCTCCCCTCAGCTCGAAAACGGGGAGCCGAGACACACGGCTGCTTTGTCGTAACCTCATTCTTGTAGGAGCCGTCTGTCGTCAAACCCTACAGAGACACGACCTGAGCTAGAGTAGGGTTCGACGACACACGGCTCCTCCAAAAATTTGATTCTTGAGATTCCCGAAAAAAAGCCGTGTGTCTCGGCTCCTCCGTTTTCGATCTGAGGGGAGGAGACTGCGAGCTAAGGAGCAAGAGAGCCGCAAACACATGGAGCCGCTCCTAGGCACTCCCATGCCCACGGGTGCACCCTCACGACCACCGAGCTTCCCCCAGCAGCAAAGCAACTTGAAGGGGACGCCTCCAACGTCCACAGCAGACGGCACTCAAGCGTCATCTGTCAGGACCCAACCGTCGAGGTCAGCCCCGTTGTAGATGTTGCTATGCTCAACGTTACTCTCTGCTTCGAGGATCAAAAGTCGCATGCAAGCTCAGCTCGCGATCGGCCTCAGCGAAGAGATTTCGCAGTAGACCCTCCTGAGGTGCCAGCAGTGCCGTCTGTTTGAGATGGATTCGTCGTCGGGCAGATTCTTTGCTGCGAGCAGCCGCGAGGGGCGGGCTGACTGCGTCGTCGTCGAGCAGCCGCAGCGAGATGCGGAGGCAAAAAGGGAGAAGCAAGGCACTGGGACGAAGCAGCAGGTGGGCAAACAGGAGCAAAAGACTCTCATCCCACGTGTGTTTGCTTGTGTGGCACGCATTTTGTTTGAATCTTCAGGAGAGTTCCGGAGGAGACCGTCAGATCTGCATCGACGTCAGAAAGTGCCCCATGACACTCGCGGTGGAGGTGCCTGCGGTGACGCCAAAGGCCACTGCAGCATCGACCGCAGAGATGGACGATGACACAGAGTGCCTATTTGGCCCCGACGCGGCTCGATGGGCGGCAAGCGCTCCCCCGGGGGCGTGCAGGATCACTCACAGCCTCACGCCTGCCGAGGACATCGACTCCTTGGAGGACGGCCTCTTCTCTGATGACACGGACACGTATATGAAGTCGGCAAAAGGTGTGACGGCCAGCGTCGGCGAGCGGCTCGGCATCGCCGCCGACCCCAAGAGCCGGCCCTTCGTGAAGCGTGTCGCCGCTCGCTTGGCCAAGGATCTGGAGCGGTTCCGTCGCATCCTGATGCGTCTGGATGAGAGCAACGAGGAGTGCCAGTTGGCCACGGCCGACATGCTCTACCGGCTCGTCGCTGAGCGCCTGCTGGCGTTCGTGGCACCGTCGGACATTATCCGTATGGTGCAGACGATCTTGACGATTTTGAGCGTGAAGGTGGCGAGCAAGGGGGTGGACGTGGAAATCCCCTGCGAGGTCAAGAGTCTGATCGCATTCCATCACATCGGGACGCTGCCGACAGACAAGCCCCTCTCCCCCGTCGACGTGGTGTCCGTCGCACGCCTGTACCTGATGCGGTGCGGGCTCCTCGTGGCACTCGAGCTTGCCCCTGCTGCGGCCATCGAGCTTCGCAACAGCTTCCTCCACACCCACAAGGCCACCATTCGCCAATTGCTCGACATCATCGTGGAGAGCGCACAGCCAGGGGTGGCTTTCGAGGCCGTGGCATTGCTGCGGGTGCTGTACAAGCCGAGCCCCCCAATTGCAGTAGCTGTGGAGCTGTGCAGCATATTTGTCGAGAGCTTGAAGGTGCCAGCGGACGAGCAGCCAGCGGGTGTGGAGGGGTTCTTCACGGTGCTCTTCAACGCTGCACAACTCTGGAGCACACGTAAGCCGGCCAGCCAGCCAACCAGCCGTCAGACAGCGATCGGTCGACTCCTCCTGACGTTGTATATTGACTGATTGACAGGTGAGGAGGAGTGGTCTGTGGTGAGGGCTGCACTGAGTGCCCACGTATACTCTCATTTCGGAGGCCTGGTCGACCTCATCGCTCATCGCCCAGCGTCGACGTACACGCGCTGGGCGGCCAGTCTCACCCTGGGCACCTTCATCCATGCGTCACTCACCCTGTGCATCACAAGAAGGAAAGGTATGTGCACATATGGATCGGAGAAGGTAGGCGGGCCGAGTGCAGGCAGGTACGTGTTTGCGCAGCTGACGGCCACGCCCTCATCGAGATTGAGCAGCATGGTGTGGACAAGGTGCTTTCTCCCGCCCCGATGCCGATGGAGCCGCTTCGGCGTCTGGTGCTGGATGCAGTGGCCAGGGAGGGCCTGGTGACCGCTGCAAGCCTCGATTAGCGGCATGAGCTGTCTGGGATGCTGATATCCAAGGCTCTACTCGTCCCGGCACTTCACATGATAGGTCGGTCAACTAAGGCGCGTCGTGGGCCTTGGGTGGGTGCGATGTATTGATGTGTGTCCTTTGGGTAATTGATCGTGCAGAGGCCGGGGAGACCGACATTCTGGTAGAGGCGGGGTTTGTGTCGACTCTGATCAGTCTGTTGGACACCTGTGAGCGCATCGGAACAAGCGTATCGCTTTGTCTGATTTGCCTCAAGTCCCTGATCACGGGCCATCGAAAGGTCAGGTCTCCACCCACCCTGTGGCTACCACATTTGACCCGGCGGCGTGTGTATAGGTGCTTGAGACCGATGGCCTAGCGGAGGCCCTGTGTGGTGCGTTGCTGAAGGAAGCCCGTGGAGAGTTCCTCCACTGCGAAGGACTAGGGTACTTTCGCGACGTTGATCGCATGTACGCCATCGACCTACTCAAGGGACTCGTGAGGTGAGTCAGTGAGGGACGGCTGGAGGGAGGGATTTACTGCGAAGCATCTCTCTCTGTGTGTGTCTGTGCCTGTCTGTCTGCAGCTATGGCAGATCGCTGGGTGGCAAGACGGCGCACAATCCCTACACACGCCAGATACTGCAGGTACCAATGTTGCAATATGAGCATCCACATCCACGAGCCCCATCCACCTGCCTGTATCCATCAGCTGGAGTCGGTCAAGGCCATGCGGGCCCGCAAGAACAACATCAACGTGCCACCGCAGGTCAGCCGCGCACACCGCACCAGGCACGAGACCCATGCACCCACCCCGGCTGCCATGACTGTCTGCAGGTGTCGGCCTTCTTTGACTCGCTGGCACACCAGGACAAGAGGGACAGCAAGGCCAAGTCGACTCAGCCGTCCTTGTCGGATGCTCAGCTGGCGGCAAAGGACAGAGAGGCGCAGCGCAGAGCAGACGAGCTCATCGAGGAGGAACGGCGCGAGAAGGCAGCCAAGACCAAGAAAAACAACAAAGCCAAGAAGGGCAAGGCCTCCGAGTCGGCAGTGGAGCCGTCCCTGCCCTCAACGGCCGCACCAAGCAGGTGGGAGGGACAGCCACACGCACCACCACAGACCAGTTGGAACACTGCGTGTCTGCTGTGTGCAGGTCGTCGTCTACTGTAGTGGAGGAGGACGTGGAGCCGCCCACGCCGTCTTCATCCAGTGCCGACACGTGAGCAACCAACCAATCTACTTGGCGCGATGTACGCCCAACCTCCATAGCATGTGTCTGAGCGGCCTCTTTTGTAGGTCGGTTCCGTCGGTTGCACTTGCAGCGGATGGGGGGCAGCGAGAGGGATTGATCGAGTCGACAGCGAATGAGGAGAGCGACGACAACAACGGCGACAGTGACGACATGCTCATCAACTCGGCTTTCGGCCAGCACGCACGACAGAACAACACCGACAGCCACAAAACACACAAGACCGGCAAACAGGGCATGAAAGACCTTCTCACACCCACCCCTGACCCGAAGCCACTGCCCCCGCCCCGCCCCTCCACCACGTCCACCGAGAAGGGGCAGGGCCGTCACGGCAAACCCCGCCTCTCCACGGCCACTGCGTCCCTCCCCGCGGCTGTGGATGGGCAGCAGCACAACCACACCAACACCAGCACCAACAAGAAACAAACGGCGGCCCCCCCGCGATTCGGGCAAGGTTCGCTGGCCCCCTTCGCCAAGGTGATGGTGCCCGCAGAGGTGGACGATGACAAGGAGGGGACAGTCAGCCACAACGCGGCTCAATGGGCGGCGGCAAACGCTCCCCCAGAAACCTACGACATCGAACTCAGCCTCAAACCCGTCAAGGACATCGACGCCTTGGAGGACGGCCTCTTCTCTAACGACATGCAGACGTACATGGCGTCGGCACAAGGTGTGACGGCCAGCGTCGGCGAGCTGCCGCTGCCGGTTCTGAGACTCAACCCCAAGAGCCCTGAGTTCGTCAAGCGCGTCGCCGCTCGCCTCGGCAGGGATCGGGAGGCCTTTCGTCGCATCCTGATGCGTCTGGTGGACGAAAGGAACAAGGAGTGCCAGGTGGCGACTGCCGACATGCTGTACCGCCTCGTCTCTGAGGGTCTGCTGTCGTTCGTGGCCCCGTCGGACATCACCCACATGGTGCAGGAGATCTGGACGGTTGTGGGGGTGGACTTGGCGAGCAAGGGGGTGTTGGTCGAGCTCCGCGGTGAGGTGAAGAGCCTTGTCGCCTTCCAGCTCATCGGGACGCTACCGACAGACAAGCCCTTCCCCCCCGTCGATGTGGTGCTCAAAGCTCGCATGTACCTGATGCGATGCGGGCTCAAGTCGGCCCGCAACAGCCTCCTGCAGACCCACAAGGCCACCATCTGCCAAGTGCTCAGCATCGTGCTGGAGAGCGGCCCGCAAGGGGTGGGTTCTGAGGCTATTCGATTGGTGCAGGCGATATACGAGCCGAGCCCGCCCGTCACGCTGCCCGTCGCCGTGGCGGTTGAGGTGTGCAGCATGTTTGTAGAGGCCCTGCAGCTGCCAGCGGACCAGCAGCCTGCGGGTGCGAGGGACTTCTTCGCGGTCATGTTCAACGCCACAACACTCTGGATGATAGGTAAACAAAGAGGGATCGACTTCTGTCATGCAACTTGTGTCTTGATTGACAGGTGAGGAGGAGTGGTCTGTGGTGAGGGCTGCGCTGAGTTCCCACGTATACTCTCATTTCGGAGGCCTGGTCGACCTCATCGCTCATCGCCCAGCGTCGACGTACACCCGTTGGGCGGCCAGTCTCACCCTGGGCACCTTCATCCATGCGTCACTCACCCTGTGCATCAAAAGAAGGAAAGGTATGTGCACATATGGATCGGAGAAGGTAGGCGGGCCGAGTGCAGGCAGGTACGTGTTTGCGCAGCTGACGGTCACGCGCTCATCGAGATTGAGCAGCATGGTGTGGACAAGGTGCTTTCTCCCGCCCCGATGCCGATGGAGCCGCTTCGGCGTCTGGTGCTGGATGCAGTGGCCAGGGAGGGCCTGGTGACCGCTGCAAGCCTCGATTAGCGGCATGAGCTGTCTGGGATGCTGATATCCAAGGCTCTACTCGTCCCGGCACTTCACATGATAGGTCGGTCAACTAAGGCGCGTCGTGGGCCTTGGGTGGGTGCGATGTATTGATGTGTGTGTTCTTGTGGGTGACTGATTGTGCAGAGGCCGGGGAGACCGACATTCTGGTAGAGGCGGGGTTTGTGTCGACTCTGATCAGTCTGTTGGACACCTGTGAGCGCATCGGAACAAGCGTATCGCTTTGTCTGATTTGCCTCAAGTCCCTGTTCACAAAACATCGCAAGGTCCGTCCGGAAGCCACCCTTCATCCAGCACATCGACCTTGTGGCGTGTGTGTATAGGTGCTTGAGACCGATGGCCTGACGGAGGCCCTGTGTGGTTTGCTGCTGAAGGACGCCCGGGGAGAGCTCATATACGGCGATGGGCGAGAGTGCTTTCGCGACGTTGATCGCATGTGCGCCATCGACCTACTCAAGGCACTCGTCAGGTGAGTCAGTGAGGGAAGGCTGGAGGGAGGGATTTACTGCGAAGCATCTCTCTCTGTGTGTGTCTGTTCTGTCTGTCTGCAGCTATGGCAGGTCGCTGGGTGGCAAGACGGCGCACAATCCCTACACACGTCAGATACTGCAGGTACCATGGTTGCAATATGAGCATCCACATCCACGAGCCCCATCCACCTGCCTGTATCCATCAGCTGGAGTCGGTCAAGGCCATGCGGGCCCGCAAGAACAACATCAACGTGCCACCGCAGGTCAGCCGCGCACACCGCACCAGGCACGAGACCCATGCACCCGACCCGGCTGCCATGACTGTCTGCAGGTGTCGGCCTTCTTCGACTCGCTGGCACAGCAGGACAAGAGGGGCAGCAAGGCCAAGTCGACTCAGCCGTACTTGTCGGATGCTCAGCTGGCGGCCAGGGACAGAGAGGCGCAGCGCAGAGCGGACGAGCTCATCGAGGAGGAACGGCGCGAGAAGGCAGCCAAGACCAAGAAAAACAACAAAGCCAAGAAGGGCAAGGCCCCCGAGTCGGCGACGGAGCCGTCAGTGCCCTCACCAACGGCCGCACCGACCAGGTGTGAAGGAAAGCCACCCACTCCACCACCACAGACCAGACGCAACGTCTTTTCATCCGTGTGTCTGCTGTGCGCAGGTCGTCGTCTACGGTAGTGGAGGAGGACGTGGAGCCGCCTGCTCCCTCCTCATCCAGTGCCGACACGTGAGCAACCAACCAATCCACTCGACGCGATGTACGCCCAACATCCATAGCATGTGTCTGAGCGGCCTCTTTTGTAGGTCGGTTCCGTCGGTTGCACCTGCAGCGGACGGGGGGCAGCGAGAGGGATTGATCGAGCCGACGGCGAATGAGGAGAGCGACGACAACAACGGCGACAGTGACGACATGCTCATCAACTCGGCGTTCGGCCAGCATGCACGACAGAAGACCACCGACAGCCACAAAACCAAGACCGGCAAACAGGGCATGAAAGACCTTCTCACACCCACCCCTCATGCGAAGCCACTGCCCCCGCCCCGCCCCTCCACCACGTCCACCGAGAAGGGGCAGGGCCGTCGCGGCAAACCCCGCTTCTCCACGGCCACTGCGTGCCTCCCCGCGGCTGTGGATGGGCATCAGCACAACCACACCAACACCAGCACCAACAAGAAACAAACAGCGGCCCCCCCGCGAGTCGGGCAAGGTTCGCTGGCCCCCTTCGCCAAGGGGATGGTGACGCTGAAGCCCCCACATGGCAGAGGGAGTGGGCCGATGGCTCGCGGCCCACCTGTCCCGGAGGGCCCCTCTCGCTCTACGACAGCCGGGAGTGGCGCCGGCAGGGGCCTGATGTCTCTGTTTGCTAATGAGTCGACTCCACCGCCCCGCCCCCTCTCCCCGCCCCCATACCCAACACTCCCGTCAGCCGAAGAGCTCAGAAAGGCCGACCAGTGGCAGGAGCAGCAGCAGCAGGCGACATTCGAAGCCGAGTGGCCGAGGTAAGACAGACTATAGCGGTCGAAACTTCTGCACCTCTGATCTGCCTGTATGTCTGTAGTCTCCCTACTACACCTGCGTCAGCCGCTTTCGGCCCGTCGTCACCACGGCCACCTGTCAACCCACAGTGAGGCACATGATTCTGCCGATCGATAAGTGCATTCATGAGCTGTGTCACTCATCGTTCGGTGTGCACGCAGTACTCCACCGTTGCCCGTTAGCCATGACGGCCCCATCAACATCGGCTTCTCAAGCGTTGCCCTGCCACACGATCCCATTCCTCTCTCCCCGCCCGGCTCGCCACTCCCTCTCTTGCCGATGTCGCACTCGGATGGCCCCCCCGCCGTCGCTGCTGGTGGTGAGGGGCCGTCATCTTCGGTCGACCCGTTCTACGACGACCATGACAGTGACGATGACATGCATGTGCCGCCCCCGCCGCCAATATTCGAATGGGAAGAGGATGAGGACAGCGGCTACGGTACCCCAGCACCAGCACCAGCAGCGGCATCATCGAGTAGTGCATCCATCCCGTCTGCTGCCAACGGGAGAGCGGGTGGGTGAACACGGCACCGAACAGAGTGGCCAAGGGGCGAATCAATCATGTGTGTCATGAGCAAGGTTTGGCACGTGTGTGCTGTCCGTCCGTCTGCAGGTCTTCTGAGGGCCATGGCGATATGTACCACTTGATGCTGCAGATGCAGCTCGAGATGCAAGCCATGAGACAACAGTGAGCCAGCCGAGAGGCAGCCACCAAACGAACCGAATGCCAGCCTTCTCCTTCGTTTCCCATTTCAGGCTCGCCCAGATGAGTGGGCAGCAGTCCTCACAGCAGCCCCCATCCAGCAGCTCGTCGGCTCCTCCACCCCCTCTCCCTCTCCCTGCCCCTCTCCCTGCCCCTGCCCCACCCACCACTCAGTCTCAGCCAAGCGGCCAGTGCTGTGTGTGTTACGGCGAGCACGGCCCGGCCACTTTCGCCTTCGTCCCCTGCAGGCATCTGTGTTTGTGCGCGCATTGCCACCAGCAGTACAAGGCCCGTCACGACCAGAAGGTGGCGCGGGTGCAGCAGCGGAACCGCACCAGGGACAAGCCGCTGCCGCTGGCGCAGTACCGATGTCCCTACTGCAATGGCGAGGCGGTGCACTCTGACACGCTTCCCAACCTCCGGCAGTGGGTGGAGCAGATTCACACGATCGACGGAGGCGACGAGCTGTGCGTTTAAGTTGAGAAGAGATGAAGGCCGTGTGTGGTGTGGGGGTGGATTTAAGTGTTGCCGAGGGGTTTAAGTGTCGGATGTCTTCCGTCACGGGCATTTTTGCCCCTACCGCTCGCTCACTAAGTCATTCCATTGCACTACACTACATAGCCATTCATCCATTCGTTCATTCATTCAGGTGTTTGTGTGTGTAGGTATATATATATATACGTTGTCTGTCCTGAATCAATCAATGAGTGCATGTGCGTACCCACTCGCTGTTCGTGTGCATGTGCGTATTTATCCAGGTCTTGTGTATGTGCTCAGACGGGGGGCGAGGGTGGGCGGAGGACATACACACAGACATACATGTGCATGGTGTCAAGGAAGGTTGGTCTATCAACTTTCTTGTAGCCGCTGTCCCGCTGATGCACTCATCCCACCCCCTTCCTCCCTACCTGTCTGCCTGCCATGTGCGTACCTACTCGCTGTTCGTGTGCATGTGCATATTTGTCCAGGTCTTGTATTGATGTGCTCCGACGGGGTGCGTGGGTGATGGTGGACATACGTATACGTGGTATCAAGGAAGGTGCATTCATTCACACACTCATGAATGGAATGGCACGTCAGAGTGTCCAACCAACGTTGCGGGCATCGTCATCCCTCTCTCGCACGCCAACAAACGAAAAGCAATGCAGTCATACATTTGTACACGCACTACAGCTGGGACTGGTCCACCCCACTATCGTCCACACGCCTCTTCTTCGGCACCCGCTTCAACTTACGCCTCACTGCCGGCCTCTCACACGCGACCGCCCTCTCAATCCCATCTCCATCACACGACATCCCTCCCCCTCCCTCTCCCCCCGCCCCAGCCTGGCTCTCGCGAGGCCGCTTGACCAGCCGCTTGATCAGCCGCTTGTTGGCGCTGCTGCCCACCTGGCTGCCCTCCTCAACGTCGATCGGCGATGAAGACGACATGCCCACCATGCCATTAGCATCAGCACTGACAGCAGCAGGTGCAGGTGCAGGTGCTGCTTCTGATGTTGGCTGGTTCCGGGGAGAAGGTGGAGGGGACGACGCCAGAAAGTCGCCGAAGATCTGATCGAGAATATCCCTCTCTGGCGGCTCTTCTGGTGCACCAGCTGCGGGGCCCGTAGCATCGCCGGCTGCTGCAGCTGCTGCTGGTGCTGCTGCTGGTGGGAGAGACGGTGATGGAGGGGCCTGTGGGGGTGGTGCAGGGGTGTCTTCGGGGTCATCGGATGGGAAGAAGAAGTCGTTGATGTCAAATCCTAGGACGGGCGAGGCCGGAGCGTCCGCGGCAGGTGGCTCGGGTCGCTCGGACGACCGCCTGAGCTCGAGTGCCCGCTGATCTCGCTCATAGGCGGCCTCGTGACGCCTGATCAACACACACACACACACACACACAGAGAGAGAGAGGCAGGTAGGTGTGAGAATGATTGCCCGTTGTTCAGTGCCACACCGTTTCCGGTCAGGCGCGAGGCTCTCCCACTGCTCCTGCAGGTTCCTCACCAACTCATCTACCTGCATCCATGACAACAAACAGTCGAAGAAGACGTGATAGGTCGCCACAGCAGGCATGTGCGTGTGCGTTGGTGTTTGGCTCACCTCGGCGTACGGGCATTCGCCTCGCTTGAAGACGAGCATCTCATCCACGAAACGACTCCTGGGCGACCGCACAGCCTCCCCATTAGGAACACCCTCCTCGACCACACTGAACACACCACACAAATCGACATATGACCAATGTTGGCAGGTGTTACCAGGTAAGTCCGCTTTCTCACCGTTTCTTCTTCTTCCTGGCGGCGGCCTTCGGTCTCAGCGGCTTTGGCCCCGCCTTGCGCTTGGCCGCCCGCCGCACCCTCTCAGGCACCACATCCACACGCCCACCACTGCTATGCCCTGCCGCCGGAGCCGCCGCCTTAGCCGAACCAGCAGCAGCGGCCGGCTGCCCTTCATCCACTGCCGCCTCCTCCCCGTCCCCATTATCGGGCCCCTGTGGTAGCTCCTGTTTGTCCAGTATCTCCTTGATGTCGGTCTCATAGAGGACGAGGACCTTCTTGGCTATCGACGGGTCGTTGTTGAGCGCCATGGCGGCCTCGTACTTGGTGGTGCTCGTCACCGCCCGCCCGTCCTTGAGGTAGCTGCCCACCACCAGGTAATCGGTGTTGCGCGTGACACTGCTCTGCACCTTGCCCCCGAGTGCCCTGACTGGCCTCTCCGCGTCCTTCCTCGTCAGCTTCTTCAGCTCGCCCGTGAAGACAAAGCTAGCTCCAGCAAAGGGGTACTCGCGTGTCGGGAGCTCGGGCTCCTTCTTGGGCTTCCTGGGACCCCTCCTTGCCTTGGCCTTGGCCTTGCCCTTGGCGCCCGCTGCTGTCCCAAAGCTCAGGGGAATGCGGCGGGGACCACTCCCGCTGGTTTTCGCCCCTGGATGTGGCTGCCTATCGTCTTGTGGTGCGGCCTGGGGCGCAAGCTGGGCAGCGAGGGGCGCGTCGTCATCCCATAGCAGCGGGTCGGTGGTCCCCCTGGCATTGTTGGCGTCAACAGCGTGGTCGCTGGATGGCGTCACCATGTCGATTGGTGGAGGGGGAGGGGCAGACGCACGGGGAGGGATGGGAGGAGGGGCAGGGGAGGGAGCGGGGCAGACCATGCCCGCCGGGTGATGCAGACAGGCGCGGCTGATCATTCCGATGATGTGGTGGCAGATGCCGTACTCTAGAAACACGTGGCAGTCGCTGCACGCCTTGTCCACCAAAGCCAGCTCATCGCCATAGCGCAAGGCCGCACGCACTTCATGAGAACGACCGCTGCTGCTCTTGGTGGAGCTGCATCGGCTTGATAGCACCCACTGCCTGCCGCCATCCACCTCGTTGGTCGTGTTGCGAGCAGAGAGGTTGCTGATGAGCTCCGGTTTCTTCAGTACGCCGGAGCGGACAGCCATGAGGTTGTAGAAGGTCTGTGGGACGGTCGCTGACTCATGCCGAATCGGCGAAAGGTGTCCCAGGTCCTCTAACTCCTCCTCCTCCTCACGACAAATCAAAGCCGCCACCTCCTCCTCAGTCACAGTGGCTCTGTGATGCCAATACGGCTCCTCCAAATCAGTATTCTGCGGTTCCATCGTGAATTCATACACAATTCAAAAACTGAGGACATTAGCTCGCAAGCTCGCAACAACGGTTCAGCCGTTGGTGGGCGTCTTCTTTTGGGCGCCTTTTGCATCACGCCGAGTGATGGCGAAGCGTGTCTGCACGGAGGATGCTTTGGCGGCCTCCTCGGCCGCCTCCCACACGTCGCAAAGCCGCTTCCCCGACGTCCTTGGTGAGGCGGGCATTGTTCTGGCGGACTTCACGACTGCACCGGACCTGTACGCCTTCAGACGGACCTCACGCGCGGCCACACACCAGCTGAGTGCCAACTACCTCGTCCAGCGCATCAGCCGGTGCTCACCGACCAGCAGCCGTGTGAGGCCGGCGGACGTGCAGCGTGTGGGGTCCAAGGCGGTGCTTGACGGCCGGGCGGACAGCCTCAAGCAGTACAGCCTCTTCGGCCACCTGCTGGGGCAACATGAAGTGATAGCCCTCCGCCAGATCGACGGCATCGAGCAGCTGGGTGAGACACTGGTGACTGTCTACACACAGCAGACGCTCCCCGTCAACCATGAGTTCATCGGTTCATTTGACCCAACAGATCCTGTCGTGAGAGGTGAGGGACCGCGAATGCATGCAAGTGGCATGGCAGAACAGGGGATGCCAAATTGTGTGCTATGGTGTGTGTTCCGTTCCCTTCAGCGAACAACGAGGTGGATTACATGAGTTTCCGACAGCTGGCCATCACGCGGTAAGTAAGGCGACACGACCCATGGAAGCCACTTGTACACATGTGGATGATCCGTCTGTGTGCCTTTGCCTAGTTTTCCGTCCCAGGAGCGGAGGATGTGTTATCGCAGCATCCGGCAAGGCCTATACGCTCAGTTTCGGCACATGTTGCGGCGAGCTGCCGATCTGCTGACACAAGTAGGCCAACTACCGAGATCAACTGCTATGTCGGGGGTGCCTGTCTCTTCTCATCGTTGCAGGCCGCCATTCCCTGGGGCCGTCAGATCAGGCTGGTGAGAGTCGACCATGGGCGGCGGAGCGGCTCCATCTACCTATGCGGAGAGGGCAAGGATGACACCTTTGCTGCCTGCGTGACCCTCCGTAGTCGCGACGACCGCTGTTGCACGATTGACCTCTACACGACTGAGACTCCCCAGCCGCACCAGGAGGGCCCCCTCCGCTTCCCCCAGACACTGCAGCTGGCCCGTCAGCTGCTGGGCAATGACGAACAGACGCTCTTTGGCGATTTGGCGATACAAGTGCGCGCCTTCGGCCCGCTGCCGAGGAAAGTTATGGCGTTGATGGCCGCGGGCATGACAAAAGCACAAGCCTGGGCCACGGTTGCACCCTAGCAGGGAACAGGAGGATGACAGCTAGGAGAAGGCAGGGACGGTGGGGCGATTAACCTGACAGTGAAAGGGTCAAGCGATGCGAATCATTTGACTCTCCACGAATAGCCAAATAGCTTGATTGAATGGCGTGTGTGAGGTCTGGTGTCACATCCATGTCGTTCTTGTCGATGGCTGTGCCGCTGGCTGGTCGTGGAACATGGGTACTCTTGTCGTGTCTCCGATGAGTGGACGCGAGAATGTTCTGACGACATGCAATGATGCATTGTCCTTAAGCGCACTGACTTGATGAACGCACCGAGACACGTCAGCAAGCAAAGTCATGACTTGGCAAAACATAAAACGCAGACGTAGGATCACAGGCATCGTGGTGGATGCCTCGGGCACATACATGCAATGACGTCTGCTCAGAATGAATGGCTTGATGGTACTGCTGCCAAATGGGGTCGGGATTGTCTGTCAGGCCGGGGGCGGGGGGGAGGTGCCGGTCCACTGTGTTGCGGCGACAGAAGCTGGGCGGCTTCTCGCCCTCTGGCACCACCTGACAAAGACAGATTGATGCTCACAGGTGGATTACACAGAAGTAGCTGGGACATGGCTGTTTTGTGTGTACCTGTGGTGGTCTGCTGCTGCTGCCGTCTTTGTCCTGTGTTGATGTGGCTGGCTCGTCCTCTTCAGCCGTGAGGGTGTCAAAGTCATCCTCTGCATCATCATCTGCAGCAACCGACGCACACTCATGTGCCACCATATGATGCCTGCCGAGTGAATGTGTCCCTTGCGTCCGTCGAGGGCCGCATCGAGAAGCGCTTCCACCCTACAGGCAGGCAGGCAGACAGATATCACAGCTGTGACACATCCACGTGTGTGTGACCATGGTCATGTAGGTCGCACACTCGTCGTCTGCCTCCTGAATGGCCGCGTCTCGCCGGGAATCCTCACACCCTGAACCAAACACACAGCCAGCATCCACCAGCTTGGTCGAGGCAGCTTTCTCTCCGAGGCATCACCATGTTGGCTGGCTGTGCGCTGCAGGTCGCTGTATCGCTGACACACTCGGCCGAGCTTCCACTGGTGCACCGCTGCACGGGGGGCACCTGGTGGGGTGAGTGACACACACAAAGGTCAATGAGCTGGACACACGAGACGGGTGATTAATGACCACTGACCATCTTCCCCAATGCCTTTCTGGTAGCAAATCAGTCCGTTCGGATGAATCACAGACACATTGCCTGACAGACAGACAGACAGACAGACAGAGAGTGGGTGACGGACGTCTCAAGGTCTAATGGCGTGTTCCCTGGCCGGCCTACATGTGGTGTCGAGTTGGTGCGCCTTGTCGGGGCTGTAGAGGCGGAAGACCTTCCGCCCACGCAGCAACACATACAGATTGTCGTGCTGCACACACACAACTAACGAAATGCAAAGGACATGACGGTTGGCTGTGCATCTGTCTCACAAAGTCATGGTGGAGTCCACTGGTGGTGCCAGCGCGGCTCTGCCCCATCCACACGTTGTACTGATACGGCAAGAGGTGACTGCACAAGCAGACGAACAACAGTGTGCCGCGGAGAGAACAACTGGTTGTTTCCATCCTCTCCTACCCGAACAGCTTGGGCCTCAACGGCACATCAGCGAGCAGGGCGGACGCGGGATGCCCAGTGAGCGACACAGGACCTGCTCTCAACACCCAAGACCCGGTGGACACAGCCATCAACAGAGTCCATCAGAGTGGTGTGTGTTGACTGACCGGTGCCTGTCTCGTCTATCGTCTGTGTGGTCAAGTAGAGATCCTCACGACCTGCACCCAACATGCAGCCAGCACAATCAGCGGCCAAGTGGCTTCGTGGCTGCATCCAAAGTGGATCGCTTGCCTTTATCGAGCTCATCGAGGAAAGCACCGAAGGCCATCCTTACTTTGCGGCCCTCACCTGCACGGCCACAAAAGACAAAGCGATGACCGAACTCTACTCCTGCCCATCCCTCACCAAATTGGTCAAAGTCATTCCGCCGGTGCTCGACATCGACAAACGAATCACCGGCCCTCTGTCGCAAATAGCTGTTCGTCCACCGCTGGAGACCCTTGAATTCGCCGCTCAATGAGTCAGTGAGCACCACTGGCATTCGCCACTTGACGAACTGATAGAAGAAATCACCAGCAGAGAGAGAGGCCAGGGGCACACCCTCAATGGGCCAAAACACATCAGGCGAGAACCTGAATCGACAGGCACAAAGTGCACCAACAGAGGAGCAATGGGAGGTGTGTGCTCGGGTGTGCTCGTCCAGCGGCTTCCTTCTTTGCATCGTCGAACTCACTCACTCACCCTTTGTATGTGACGACGGCGTCTTGACATCTTTTGCCTCTTTCTGCCCTGTTTGTGAAGATCTGCTCATCCCGCTGCCTTCTCGGCTTCTTGCGATGCTTCATTTTCACTCCTCACAACAGCTAAGCTCGCAGACCTCGGGCAGGGTTTCGGAGCCACTCTCTCTCAGCCGCGCAGATCTCGCAGGTCTGGCTTACCAGCAATGTCGAGCAGGGAGGAGCCCAACTTGGAACGGCTTCTGCAGTCGCTGCTGCCTCGTCTGGCCGCCTTGCCCACCACTCATGAGCGGCTGCGAGTCGTCAGCCCCCTCGACATCATTGACCACAGCATCCCTGAGTCAGCCACAACGACCCCTTTCGGCCACACGCCCCGCGTCAAGATCAGGATCTTCCGCAAAGTGCGAGCATTCGGCTTCCGGGACGTGGCTGTCGTCGGCCACTACTATGGATCTATGCCGCGGGTGGAGGACCGATTTGCGCAGCTGCTGCGGGCCGAGGAGCCGCGGATGAGCGGCTGCTGGTTCATGCTGGGAACAGGTGGGCAAAAGGGCCATAGTGAGGGTTCACATTCGTGTCATGATGAGAAGTGCTCTGTGCTTTGTCAGGCGACGATGAGGCGTTGTCACGGCTGGAGGCGTCCGGCATCCCCAATGTGATGCTCGACTACACATTCCGCAACCCCTGCACAGGCAGCAGCTCACTCGACAGCCTCAAGACCACCATCGGCCGCATCCATGAGCACTTCAAACAGCTCGACAGGGAGGTGGGCATGGCTGCCGACAATGACGGCATGCCTCACTTGGACGACCAGGCGAGTCAGTCGGGCTACCGGGAGCTGAAGCGCGATCACCTGTACATCAACTTTGTGGATCTGCTGGACTTCAACATCACCATGGACGCGCCAGAAGTGAAGGTGGGACCTCACCGGTGACTGTGATTGCCAGAGGACGATACTCATGCATTCCATGTGGCGCTTTCCATGTGCAGAAAGTGATGGATTACCTGTCGTCTGAGAGAATACCGATTCTGAAAGGCATCTGTTTTGAGGGTGCGAGAGGCATTGCGTTTGCTGATGAGTACGGCGATGTGACTCAGCGCCTCCGGTGAGCGCCAAGACAGAGCAGTGCACTGAGCCCACTGTACTTGTTATTCTGTCTCCAGCGCCTTGTTCCCTGCGAGTGACTTCAAGTTGCTGGTGCACTCACACGCTGGGCCGCACGGCGACAACTCACAGGCGGCGGCATTGGAGTGTGTCCGTCGGGGGGCAGACGGCGTCTGGGCAGGCTTCATCCCTCAGGCCGCACAGACGGGCCACAACTGCTCATTGCAGTATCTGGGCTACCTGCACAGCTCCGGCAACAACCAAGTCGCGCAACTCTACAATCTAAACACGGTGAGATAACAGGGGCGGGCCATCCGGCATCCAGAACAATATTCTAAGATGCCGCGTTGTGTTGTTCTGCAGGCTGTTGAGACGGCCCGATCGCTGCATGAGTTGAGTTTCCCCGGCGAGCCCATCCCAGCCGACTGCCCCATCTTCGGCAGCAACGCCTACTCGTGGGTCCACAGCGTCTTCAGACACGACAGACGGACACCGAGAGGGCTGCCTGCACGAGCGGTGAGCCAGCGGCAAGCACTAGGTAGCACTAAGAGAGGACATAGACACGTGTGTTGCTCCCCGTCAACAGGTTGGTGCGACAGAGGGTGCGCGGTTTGCTGGCATGACGACCGATGTCGACATGCTCATCCAGCGACTGGACGGCCTCATTGGCAGCGATTTTTCTTCGATGCAGCCTGATGCGAAGAAGGTCTCCGCATTGGGCGTTGTGACAGCGATCCAGCTCCTGCTGAGTAAAGAACATCAGTGCAACTTCAACGACCCCGACAACCTCAGATACATCTACAGACACGTGAGAGGAGCAGTAAAGGCAGAAGCAACAGAGAGAAGACGGGAGATGACTTTCGTTGTGCTTGTAGGTCGACAAGGTGGGTTTTGGCGTTTCTGACACGGCCTCTCTCATCAAGAGGCCACACATACGCCATCTGCGGCAGTGGCTGAGACGGCCCTCCCAAGATGCGCGTCTCCAACTGCTCTACAGGTGAGAGGAGAGGTGTGTGAACCAAGCAGTGAATACGCGAAGAGGACTGTCTCTCTTGTCTGTCAGGTCGACACGTGATGGTGACAGCTTTGATGACCTCATGAGCAAGGTGGGGTCGGCTCGCGGTCTGCTGTTCGCCGTCAAGCACAACAACAACAAGTTCGGCGTCTTCTTCGACGGCTCCCTCAACCAACCGAGCGACCCGAAATCCGACCAGACGACCAGAGGCGACCTCTTCTTTTCGCTCAGCGGCAGCTTCCCTCAGCCCACACAGATCCACCCATCGCAAGACAGACAGCGGGTGGATGTAGCCGGGAGGGACGGGGCTGTGCAGGGGACCGGCGGGGCATCCGGCAAGATCGTGATGGCAGATGGCTACCTCTGGCTGGCGTATTCGAGGTCGTCCACTCCGTCGCCCTCCATCCTCAGCTGCCATCACTGGATCGACAAAGACATCACACCACCAGGCTTCACCGGCGGAGAGAGCTCTGACGGTAGAAACATTCTGGCAGACACCATGGGCTTCACGGCTGACGTCATTGAAGTGTATCAGGTGGGTGCGAAATACACGCACGTGCACGTCAGCGATCATCCCTGCGGTGTGCTATGTGTGTCAGGTGGTGAGAGGCCCCTTCCCTGCCATCGATCGTGACGCCCTCCTGCCCCTGCCCGTCGACTTCCCCAAACCTCTTCCTGCGAGTGCTCTGTCGTCGCCCGAGAGGACGTGCCGCAGACCAGCCTGACTGACTGATTGATCGTGTGATTGTGTGTGGTTGGTGTACTGTCTGTTGGTGTTGGCCTGCGTGTTGGTTTGCGGCAATTGTTTCGCCGCAACGGTCTTGTGAAGTCAGCCATGTGTGTCGTTCTTTTTGTACGTGTCTGCGCGTCGAGGTGTCCTTTTATCCGAGCCATCGCCGTAGTGTGCACACGATTTGTCCTACAACGCTCTACCCTTTTGCGTGCATCACACCGCTTCTTTGTGCAGTGAGGTGATTTTCATGCAAGTCGTGCCGGTACACTTGATGCTGCTGTCGATGAGCAGCAGAGAGACCACCGCACACGCTGTTGTCTTTCAGCGTCAAGAGATCCGACTTCCATGTCTTCCATGGACGTGCCGTAGCTCGTACCTGATTGATAGTTGCTGGCCGTCATGAACGGACTCTGACACATCTACTGAGTACGAACAGTTGACTGGATGATGTCCCTTTCCAGGCTGAAAAGCCATCGCATGAATGAGTGATCACCACGTTTGTTTCTGTATGGAGCCAGCCAAGCCAGCGGCCGCCTTATACTCGAATGCAGTCAGCCAACCACACCAGGAGGTCGTCTACAGCCGCAGCAAAGTCACAGCCACCAGCCACTGCCAAACCGCATCCCTTAGCGACAAGATGGCCAGTAAATTGCGTGGGTGTGGTACGGGGTGTGTGGCGGGGGCCGAGGACTCTTCACTTCGCATGGGCTGATCGCCGCCATCGTTTCTTGCTGCGTGTCTTGGCCTTGGCTTTGCCTGACGGGTGGAAAGACACGCCTACACGTCCACATGCAGATGAAGGAGCCGTGTGTGGTGTGTGTCTCACCTTTGGCGGCTGCCTTGTGCTTTTTGGTGAGCGGGCGCTTCGAGCCAGCATGACTCGCGGCCCTCCGCGACCTTTCCGCCCACACACATGAACGGCATGGTAACGAGTTGGCATAACTTTAGCACACTCATGTGTCCTTTGCGGGGCCGGACCGAGGGAACAGACACACCAACGATATGAAATGTAGGCAACGATTGTCTGGGGCACTCAGCACTGAGCCTGTGCCTACATCGAGACACAAACGTGTTCCGCACGTGTTCCAGTTAAAAGAGACATGGAATATAAAATGCAGGCAGCGATGCAGGCCAGCAATGCAACGGACAAACGGACGGACCATCAGTGCCTGTGTCGTCTACGGGCACCACCCCCACTCTTCTGCATGCTGCAAGCACACACACACACACAGACAGACAGACACACAGAGCGGCATAGTGGCATGCGTGTTACCGATACGTAGGCATTTCTTCTATGTACCTGCTGATCGCCGACAGGCCTTTGAGTACCCGAATGTGATCCATGATCACGTACCCGTAGTGCCGCGGGTCGGGCGTGCCCCCGCTGCGGTTCCGCAAGTTGTCGACTCGCTTCTTGAGGTCGTGGAAGTCCCACCCATGGCGGCGCCGTCTCGCCTCGTCGTGGATGTGGAAGTGGCCGTCCTTGCCGCCGTCGAATGGGCCCGCATACAGGCTGACGGCGTCCTTGTGGGGGCTCGGGCGGACGATGGCGTCCAGGCCGTGGAATGCCGCCTCGCCGTAGAAGGCATCGGTGGCCGAATCGACGAGCTCCCTCTTGGCGTGGGGCATGGCTGCATCCGTCCATGAAAGGAAGACAGACAGACAGACAGACAGAAGAGACATTGCACAGAGTGAGATGCATACATTCTCTAGGGTATCGAGCATGCGTACCTGGTGGCTCGTGGATGGCTTCCAGGGCGCGCAGAGTGTCGTACTCCGCCCACTCCTTGTCCTTGTCGACGCGGTACCACTGCTCCTCCGACTTGACGACAATCCGGTACTGCTGTGGGAGGGGCAGCTGGCCTGTGAGGTCGCGGGCCTCCTGCACCTTCTCGGCGAGCTGGGTGAGGTCCCAGCTGCACCGTGGCAGCCGCCGCGCCTCCCCCACCACGAAGTAGCCCTCCCCAAAGCCGTCGTTAAATTGGCCGAAGCCAAACTTGACGGCCTGCTCGGTGGGAGGGCTGCTGCCGACGGCCATCAGCTACAGCGGGCCGATCCACCACCCGTCCTTGCGCATCTGCAGCAGAAAGTTCTGCGCCACCGTCGTCAGCTGCTGACCCTCGGCCTCGTTGTCGGCTGGCGGCGCGGCGACTGATTGACCAAAACAAGGCGCAGCGCACACAAAGTGGCAGCAGCGGCAGCAGCAGCCTGTCTGTCTGGCTGTCTGTCTGGCTGGCTGTCTGTCTGTGTATGTCTGTGTGTGGGGTTTTGACTCTGCTGTGGCTTGTAAGATCCTCAAGCCGATCCTGCTCGTAAGGCTCATCCTCCTCAGAGTGGAACAGGTCCCTGCACACACGCAGACACGGACACACAGAGAGCGACCTCACTCCCTTTGTCAACTCTATGTGCCCATCTGACCCTCGTCCTCGTTCAACTTCTCGTCCTCTGCTCACAAACGAGAGACACACACACGACCCAGAAACACGCGTTGATGTATGGATGTACAGTACGTGGCTTGGTTTCGTGTGTTTCCGTGTCTTGGCTTATTTATTCACCGGTCCCTTTGCATTCTCTGCTTGGTATGGCGCACCTGAAAAGGCGACAGGAAGAGAAACCAAGCTCTTGCTTGGCGGTGAGTGCAGTGCTTGGTTTCGTATCACTTACCTTATGCTGAGCGTCGTATTGGTGCTCCTCGATGCAGCGAATGAGCTCGCTCACCTGCTGATGGAAAGCTTGAGGTGAAGACAACAAATGCGATGCGCTGTCTGTTTACCTCGATGTGCACATCTTTGCTGTGGAGGGCTTCAGCATACTATCAGCCAAACACACAAACAGACATGAGGACGAATCAAGGTCATGCATTTGGTCTCGTTGAACATCGCCTCCAAAGCTTGACGCTTCCTCTTCCTGCACACACACATATGCCACAAACACACATACATACAATCGTCAGCCGACGGGTAACTATGTGTGTGTACCGCCATGTCTCGCACAACACCAAATTGCAGCTTGCCGCCACGAGGTTGTCCTTGATGCGCCCGCCACATTTTGAGCTGCACACTCACCCACACGCACATACACGTGGAGAAGCTTTCTGTCTGTGTGTGATACATACAAGCGTGTGGCCCTCCTCGGCTCCAAAGCGGTACATCGCCTACATCATAAGCCAACAAATATAAAATGTAGGCAACGATTTGCCCGCTCGCCCCCGCCTCCCCTCCCGTCTTGGCCTTCTTCGCGGCCGGCTCGCCCCCTTCCTCCTCCTTCTTGTCCTCCTCCTTCTTGCCCATGTGGGCCTGGCGGATGTGCTGCAGGAACTTGTGGTAGCTGAACTTGCCCCACCCACCCCCGCTCAGCACTCTCCGCGCAGCCTTGTTCCTCACGCCGCAGCGCGTGCACTTGTAATAGACCACCACCACGCTCTCCGGCTGCACAACACATGAACAGCAGCAATTTTTGAACAGAAGCCAGCAGCATACAACACACAAATACACGCCTACGTCTATCTCTATGCCATTCATGATCTCGTTGGTCTTCGCCTCCCTGTCCCTCGGTGTCATGTGGTCCAGTCGGCCGTCATGCTGATGCACGTATGCAGCAGGGTGAAAGTGCTGACCTGCTCGTCAACAGAGAGAACAAGCGAGAATTTTAGAATAAACTGGAGAATTTTTTCGCGCGTCTCGCCGTCTCGCGCATCGCGAGATTCTCGCCGGCGGTGAGTTCGTAAGTTCGTGATGTGCCAATTGTGATGTGCCGGTTACGTTGCTAGTCCGCTAACCTCTCGAGAGACTGGGGGGTACGGAAGAGCCTCCACCCCAAAGCTCGCAGATCTTCGGTCATCTGAGCGAGAGCGGTCTTCCTTGTGTCAAAGTGTGGTTGTTCCACCATGGCGCATCTTGCTGTGACAATCGACGAGGAAATGCTCAATGTGCTCATGGTACGAGCAGGCATGACGAAGAACGGGGACGCAATCACGTGTTTCGTGTGCCGGTGCTCAGGAGGAGAAGGGGGTGTCTGGGATGAGCGCCATCAAGGCACTGCAGGCCACAAACAATGAGAGTGGTAGGTGGGTGATGCGTCACAGCACGACTTTCTTACTGCATCTGCATTCGATCGTGTTTGTGCAGTTGAAGCGGCGATGGCGTGGTTGTCTGAGCATGCCAATGATGCCGACCTGGACAAACTCACAGGCAACATGCTGGCGGGAGGCAGTGGAGCCACCGCATCGACCACGCCAAGTGAGGCGTGCAACAACAGGACATGTGTAATGAGTATGTCTGTGGCGTGTGTGTGTGTGTGTGTGTCAGGCGGCCCTCCCCCCACAGACAACCCACCACACGTCAAGGAGAGTCTCAACCAAGAGGTCAGGAGAGCGGCGTGCAGTACAGGAACAGTAAACAGTATTGCACCTGTGCCATGTCATGTGTGTGTCAGTGGTTAAAGGAGCTGCTCGACATGGGTTTCGCGAACATCCCTGCAGAGAAGGCCCTCTACCTCACCCAGAACGCAAGCCGTAACAGAGCACAAAACGGCAGGGGACCCATCCACAGCTTTCTCTCTCTCTCTCTCTCTGTGTGTGTGTGTGTGTGTGTGTGTGTCAGTCGAGGCGGCCGTCAACTGGCTGAGTGACCACCAAGCGGACATGGACTTCGATACACCCATCATCGAGCAACAACAGCCACAACGTACGTGACTTAGAGAGGGAGACGGCCTTATGCGTTACATGAGTGTGAACACGCGTGTGTGTCATGTGTGTGCAGCGAGTCGGCCGAAGTTGTCTCCCGAGGAAGCCCAGAAGAAGGCCTATGAGCTGCAGAAGAGGCTCAGAGAGGTGTGCGCCTTGTAGTGTCCACGCAGAAAAAACACCCCACACACACAGTGTGCATGGTTGTTGGTGGCTGCACTGCAGGAGCGCGAGAAGCGGGAGAAGCAGGAGGCGATCGACAAGGAAAGGGCGAGGATCGAGTAAGCCGCGGGACCACTGACATGACCCAACATGCCTATGTGCATGCTGGTGTGCGCCCCGTTGGTTGTGTCATCCGTCGATCAGGGGCTCCAAGGCTCTGCAGGAGGCGCAGCGCAAGCTGGATGAGCAGCAGAGGAAGCGCGACCTAGACGAAATCAAGAGGGAAAAGGATGTGAGCCATATTGCACCGCACCCGGCACATGCACACACAGCCACACCTATGGACGCCCGCTGGTGTGTGTGTGTGTGTGTGTGTGTGTGTCAGGAGCATGAGAAGGAGAAGAAGAGGCAGAAGGAGCTGCTCAAGCGGGAGTGGGAGGAGCGATTCGGAAGACCGGTACAGACAGACACTCACACAGACACGTACAAAAGTAGCCATTGATGGATGCTGACCAGCACACATGCATCTGCGTGTGCACGTCTGAACACACACATCTGTGTCATGTCAGTACCCCGAGGGCGAGGAGGTTGACGAGAAACAGAAGGAGGACGAAGTTTCCAAGAAGAGCAAAAAGGACCAGGTGAGCTCAAGAGACGATCCGCACACCGCTCGCACACCACTTGACGCATGTTGTCTGTCTGTGTGGTGGTCGCATCTGTGTCAGATCATCTACTGGGTCAATAGGCTCAAGAAGAACTACAAGGTGAGTGACCACCGCGACAAACGGATGAAGAGAAAGCCTGCAGGCACAGTGCTGTCTGTCATCTCTCTCTCATTGTCAGGACACGAATCCTGCCGGCCTCAAGACCTGCCTGCAGACCATCCGACTGTACGTCGACAACGCGGCCAAGAACCCCACCGACAAGAAATACCACCGAATCAAGTTAGTGAGCGAGGAGAGAGAGAGAGTGGGGCGGAGGCCAGGGTGCGGAGCTGATGTGTGTCTGGTTTGTTTGTCTGTGTGCGCGCGCAGAAAGGAGAACAACGCCTTCAAGACGCGCGTGGCCGTGTTCTTTGAAGCGATTGAGCTGCTCAAGGTGGTCGGCTTCGTAGACGATGGTGAGGAAGGCACACAAGTCACTAGGTTCCTGTAAGGGCGAGTATGATTCGTGGACTGTGTGTGTCCTTGGCGCAGGTGGTGAGTTCTACGCCATCGATGGCATCCCTGACGGCTTCCACTGCGGCCAGGCCATCAAGTTTATCGACCTCATCATGCCCTCCCTCTGACGCGACAGACACACAGACAAAGAGAAAAACAGCAGCAGACTTTCCCTTCTTTATGGTGACGTATTCGAGAGAGATGTCGTGCGAGTCCATGATCTCGTGTTGCTCCTCCCTCCTGTTGGTTTTTCCATGGTCGGTGGGCTCGGAATGTCGACGCTGGCCTGACAGACACGAAAGGCGGGAACACACCGGATCTGGCATATTTGGTGTGTCGGATTGGGCCCATGAGTGGCATGCGGTACCGACTCGGACTAGCAACGCAGCCGGCACATCACAATTGGCACGTCACGAACTTACGAACTCGCCGCCGGCGAGAATCTCGCGATGCGCGAGACGGCGAGACGCCAAAAAATCCCAGCACTGAAACTTCGTCAAAACTGCGATGCGTTCGTCTGTGCGACTGCCGCAAAATTCTCTCTGTCGTCAACTTCCAAGACGGCATCGTTTCCATCTCGTGAATTCCTCTCATCAAGCCACAATCGCGGCTGGCCGCTCGTCGAGGCAGCCATTGCCGCCTGCTTCGAGGACGGGTGGTGGATCGGCCCGCTGTGGCTGATGGCCGTCGGCAGCAGCCCTCCCACCGAGCAGGCCGTCAAGTTAGGCTTCGGCCCATTCAACGACGGCTTTGGGGAGGGCTACTTCGCGGTGGGGGAGGCGCGGCGGCTGCCACGGGGCAGCTGGGACCTCACCCAGCTCGCCGAGAAGGTGCAGGAGGCCCGCGACCTCTGCCCCTCCCACAGCAGTACCGGATTGTCGTCAAGTCGGAGGAGCAGTGGTACCGCGTCGAGAAGGACAAGGAGTGGGTGGAGTACGACCCTCTGCTGCGCCCTGGAAGCCATCCACGAGCCACCAGGTACGCATGCTCGATACCCTAGAGAATGTATGCATCTCACTCTGTGCAATGTCTCTTCTGTCTGTCTGTCTGTCTGTCTTCCTTTCATGGACGGGTGCAGCCATGCCCCACGCCAAGAGGGAGCTCGTCGATTCGGCCACTGATGCCTTCTACGACGAGGCGGCATTCCACGGCCTGGACGCCATCGTCCGCCCGAGCCCCCACCCGGACGCCGTCAGCCTGTATGCGGGCCCATTCGACGGCGGCAAGGACGGCCACTTCCACATCCACGACGAGGCGAGACGGCGCGGCCATGGGTGGGACTTCCGCAACCTCAAGAAGCGAGTCGACAACTTGCGGAACCGCAGCCATGCCCCATGCCAAGAGGGAGCTCGTCGATTCGGCCACTGATGCCTTCTACGACGAGGCGGCATTCCACGGCCTGGACGCCATCGTCCGCCCGAGCCCCCACCCGGACGCCGTCAGCCTGTATGCGGGCCCATTCGACGGCGGCAAGGACGGCCACTTCCACATCCACGACGAGGCGAGACGGCGCCGCCATGGGTGGGACTTCCACGACCTCAAGAAGCGAGTCGACAACTTGCGGAACCGCAGCGGGGGCACGCCCGACCCGCGGCACTACGGGTACGTGATCATGGATCACATTCGGGTACTCAAAGGCCTTTCCGCGATCAGCAGGTACATAGAAGAAATGCCTACATATCGGTAACACGCATGCCACTATGCCGCTCTGTGTGTCTGTGTGTCTGTGTGTTTGTGTGTGCGTGGTAGACCCCTATGATGCGCTTCGCTGAGTACTTCTTCTACGTGGATCTCGAGCGGTTCAAGGACACCTTCCCCGTCCCACAGGTACGCAACGATACGCACATACACAGCGATGTGGGCATGCACATGAGTACATTCATGAGAATGTGTGTGTGTGTCAGATGGGTGGAAGGCGTTTGTGCTGGTTACGCTCATCGAGACGGGCGAGTCGCCCCCGCTCCCCCCCCCCCGGAAGAGAGCGGTCGGTGAGCAGGAATGCTGAATGTCTCACGTTGTGTCTCTGAGCGATTCGTTTGCAGAGGAGGGAGGGTTGAGAAAATCGCTGGCTACATTTTATATCTGGCGGTCTCTTATCTTTTCGACCTCTTGCCTCACGTCTGTTCCCACGAGGTGACTTTAGCCTCCAAACAAATCACGTCGTCTCTCTTTGTCGCTGTGTCTCCCTTGCAATACAGCAAAGGAGAAGACCAAGACGACGCGGATGACTGCAGAGACACACACATAACGAGATAGAGAAAGAGAGAGAGACTGAACTACGCTTCTTTGGTGTTACCTGCTGTGTGTCCTCTCAAAGGTCACGGTGCCCAAGCGGGGCTCGCTGCAGAAGACGGTGATGCGGCCCTGCCATCTGTTGATGCTCCAGGTGAGGCAGAACGGCTCGTCACGGAAACTGAGGCGTGAGAGTCGACTGGACTGCTTCCCAGACTTACGCTGTCTGTCTGTCTGCCTGTCTGTGTGTCTTTGTCAGTCAGCAAGATGGTGCTCTTCCTTCTCCAGCGGCTGCTGAACCTCTGGATTATGAAGATGCGTCCAGGGACCACCCTGGCAGGGCGTTGCTTGGTCGAAGTGAGCAAGAGAAGATGTGTTCGTGTGTAGGGGAGTGATGCCTCCACGCGTCCCTCTGTCACGCAGGCCGCAATAGGGGCATGAGTGCTGATGAGCCCGTACGGGTCCGTGTTGATGCGATATGAATGCTGTCTCCTGGTGTGCCCTTCTGCAGGAACGGGAAGCGGCAAGGAGGATTGGCAGAAAGAGGAGCGGGAAGGACATAACGCAGATCACACACTCGACTCGCATCCGACTGACTGATGGTCCTTGTTCTCATCTGTCTGTCATGGTAGAAGAGAGAGGCGGGCGATCATGCTGCGCGACATCCGTACGCCACGCCTACACACCGACACAGACACACACACGAGTGTTGCGGGTGTGATTCATTCACGTGTGCAGAGCTGCTTCGTTGTCGTCCATCTCCGCCGAGGCGGCCGCAAAGGCGGCGGCCATGCAGGAGCCGGCAGAGGGTATGCACACACCCAACAAGTCCGTTTCTAATGAGAGCGAATTGTGAATGTGTGGATCAATTTGATCAATCTGCGGACTCTGTTGGTTAGCTCTGGTTGGGTCAGCCACACCTCGATTTCTCTTTTTGTTGCTGCAGGGGTCAGGCCTCAGCCATGTGTGTCACCCGGCCACAGAAGAGCAGAAATGAGACCGATGCATCCAGCTGACTGATCGTCCCTGTTTTGACGTGTGTGTATGCAGGCTTCGTTCCCGCTCAGCGTCGTGTACGAGTCCGACCAGAACACGCACATCGCCACCACGCAGACGACCTACCAGGTACATGGATGCACGAGTGCATGCGGTGTCCTTCTCTTGCCATGCGCACACAATGTTCGCTCGCCCCCTCCGTGTGTGTGTGTGTGTGTGCAGACCCCGCTGCAGGTGCCGCCTGACAAGCGCTGCCCCGTCATCAATATGGTAAGGGCATCATCAGTGTGCCTCCACACACACACACACACAGACACACATATCTGTCAGCGTGTGCTGGGCTTCGTCCCATTCAACGACGGCTTTGGGGAGGGCTACTTCGTGGTGGGGGAGGCGCGGCGGCTGCCACGGGGCAGCTGGGACCTCACCCAGCTCGCCGAGAAGGTGCAGGAGGCCCGCGACCTCACAGGCCAGCTGCCACTCCCACAGCAGTACCGGATTGTCGTCAAGTCGGAGGAGCAGTGGTACCGCGTCGAGAAGGACAAGGACTGGGCGGAGTACGACCCTCTGCGCGCCCTGGAAGCCATCCACGAGCCACCAGGTACACATGCTCGATACCCTAGAGAATGTATGCATCTCACTCTGTGCAATGTCTCTTCTGTCTGTCTGTCTGTCTGTCTCCTTTCATGGACTGGTGCAGCCATGCCCCATGCCAAGAGGGAGCTCGTCGATTCGGCCACTGATGCCTTCTACGACGAGGCGGCATTCCACGGCCTGGACGCCATCGTCCGCCCGAGCCCCCACCCGGACGCCGTCAGCCTGTATGCGGGCCCATTCGACGGCGGCAAGGACGGCCACTTCCACATCCACGACGAGGCGAGACGGCGCGGCCATGGGTGGGACTTCCGCAACCTCAAGAAGCGAGTCGACAACTGCGGGGGCAAGCCCGACCCGCACCACTACGGCTACGTGATCATGGATCACATTCGGGTACTCAAAGGCTTGTCCGCGATTAGAAGGTGCATAGAAAGAACGCCTACACATCGGCAACACCCATGCCACTATGCCGCTCTGTGTGTCTGTGTGTCTGTGTGTGTGTGTGTGTGTGGTGTGCGTGTGTGCTTGCAGCATGCAGAAGAGTGGGGGTGGTGCCCGTACACGACGCAGACACTGAGGGACACATGCACCACATGCTGCGGGGCAGGGGATGGTAGGGGATGCGATGGCAGCGAGGAAGGGCAGGATGCCTGCACGGGGCCTGCATCGCTGCCTGCATTTTATATTTCCATGTCTCTCTCACTGGAACACCTGCGGAACACGTTTATGTCTCGATGTAGGCACAGGCTCAGTGCGGCTGAGTGCCCCAGACAATCGTTGCCTACATTTTATATCGTTAGTGTGTCTGTTCCCTCAGTCAGGCCCCGCAAAGGACACATGAGTGTGTTATAGTTATGGGAACTCGTTACCATGCCGTTCATGTGTGTGGGCGGAGAGGTCGCGGAGGGCCGCGAGTCATGCTGGCTCGAAGCGCCCGCTCACCAAAAAGCACAAGGCAGCCGCCAAAGGTGAGACACACACCACACACGGCTCCTTTATCTGCATGTGGACGTGTAGGCGTGTCTTTCCACCCGTCAGGTAAAGCCAAGGCCAAGACACGCAGCAAGAAACGATGGCGGCGATCAGCCCATGCGAAGTGAAGAGTCCTCGGCCCCCGCCACACACCCCGTACCACACCCACGCAATTTACTGGCCATCTTGTCGCTAAGGGATGCGGTTTGGCAGTGGCTGGTGGCTGTGACTTTGCTGCCGCTTTAAACGACCTCCTGGTGTGGTTGGCTGACTGCATTCGAGTATAAGGCGGCCGCTGGCTCCATACAGAAACGTGGTGATCACTCATTCATGCGATGGCTTTTCAGCCTGGAAAGGGACATCATCCAGTCAACTGTTCGTACTCAGTAGATGTGTCAGAGTCCGTTCATGACGGCCAGCAACTATCAATCAGGTACGAGCTACGGCACGTCCATGGAAGACATGGAAGTCGGATCTCTTGACGCTGAAAGACAACAGCATGTGCGGTGGTCTCTCTGCTGCTCATCTACAGCAGCATCTAGTGTACCGGCACGACTTCGATAAAAATCACCTCACTGCACAAAGAAGCGGTGTGATGCACGCAAAAGGGCAGAGCGATCTAGGACAAATCGTGTGCACACTACGGCGATGGCTCGGATAAAAGGACACCTCGGCGCGCAGACACGTACAAAAAGAACGACACACATGGCTGACTTCACAAGACCGTTGCGGCGAAACAATTGCCGCAAACCAACACGAAGGCCAACACCAACAGACAGTGCACCACCCACACACAATTAACACGATCAATCGGTCAGTCACGCTGGTGTGCGGCACGTCCTCTCGGGCGACGACAGAGCACTCGCAGGCAGAGGTTTGGGGAAGTCGATGGGCAGGGGCAGGAGGGCGGCAGTTGGCATGGCGGGGAGGGGGCCTCTCACCACCTGACACAACACATTACAGGAATTATCTCTCACGTGCAGGTGTGTGTGTCCATCGCACCCACCTGATACACTTCGATGACGTCAGCCGTGAAGTCAAGGCGGTCTGCGAGAATGTTGTCGCCGTCGGAAAGCACCGTGCCGGTGAATCCTGGTGGTGTGATGTCTTCGGGGATCCACTGATGGCAGCTGAGGATGGAGGGCGACGGAGTGGACGACCGAGAGAACCCCAGCCAGAGTTTGGCGCCTGCAATGAAGATCTTGCTGGAAATGGTGCCGCTGTTCGACAGCACAGCTCCGTCCCTCCCGGCCACCTCCACCCGCTGCCTGCCTTGCGGTGGGTGGATCTGTGTGGGCTGAGGGAAGCTGCCGCTCAGTGAAAAGAAGAAGAGCTCCCCTCTGGTCGTCTGTGTGGATGTCGGGTCGCTGGGTTGGTTCAGGGAGCCGTCGAAGAAGACGCCAAACTTGTTGCTGCGGTTCTTGACGGCGAACAGCAGACCGTGAGCCGACCCCACCTTGCCCATGAGGTCAGCGAAGCTGTCACCGTCACGTGTCGACCTGACGGACAAGAGAGGCAGTCCTCTTCGCGTATCCACTGCTTTATTCCCACTTGTTTCGTCTTGCCTGTAGAGCAGACGGAGCCGCGCATCTTGGAATGGTCGTCTCAGCCACCGCCGCAGATGGGGTATGTGTGGCCTCTTGATGAGTGAGGGGCTGTCAGAAACGCCAAAACCCACCTTGTCGACCTATAAGCACAAAGCAAGTCATCACCTGTCCCTCTCTCTGTCGCTTCTGCCTTTCCTTTCCTCTCACGTGTTGGTAGATGTATCTGAGATTGTCGGGGTCGTTGAAGTTGCACTGATGGCCCTCAGTCAGCAGCAGCTGAATCGTTATCACGACGCCCAATGCGTAAGCCTTCTTCGTGTCAGGCTGCATCGAAGAAAAATCGTTGCCAATGAGGCCGTCCAGCCGCTCGACGAGCACATCGACATCGGTCGTCATGGGAGCCAGCCGCGCACCCTCTGTCGCACCAACCTGGACGGGGAGCAACACACGTGTCTATGTCCTCTCTCAGTGCTACCTAGTGCTTGCCGCTGGCTCACCGCTCGTGGCGGCAGCCCTCTCGGTGTCCGTCTGTCGTGTCTGAAGACGCTGTGGACCCACGAGTAGGCGTTGCTGCCGAAGACGGGGCAGTCGGGCGGAATGGGCTCACCGGGGAAACTCAACTCATGCAGCGATCGGGCCGTTTGAACGGCCTGCAGAACAGGTTGCTTAGTTCAGAACTACCTTGGCTGCTTGATTACCGACCGTGTCGAGTTTGTAGATCTCTCGGACTATGCCGTTCCCGCAGCTGTGCAGCTTGCCCAGGTACTGCATGGAACAGTTGTGCCCTGTCTGTGCTGCCTGTGGGATGAAGCCTGCCCAGATGCCGTCCGCTCCCCGCCGCACACACTCCCACGCCATGGCCTGCGAGCTGTCCGAGTGAGGCGCCGCGTGTGAGTGCACCAGCAGCTTGAAGTCGCCAGACGGGAATGACAGCCTGACACAAAACGAACTCGAATGTGGTGGAGTGTCAATGGCCATCTGCGGCCGCTTCTCACCTGAGTCGCGAGGTCACTTCAGCGTAGTCGTCGATGTCAGCGTTGCCCAAGCCGCCCTCAAAACAGATGCCTTTCAGGATCGCGGTGCTCTCTGACGTCAAGGAATCGATCACTTCCTGCACTCACAAACACAATGACACCAACACGTGCATTATCCTTGAGCAAATCGCCTCACCTTCACTTGTGGAGCGTCCAGGCTCACGTCGGAGTCCAGCAGATCCACGAAATTGATGTACAGGTGATTGCGCTTCAGCCACCTGTACCCCGACGCGCTGGGCTGAGAGTCTTCGTGAGGCATGCCATCATTGTCGGCGGCCATGACCACGTCCCTGTCGAGCCTCCTGAAGTGCTCGTGGATGCGGCCGATGGTGGTCTGGAGGCTTTGAAGTGAGCTACTGCCTGTGCGGGCGCCCGCAAATGTGTAGTCGAGCATCACATTGGGGATGCCGGATGCCTCCAGCCTCGCCAGTGCCTCATCGTCGCCTGACAAAGCACAGAACGCCGCTCATCAGTGACATGAACATGACCCTTCGGAACGGGGCCCCTCACGCACCTGTTCCCAGCATGAACCAGCAGCCGCTCATCCGCGGCTCCTCGGCCCGCAGCAGCTGCGCAAATCGGTCTTCCACCCGCGGCATAGACCCATAGTAGTGGCCGACGACAGCCACGTCGCGGAAGCCGAATGCCCGCCCTTTGCGGAAGATCCTGATCTTGACGTCTGGCGTGTGGCCGAAAGGGGTCGTTGTGGCCGACTCAGGGATGCTGTGGTCAATGATGTCAAGGGGATTGGCCTTCCTGAGCTGCTCTCTCGTTGTGCGTCGGCGAGGCCGGCGCCTTGAAGTCCGCTCCGACTCTGCGGTCTCATCGCCGCTCGAGGCCATGCGTGGGGAGATCTCAGATCTCTGGAAGAAGAGCTCGCAGAGAGGATCGCCGGTGCGCGAACGAAAGGAATGACTCATCCATGAGGCTCCAGAGCGTTTGCTCCACAGATCTTGATCAAGATTTGAAGAATCGGACACATCAATGGCTTTCTTGCGATGCCTGTCGTCGCTGCCCTTCCCGCCCTTCCCACGACCAAGGAGGCCTCTCTCCCTCTGTGCGCTCTCCAGCCGTCATCAGTCGAGAGCCCAGTCATCATCCAGCAAGACGAGCAGCAACAACAGCAACACCATGACTGTGGACCGGCTGCCCATCGACAGTTCGCTCAAGCAGGCCCTGGCATCGCTGAAGATCACCTCTCTATTCGACATCCAGCGGGACGTCTTCCACCCCATTCTGCAAGGGATGAACGTCGTCGGCCGCTCGCGCACCGGCACGGGCAAGACGCTGGCCTACCTAGTGCCTGTGCTGCAGCGCATGAAGATGGAGAAGCTCCATGCCAGCGATGCGGCCGTGCTGATTCTGCTGCCGACACGAGAGCTGGCCAAACAGGTGTGCTGCAGGAATGTCGCATACGTGGCGATCTGTAAGTGTGGGGCGTGTATGTGTGTGCAGGTTGGGATGGTGCTGTTGGGTCTGAGCAGCTCGTTCCTTCACTTGAACATCGCCCTGCTGTATGGCGGTGCGCCGGTGGCTCCCCAGGCACAGCTGCTGAAGCTGCAGCCCAACGTCGTCATCGGCACGCCGGGGAGGTGCCAGCTGATGGTGAGTGACCGAACGAGGCCTTACGTAGCCGACGGTCGGGTGTGTGTTCTCCTCGTCAGGTGGATAAGGGTCTCTTGTCGCTGTCGTCGACTAAGGTAGTCATCATCGACGAGGCAGATGCTCTCATGGCCCATGGATTCGCTGCACAAGTCCAGACGTGAGCATGACACCAAACCTCACCCTCTTTCACATTTCTGAGGTTCCCCTCTGTTCCTGCAGCCTGCTGCAAGGCGTCGGGCAGAACAACGCCAAGTTCCAGAGCCTTCTCTTCACGGCCTCCTTCACCCCCGAGCTGAGGGCCCTCATCGACAAACACTTTGACACACCCACGTCGGCAGCAGAGACAGGCACCAACACAGGGGGCGATGGCAAGTGCCGCACAGTGGTGATTGACACAGTGGAGGGCACACGTGTGGGGGTGGACGACAAGGGCAAGGCCAGCGAGACCGTCACTGGTGAGAAAAAACATGCGGGGAGACAAAGCGCCCATTGACAGATATGTGGATTGCCGACAACTTCTCTGTTGTTTGTTCAGTGCCGACGACGGTTCAGCAGGTCCGTCATTACGTGCTCAAGGTCCCCACTCTGGCGTCGCCCCACTCCCCCACCCCGACGGACCCCTCTTCTCCTTTAGACCTCACAGCCACCTCCACACTGACGTCCCACCGGAACGTCGAGAGGCGGCTGCGTGTGCTCATCCAGCTTCTTACCGACAAGCTGCGGCTGAAGCCTTACCGCGGGAGTCTTGCCAAGGATGGTTCTCGGGGGAGGGGGAAGGCGATAGTGTTTGCGGGCATGAAGGAGGTGGAGATGGTTGTGCGCCATCCTGCCTTGGAGGGGCACGCGAGAGCCCTGCACTCGAAGCTCGATCAGACACAGAGGTACGCAGTGGAGGGGAAAGGGCCGTGGAGCAGAAGAGCATTACCCCTGTGTGAGTGTTGCAGAGATTTCATTCTCAATGGGTTTGCCGAGAACAAGGTGAGTCCGTCACGCACAGCGGACAGACAGTATGTGAGTGTGCGCGTGTGTGTGTCGGTCAGTATCGAGTGTTGGTGTGCACCGACTTGGTTGCCCGCGGGCTGGACTACCCCGACGTCACACACGTGGTGCACTTCAGACCGCCCGCAGAACCCAACAACTACATACACAGGCAAGGCAGACACACACACACATGAACGATGCATGAGACGAACGAATCAATGTGTGTTGGCATCACATGCAGAGCTGGCCGCACTGGTCGTGCCGGCAAGGGTGGCGAGAGCATCATGATGTATTCCAGTGACGAGTACCCCCTCGTCAAGGCCATCCACACCCTCACACGACAGCAGTTCACACCCCTCCCCACACCCGACCCCAAAGACCTGGAAAGGACCCACACACAACAGCTCATGAGTGAGTGCCCGCACAACAGACAGGCAGCCACACCCAGTCTCTCCATTTGTGTGTCTGCCAGATGCGCTGCACGACATCATATCGTCCACTGACGACGGCACACTCAACGACAGCGAGCTCGACTACCGCCCATACCTGCCAGCAGCCGAGCGGCTCATCAAGACACACGGTGCCGCGCCACTTGCAAACGCCCTCGCACTGCTGGACGGAGGGTGGGCACACACACACACAGACGCAGTGGACTCTGCCGTGCCATTTGTGTTGGCTGGGTCGTGTGTGTGGTGTGCAGGAGTGTGCCTTTGGCATCCGGACTACCGGCTCCCCTGCGTGTGTCCCCGCTGTCCGGTCGTCGGGGCTTCATGCCACTCGCACTCATCGACACCAACCACACTGTGAGTGAGTGCAGCCGTTCCATGACGGCCACGAATGCCGGCGTGTGTGTGCGTGCAGGTGTTGACGAATGCCGACAGGGTCCGTGCGGTGCTGCAGGAGCGGATGCCGGTGCTCAAGCAGAAGAAGGCTGCACTCGGACGCATCGTCAAGACAGCAAACGGATACGTCTTCGACGTGAAGGTGGGGAATTGCCTGCCGCCGCGGATGTGCCGATCTATGTGCTCGTGTCCGTGTGTCAGTATGTGTACGGCGCCAAGCTGCTGCACGACAGCGAGGAGCGAGCTGCCCTGGAGCAGCTGGGCGTACAGCTCACACACGTCAGCCAGGTACAGGGAAACGACACACGCGCTCACTCACCCAGCCACACACATCGACGTGCAACATGCACCTCCGCTACTCTCTTAGCTGCCGCGTCTGCTGGTCGATGAGTCTGAGAAGGCCAAGATGCGCAAAAACAAAAAGCTGCCGTGGAGACGGTAAGCGAGTCCGCCGACTGTTACATCCCAGCCACACGTCTGTGTGTGGCTGTGTCTGTAGGAGGAAGGGCGACCGGCAACATCGACTGATAGTGATGGGCCTCTCGGCGCGGCAGGCGTCATCGGCCGGCCTCCACCCGTCCAGGCGCATCACACACCGACAGAGGAGGGCACCCAAGGGTACGTTTGAGGCAAGAAAGACGGACCGGGGGGAGGCGGCTGCGTGGCGAATGGCCATGGGAGAGATGATGCGGGCAGGGGGCGGCTGATGGATGGAGTGTGTGTGTGTGCTGTGGGTGGGTGGGTGGGCTGGTGACAGTGCTGCGTGTGTGAGCCTCTGTCGATAACTTGGAGTGTGTGACATCGATTTGTCCATTGAAGAGATAGTGTACTGAGTCAAACATTTGTCTCTCACACATAAGCATCGAGCCCCCTCACTGCAGATGCACACGCAAGGCCCGCCCTCCTGATCAGAATGCTCTTGGTATGCCGATCCAACGTTCTATACCTCTCCTTGCCCATCCCAAACAGCCGTACAAAGTCTGATGGGTGAAGGTACTCCCACCGCCTCTCGTGGTCCACCCACGGCGGCAGCCTCGACTCGCTTCTCTCCCGCACCACCTCGTCGAGTGGGAAATACAGCTCAAATGGGTATGGGGAGAAGGGCGGGCTGACGTCACGAGATGTCTCACGGAGGGGAGCCCCACAGCAGCTTGGGGACGGCAGGTAGCTGCCTGTGGTGGTTGCGAGGAGGCGGTCTCTGGTCTTGTCGACGATCCTGTCCTCTTGGAAGAGTCTGCGGGCCGCCGAGAGAGACATGGTGGGCGACGATGGGGCGACTGCCGATGAATACGCGAAGCAGCAGGGGCGTGTGGCGGCGTAGTGACACACGCGAGCCGCATGACATGACACACGCGATCGACGGGGTGAGGGGGAGTACAGGTGCTCCCTTCCGAGTAATATGGGGAGGTCATGAGAATGGGACGCAGGGCAGGCGGTGGTGCTGAGCGGCGGGGAGGCAGTCGATGGCGACATCGATGGATACATGCTGCCCCCTCCTCCTCTCGTCTTGGCATTTGGCGACGACGGCCTCGTGTCTCTGTGAGGACTGAGTCGCGGCTGCTGCTTGTGTGGGTTGAATCGAGGGTTCGTGTGGATGAACAGGCCGGTCCGCTCGCCCTCATCGATGACACCACGACCGAGAGGCACACGCCCTGCAGCTGCCGTCTTGACTCTGCTGTTTTCTCCCCACTCATTGCCCGACATCAGCAGCGACTTCTGGGGTGTTTGCTGCTGTGTGGTAGCCATGGTGGCCGACAGGGTGTTGAGCATGCTTGTCAGCTGTGAGATCCACCAGGGGTTGTGTGACGACGCAGAGAGCGTCAGGTGAGCTGTGGGAGTCGGGGGGAGGAGGTCCTGGGCCGGCTGCTGGGTGGGGGAGGTTATAAGAGACATGAGGGAGGAGGGGGTGTTCGGATGTTGGGAGGCGTGCAGCGTGGCGCGCTGCTGGGCGAGATACCAGTCGACCAGCTCCTTCAAAAGCTCACGATGGCTCTCAATCGCGTCCTGTGTCGAACACCAAGCATTGGAGGACATCTCTGACATCCCTATCGCGTCACTCACCTTGACGAATGGATGGTTGCACAGCTCCTCGGCTGACGCCCTTGCACTTGGGTCCAGACGCACACAGCCTTCCACAAAATCCCGGATGTAGCTGAAAAATGGGACAGACAGGAACCAATCGATGGTATGATTGTCAGCTGCCCCCCTCCCCTACTGGCTGAATCTGTGTGGGGGGTTGAGCTCTGGCGGGTGCCGCAGCTGCGTCATCTGCAGAAAGAGGCTGATCGGGGTGGCTGAGGGGTCGGTAGTCAACTCGCTCGTCGGAGGGGACCCCTAAGGGATGGATGGGTGACACACACACATATACACGTCACTGGCCTGTGAGAGACACAAGACCGTTTGAGCATGCCTTTGCCAGCTCCATCGTCGTGATGCCGAGCGACCAGATGTCAGCCTTCTCGTTGTACCCCTTCTCGCCCAGCACCTACACAGCATCTCAGTGCATGCCTAAGGGGCATCCCAAGTGTGTGTGTGTGTACACTCACTTCTGGGGCGATCCACAGGGGGCTGCCGCAAACGGCATACACGGTCTCGCCAGGAGAAAACACTGCAGGACAGCACATCGCGCCATCGATGTGATGTCCACTCGCTTGTCCATGCCCGACGCTCATTTACGTTTGCTGATTCCAAAGTCTGTCAGGTATGCCCTCCCCTCGTTCGACACCAGGATGTTGGCAGCCTTCACGTCTCTGTGGATCAGCCCTTTCTTGTGCAGGCCGTCGAGGGCTCTGCAGACGTCCTTCATGATGACGGCAATCAGCGACTCGTCGATGCCCCAGCCATCTGAATCGTCATTCTGCTGATACATGTGCACCTATGGAGGCCACACATGGCTGACATCTGGGCAAACAGACACGTGCTTCCTTCCTTGCTTGCATGGCGCACCAGCGTGTCAAGTGAGCATCCCTCAATGCACTCCATGGCCAGCACCAGGACAGCTTTGTCTCCATCGCCCACCACAAAGGACTCATAGAGTGAGGGCGTAAGGCCTGGGATGGTCTCGGACGCCTGCGCAGGAAAAAAAAGCGAACTCTCAATGACTCAAACTTCAAGCAATCCTACCAATTTGAGGAACGATATTTCCTGTGCCACATCGGCCAAATCAGCTGGCATCCCGCTCTTCTCCACACCAGCAGCCCCTTGGTTGCCGCCAAAGCTCGTGACTTGCGGCTGGCTTGACCCGTGAAGAGGCTTGTGTGTGGCGTGATTGAGAGGAATGAGCTTCAACGCAACCGTGGCGGGCAGGTGAGCCGAACTGGAGGGAGCCGATGGCGAAACGGGAGCCAGAGAGCTGCATGGAAAGGCACTAGCTCTGAGAGGCACTAGCTCTGAATCTCCTTCCCGCTCCCCGCACACTGTGTCTGCCTTACCATTTCCATACTTCTCCAGAGGCCCCTGACACTCACGCACACACAGAGAGATGCACAAAATGTCGGCGGTCCTCCGGGAGTGTGTGTGAGACTCACCTGCTCCAAGGTATTCCTCGATGGAATAGCAGTGCCCTGGGTATTTCCGCGATGGCACCTTCTGGCTTGTCAGCGCCATCACTGCTGCCCTTCGCGTGGTGATGCTCACCGGCCTCAAGAGAGGCGCAGGCCCCTCGCGATCTAAAAAATCGCGCGCCAAGCCCGCGACAGGGGAGCAAAAAGCCTTTCGCTTCGAATGGCCACACGATGAGGCTACCTGAATACTGGCAACTCAAGGTACAACAATCGCAGACACACATCGCATCTATCGCCTCCCTTCCGATGACCTTCAAGATGACCTTTCTCCCCTCCTGTCTGTCTGTCTGTCTGTCTTTGCTTTCTCTGCTCTCTGTCTTCGCTTTCAGTGGTTGTACTTCAACGCGTTTCTTCACAAGTAAGTAAAGCACGAGAGAAACGTGGGGATCCATTCACTTCACAAACACTTGGCTCCGTGTGTGTCCAATGGCCATCGTGTCTGTCTGCAGTGCCGGGACTGGCCGCTTCATCACTCTCTGGTACAAGAACGGATGCGGCTTCACAATCGCCCAAGTCGGCACCATCCTTGCCACCGCCCGAACAGGAGATCTCTTCTTCACGCCTTTTTGGTCGGGACTCGCGGACAAGACGCAGCAGGGGCGGCTCATCCTGCTGTCCCTGCAACTGGCACACATGCTCATCTTCCTCTCCCTGCCCCTCTCCGTCTACCTCACCTCAGCCGACCACCAGTGGCTGCCTTTCATGCAGCCCAACAACCGGTTTCTCATCTTGTGGGTGACGGTAGCCGTCTGGTCTGCCTTTCGTGGACCGTGCAACCCTCTGCGTGACGCGTTAGCTTTGGCTGCATTGGGGAAAGAGAAGGCTAAATGGGGCCAGCAGCGGCTTTATGGAGCGGTCAGCTGGGGAATCGCACACGCGATTCTCGGGCTGTCGATGGACTATGGGGGGTTTGCCGTTTTGTTCATTCTCTTCACTCTCTCTGGTGCGTGGAGGAAAGAGGCCGTCAACCAATTGTGTGTATGTGTGTGTGTGTCCGTTATCTCTCTCGTGTGTGCAGGTGTGATGCTGTCGTTCACGCAAGTCGCGTGTCTGCCCGCGAGTACGAGCGAATCACGGCAGGCTGTGGATCTGCTGGCGGGGCTCAAGCAGCTGGTGGTGCAGCCGCACGTCGGCATCTTCTTCCTCAACCTCTTGACGATCGGCGCATGCTTTAGTCTAGTCGAGAGCCTGCTGTTCCTGCGGATGGACGAGCTGCACGCATCCAATTTCCTCTGCGGCCTTTCGGTAAGGCCTAAGCAGCAGATGGGTGGGACCTGCCTACGTGGAGACCTATCTCTCCCTCTCCCTCTGTGTGTGTGTGTGCGTGTGTGTGAAGGTGGTTGTGACGGTGGTGTTTGAGCTGCCGATCATGTATTGGTCTGAGGTCTTCATCCGTCGGCTCGGTGTGGCGGGCATGGTCATCGTCGGACAGGCCGCATGGATCGTCAGGGCTATCGGGGTAAGCCAGATATATGCTACACCACCACACACAAGCAAATTTATGGCTTGCTGCTCGTTTGTATGCCTTTTGCGTCTTTTTCCTTCAGTACACGATGGTACCATCAGCCTGGTCAGTAGACACGGAACGAGCCGCTGAACCAGAAAGCTCAGCTGCGTGGTGTGCGGTTGCCTGTGTGCAGGTGGTACCTGTTGCTGGAACCTCTCCACGGCATCACCTACGGCCTCGTCTGGTGCGCGGGCGTCCACTACTGCTCGCTGCCAGAGATATGGCCTGAAGGGCTGGAGGCCACCGCACAGGTAATGCTGATTGATGTGACTGGCTGAGTGTGGTACGTGTGTGCGCGTTGTGTATATGTGCAGGGTCTGCTGACGTTGGCTCACTTCGGTTTGGGTCCTGTGTTGGGGACGAGTTTGGGTGGGCTGGTGATGGACAAGTGGGGCGCTGACACCATGTACAGGTAGGTATCTCCCACACTCACACGCCCATCCACACCCTAGCTATCGCCATCGAACCATGTGCGTGTGTTGTTCCATTTGCCAGGGGTGCGGCCATAGTGTGTCTGATGTCGCTGCTGCTCTACACCTTCTCAGCCCTTGTCAACGGCGACCTCTACTCGCCCTTCCACCGCTACGCCGTCATCAAGAAGGGCGCCAGCGACTTCCACCTCACAGACACTAGAAGGAAAGGGGAGGCCGCCGTCACCCCACTGCCCCTCAAACACACGAGACATACCGACAGGTCGCCGCTGTCGTCTGTGGGCTCATCGACGTGTGACCACACGCCGAGCGAGGGCAAAGGGCTGTCGCCCGTCAGCTCAATGCCGGAGGTGCTGGGCAAGCAAGAGGTGGCGGGAGAGAGGGATTGGGAGGGAGAGCAGCTGATTGTCGGCGGCTGTGAGGACAGTTGCTGAGGGATCGGGAAGCGGGGGCAGAGGTGTGTGGGTGTTTTGTGTGTGAGTGTGCTGGCTAACGCTCATGCGTGCTTAGTTGTCCGTCTCTGTGTGTTCGTCACGCGCACACACGTCCCTCCATACACACACACATACCGACCAGCCAGCCAGCACCTTCAAATGCCTGCCTGGCTCCATCCATGGAGTGTGTGTGAGCGTGTGTGTGTGTGTTAGCTATCAGTTTGGGGGCGGTTTTGGATTTTTGTTGTGTGTTGGTCTCTGTCTGTGTAAGTGTATCCTTCGCATGTGTTCCTTTGGTGCTTCCCTATCGTCCACGCAAGACCAGGAAGACACACAAGGGGAAGCGATACATCTGCATATACACACACACGGGGTGGGAGTGAGTACGCACCTGCCGACCGGCCAGCACTTTTCAAATGGCTGGCCCCATCACGATGTAACTGCGGGCGAGCCTGTGCGCGTTTCTACTCACTAGCTGTGCCTCTTTATGTGTCGGTCCTGTGCGGCGTGTCGATCGATGGAGCGGCAGGCAGCCGGCGTGGCTTCAGCGGGCCCCTTGTTGCCTCTGTAAGTCGGGAATTCATTGTGTGTGTGTGTCGGAGTGGGGAGGGTGACTAGCGGACGTGCTCGTGTGTGTGTGTTTGGTCCACCGTTTTTGTAGATGTGTACACGCTGTTGCACCGACCATCAGGAATCAAGGATATGAGCTGATCAGCATGAAGGTCTTGACCAAAAATACGTCCCATCCCATCCACAGACAGACAGACAGACAGACAGCCACTCATCCATCACACCGACACCGCAGCCGTAGCCAGCCCCCCCGGGTCATACAAAAAGGTAGCGATAGAGGGGCGACTTGGCCAGCCACACAGACAAACAATTCACTCACTCAGAGACACGCACTCTAGAGGGAGGCGGTTCTCTGGGAGAGCCGAGGCTAGTCGGGCATGCGCACATCCCACAGCAAGGTGGCCGCGCCGTCCTTGTCTTCCCCCATCAGAGCTCGAGCTTGACAGTGCCGCCCTCCGACACGCCGACCGACTCGGACCCCTGAGCCAAATCAACCTGACCCTGCGCAGCACAGGAGGGCAACGCAGCACCCATTCTTCGATGTGCGCATGCAGTAGTTTGTCCTCACTGACCGTGTTGGAAGCGTCCATGTCCAACTCGATCTTCTCGCCGGGTTTGAACGCTGGTTGACCTGCGAGCCAGCCAACACGCAGCAAGAGGTCGGGATTTATTGCATGCATACGAACTGAAAGTCTGCGCACCTTTGTATGGGCACCCTGCGCACCGGAAGGCGTCACCCAAATAGCACTGCACAGTGCATGAACCACAGCAACCCACACATGTGATCGTCTGCAATCATTGTGCTTCCATCTGTCATGTCGCTATCCTTCGGGCGTACGTTGCCGCAGGACGACCTGACGCCGCCAGTCTCGAGTTTCTTCTTGGCCTCCTCCGCCCCGATTTTCTTCTCCAGCTCGGCCCGCCCACACGTGCAGTTGGCGCACGCCTTGGGCTTGGACGCACAACTCTCCTTGCCTGATGGACGGGGAAGGACATCGGCCGATGGACACACACACACACACATGTAAGACACACACATGAACATGAGGCATGGCGTGTTTGGTGTGAAGTGTTGGCTGACTGACTGACCGGCTCCGAGTGGTTTGTACTCCTCTTTGTCGTCGATGAGGGAGCTCTCGTCGATCAACTCCTCCTCACCGGGGCTGTCGACTGACAACCAATACACACACACACACACACACACACGACGCATGAAGGGATGAAGGGATGGCGTGACACACCGCATTGTACACAGCGCATCACTGCTCACTTTTGACGGCCGTGGCGGCGCCCAGGTCCCAGTCCGGCTTCTTGCACACAAACTGACCCACATGGCGCCAAAAGCACAGACACACTCGATGGAACACTCTGTGTGGCGGTTGTCGGAGTGTGCTTCTTCTCTCACCTGCACGATGAACTGTTTGTTGTCAGCCGAGTCCCTCCTGGACACATCGCCGTCGATGAACCCGGCGTACATCGCGTTCTTGCTCACCCCCTCTATGAAACCATCAGCCTGAACATCATACACACACACACACACACGGCACGTCAGTCATCCCTCTGCCCTCCCCTCGGCTCTGCTCTTGCTTACGTCGTCGACAACACATTGGACGGTGCAGTTGCCGCCCGGTTTGAGTGCTGTGAAGCAGCTGGTGAGGAAGACCAAATCCAGCGGCAGCGTCCCCTTGGTCGCGTAGCACGACACGCCCTCAAACTGATCACGGTAGCCTACAACACACACCACGCCACACAGCCCACACCGGGAGAGAAGAGAATCAACCAACAGCCAGCCATTGTGTTGTGTCTGGTCGTGTGTTGGCGCTCACCAGCAGTGGCGATGGCTTCTGGTTCGATGACCGTTGCGTTTGCGGCCCTGTAGTTCTTGATGAGCTGCCCGCAGCCCTCGTCGCCCGCCGACGCCACCACCAGCAGACGCCCTTTGAAAATCGACGGCAGGTGCATTATCTCACTCCCAAAATCAGACGAAACAAGCACGGGACAGCTACACCAGCACCTACAGGAGCTCTTGGCAGACAAAAAGCGCAGGGGTTTGTGGACGCGAGCTTACGGCACCGTAAAACAAATGCGGTGAGGAAATCGTCGCGAATCGCAGGAAAAGGGCGCTGGTGTGGCATCTGCATTCGCTCAGTGGCCGGGCTGGGGGCCCTCTTCATCATCACGAGTGCGTGACGCGGTGAGGCGCGGCCATCCGGACACGACAGAAAGGGACGTCCCTCCAGGAGGCTCGAGAGGCTGAGTGAAGATGATTGAGGCCACAGGCGATTCGTGGATGACGGGGTACGTGTCGCGTGGCGACGCCGAAGCCCTGCTGATGGTGGGAGGCTTCGCGGCCACTATCCTGGTGGTCCGGATGAAGCCTATGGTCTTCACCTACGTCTGGTGAGCGCCTGTGCATAGCTGGGGATGCATTCGTGTCTCAAAGTGACAGGGAGGAGGCAGTCAGGTGCTCTGCTCCCACGAGGTCTCTGTCTTTCTGTGTGCTCTGTGTGTTCAGGTTGGCTCATGCGATTGTGGCGGTGTGGCTTCAGTCAGATGTGGCGATTGGGATGGCTATTGTGGTCGGCCTGTGCATCAACATCGGCTGGTACTCCATCCAGCTCCACCGACAAATGGTGCAAACACACAGTCACACACACACACACACGTATCATCCACAACGTTCGTCCTCTTGTGTCTGTCTGCCAGGTGTGGGATGCTCTTCTGCCGTATTGGGTGAACTCGCTGGGTCTGGACCGTTCCACGGTGTCGCTGCTGTGTCGGCTGGGCGACATCATGCTGCACCCGGTGCCGCTGCTGTACCTCATCTACCACTTCAACCACACCGTCAAGCCACACATGGCCGTGGCCGCCTTCGTCCTCACACGGGGGTACCACGTCTGTGTGGAGGGGCACTTCTTCGGCCCCGGCGACAAGCTCAACTCCATCTACGCATTTGACCCACCGCTGCCACGGGCGATCTTCTTCACTGGTGAGTGAGCCACGGAGGGAGAGGGAGAGGGAGAACCATCTCATCTGTGCCGGTGGATATATATTGCTGCCTTGTGTTGTGTGTGTCAGGTTACTACTACGAGCTTCTGGCGCTGTCTCTGGTTGGGCAGGGTGCGATCGAGGAGCCATCGCTCCGCCTCATGACCCGCATGTTCACCATCGCCGTGGGGCTGACCTTCCTCATCCAGTCCTCCGACTGGCTCATCGTCCACCAATGGCTCGCACACCCCACAATCGCACAGCTCTGCCGGCGGCGGAAGCGATCGCACATTCAGCAGCAGCAACAGCACGGCGAGGCCACCACCGAGGACAGCGACAGCAGGGAGACGGACGAGCAGCTGCTGGACGCCATTCGGTCGTCGGCCAGCCGGCTGCTGGATCGGCTGCCGCCCAAGGCTGCGGAGAGGCTGCGTGTGGTGCTCCAGTCGGTCATGGCGTCGGGCATCGCCATGCGCGACAAGCTCATCCTCATGAACGACATCAACCAGGCCATCGCCGTGCTGTCCTCGCTCCCTCTCCCCCTCGCAGAGGTCTCCGACCGGATGGTGCTCTTCGCGCGGGTGAGCATGCACCGGCTGACCAACCTGATCAACGAGAGGAAGGCCTCGTTCAGCCTCCCGTCGCCTCCGGCCTTCCCCCCGCTGCCGACCTTCGTGAGCCTGAGCAGTGTGGACTTCGATCGTCTGCGGAGCGCCTTCACGCGACGCAAGAAGTGCATGTCCCGCTGCACGTCGTTCCTGTCCTGCCTCGGGGAGGACGACGCGGCCTTCGCATCGTCCATGGAACAGATGTGGCAGGAGCACATCAGTAGGAGCGGCGACTGACGGGGACTGACAACATCGGGTGATTGATAATACAGCAGAGCAGATCGTGCAGTTGCTGGACTGGCTGATGGGGGGATGGGTGGGTGGAATTGCATCGAGGGATGGAATGTGTAAACTAGGAATGGGCGGGCGGACGGATGGCTGGATGGCGTGTACATACGGACGATGTGGCTGGTGGACGCCGAGGGAGAGACTAATTGACTGATTGATTCGTCGACTCAGGCAGACAGACACAGAGAGAGAGAGAGAGGTGTCGCTCTTTTTCGTCCGTTGATCCCGTTTCTGGCTGTTGTTTGTTGGTTTGTTTGAGGCTTGTCATGCCTGCCGTGTGCATGCCTGGGTGGGTACGTGGTGTGGTGGACACGGCATGCATGACATTTGACACACACGACAGACACATTTAGTGTGCAGTGCGGTGCAGCGACCCTTCTATCTATCATCACAGCGAATGCAGTGAGTGCAGTGAGTGAGTGCTTCTTGCCTGCTTGCTTAACACCTACCTGCCCAGTGTGCGCCCGTCGGCCTGCGTCCGAGTGCACGCAGCAGGCCGGCTGGCACAGCTGGGTGTACATAGCTAGCTCCTTAGGTTACTTGCTACCTGCCTGTCTGCCTACTGACTAACTCCAGACACACAGTGCGTGAGCCTGTGTGCGTACGTACCGGAGAGAGGACAACACTTTGCCTAGCCTTTGTGGCTCGTGTCCTTCTGTTTGGAGCAGTCGCCGCAGATGCTTGGTGTGCTGTCCTGCAACCGACGGCACACACTGCCTCGGCGGCGAGTGCGAGAACCAGAAGGATGGGACCCAGCAGACTTGCTCGTGACTACTGACAGACAGACAGACAGACAGATAGGCATTACACAGACAATAGCTCACAGAGAGCGGCAGATACACACACACACACACCCATCCAGAGAGAGGATGCACCAGCCAGCCCTGCTTTGCTTAGCCTACCTGTGGCGTTGCATTGCAGTGGTTGGCGTGTTACTTGTGTGGTCAGTACGAGTACGTGCTTCGGAGCCGTGCGTGCCTCGCAGCTTTCTTCGCTACTACCAATGACTGCAGTCACGAATGGGATGGGGAGGGATGAGGAGGACGAGTGGATGATGCTACGGGTGCTGTTTTCTTGGTGGCTGGTTGTTTAGTGCAAGAAGGCAGGGTTTTTCCTGTTGGTTTTGCTATGGTGACTGACTGCCCGACTCGCATCTTGCCTTCTTTGCGTCTTGCTGTTGAGTTTCCGTGGGGCTGGGGAGCTGCTCACACATGACACACATAACGCCACGACAACACACGGATCTTTTTGTGACTCGGCAGGGCCCTCATGAGCCGTGCCTCTCCTCTCTCATCTCACACTGCTAGCCTTTGTGGGGGAATTTGTGTGGATGTACGTGTTCGTATTCATTCATTCATTCATACCGGTCTGGATGCGCACACGCACGTGCGTGCATCTGCGAGTCTGATGAGCCAGAGCCAGCCAGGCAGCACCAAACTGGTGTGTTGCATTGCTGACTGCATGCTTGCGCATCGGGAACCGATTGCCATGCCATGCATGTTGTGATCCACCTGTCTGATACGCAAAGCTGATGAATCCATCAACAAGAACTCGCATCGATCAGCATCGATCAGCAATGAGTGAACCAGCAGATGACGAAGTCTGGTAAGACAACTTGAATGTAGCTCGTACAGATCTCTACCAAAGAAAGCCCCTTCAAGTTCAAATCTGGCTGTCCTCTTCGAGTGACATCGATTGCCGTCTCGAGCTTGCAGCCAATCAAATTCCGCGAATGGAATCCGTGAAACCGTTCGCGATCGGCTGACTCAGAGAAATCTCGTTGCTTCTCACCCTCCAGAATCGTTGTACTCCCACCGCCGCCAAGATGAAGTACCAGTGTAAGCAATGGCAGATCCATGCATTGCATGCACTGCGACCACAACGCAATCATGAGTGTGGTGGTCCACACGGGCTGTGCTGTGCATGTGTTTGCAGGCAGCTTCAAGAGCGCCAAGGACATGGCGCAGTACATCAAGGCGGAGGGCATTGAGCTCATCGATGCCGTCTTCTGCGACCCCCTGGGACTGTGGCACCACTGCACCTTCTGCCCCAACCAGGTAAGCAGCGAGGCAGGGAGATCTGATGCCCGCCCACACACAAGACACACAGGGGGAGGCGGGGAGGGGCAGATCTGCACATGCGGCGCCTCTTGATGGGTGCTGGTGTGTCTCGTGTGTTTCGTGTGTGAGTGCGCAGGTTGAGGAGGATGACATCAAGGACGGCCTGCCCTTCGATGGCTCGTCCATCAGGCTCTTCTGCTCCATCGAGAACTCTGACATGGCCATGGTCCCCGGTGAGGCAGGCGTCTTGTGTTGTCCACCTGTTGTCTTGTCTTCTCACTCACCTGACCGCTGCGCTGCCTGCCTTGTGTGTCGCCTTCCTTCATGTCAGATCCGTCATCGTGCTGGATCGACCCGTTTTGCGACCGCAAGACGCTGCACGTGACATGTTCGATCAAGAACCCCCAGACCAACCAGGGCTTTGCGAGGGACCCGCGGTCGGTGGCCGCCAGGTGCCTCGAGTTCGTCAAGAAGGAGGGCATCGCCGACACGGTCAGCCAGCCCATGACATGAGGGGGGATGCCTGCCGCCAGGGCAGGGCAGGGGTCGACTGTCTGCCTGTGGTTTTATGTGGTGCTCGTGTGCTGTGCTGTGCAGATCATCATCGGTCCGGAGGCTGAGTTTTTCATCTTTGACGACGTCAAGTACGGCGTGAGCAACAATGAGATGTTCTTCAAGGTCGACGGCGTCGAGGGATACTGGAACACCGGATGTACGATATATGTCACCAACACACACTACACAACGCAATATATGGGTTATCGCTTTCCTCTGTCTGTGGTGTTTGGTGTGTGGTGTGAGTGCAGCTGAGCAGGGTGGCGCCAACTTGGCCCACCGTGTGCCGCCCAAGAACTGGTACTTCCCCGTGCCGCCCATCGACACGACCATGAACCTCCGAGGCGAGATGCTCCTCACAATGGGCGACATGGGCGTCCCCATCGAGAAACACCACCACGAAGTCGCGTAAGCGCCAACACACACCACACAGAGGGATAGACGGAAAGGTGAACTCCCCCCCCTCATGTCATGTGTGTGTCGGTGTGTGTTGCTATCCCTCTCAAGTACGTGCCAGAGTGAGTTGGGTTTCACGTGCCGGCCGATGATAGAGTGTGCGGACATGCTGATGACGTACAAGTACGTCATCAAGAACGTGGCGCGGAAGTACGGCAAGACGGCCACCTTCATGCCCAAGCCCATCTTCGGCGACAACGGCACCGGCATGCACGTCCACCAGTCCCTCTGGAAGGACGGCAAGCCGCTCTTCTTCGACGAAAACGGAAAGTAGGCTAAGCTCTCCGACACACACTGGAAGGGCCGTTGCATCTCTCTCTCTCTGTGTCTGGTGGTTGTGTGTGTGTGTGGTGTAGGTACGTCAAGTTGAGCCAGATGTGCACTCACTACATCGGCGGTCTGCTGAAGCATGCCCCCGCCGTGCTGGCCTTCACCAACCCCGCCGTCAACTCATACAAGCGTCTCGTGCCAGGCTTCGAGGCCCCCGTCAACCTCTGCATGTCAAAGGTGCCTCTGTCTCTGTCTGTCTGTCTGCACACTTGACAGAGGGCCGGTGTCTGTCAAACACTTCGTTCTCTTTGCGTGTCATGTGTGTGTCTGCAGGGCAACCGATCTGCCGCCGTGCGCATTCCGATGTACAAGCCAGACAACCCGAAGCAGAAGCGTCTGGAGTTCCGCTGCCCCGACCCCTCCTGCTGCCCATACCTCGCATTCGCAGCCATGGTCATGGCGGGCATCGACGGTACGCACTCTGCCACTCACACACATGCAGCATAGATCATCCATCCGTCCTTCATGCGCCCATCTCTGTCTGTCTATTGTGTGTGTTGTATGTGTGTAGGCATCAAGAACAAGATCGAGCCGCCCCCTCCCTGCGACTTTGATATCTACGAGCTGTCCGAGGAGGAGAAGGCCAAGATGGGACTCAAGTCGACTCCCGGCAGTCTCGCAGAAGCACTGGTAAGACACAGACAGACGATGCGAGAGAAGCCCAGGCTCGTCTACAGGACACGTGTGTGTATTGTGTGTGCTGTGTGGTGTGTGTTGTGTGTCAGGATGCGCTGGAGGCCGACCACTCCTTCCTGACGGCGGGCGGTGTGTTCACAGAGGACTTCATCCAGGCGTACATCGAGTGGAAGCGCAACGAGTACCTCATGGTGGCCACCCTGCCGCACCCCAAGGAATACGAACTCTACTTCCAGTGCTGATCGACCATACGACACACGGATGGATGGACCGATCCCATCCGATCACACATGCTCACTCATTCCTTTACTTACTACTTACCACATGCCTGACTGCCTGCCTGTCTGCCTGCTGCACGTTGTGTGTGCTGTGCCTGTCGTGTGAGTGGTGTGTGGTGACGCATTTGGCCCTTTTGACCGACCGAACAAACCACTGACTGAGGGAAGAGACGGCTGAGAGACTGCATGTGTCAGTTTGGTTGTAGTCGGTCTGCCCACCCATCGTCTGCATGCTCGTCTGTCTGTCTGTGTGTGGCGTCCACTCCACTCCACTGGATCACTGGATGTTTTCTCGGCCTGCTTGAGTCAGCGAGGCGTGGGTTTTTTCCCCGCCGTCCCCCACATAGCGGGCACGCTGACCGATGCTCCTGATCGATGCTGGTGTACCTACCTCCATACATACACACACACGCATACACGCCTTCCTTCACGTTAGGTCAGTCAGTTATGGTTTGCCTTCGTTGCCTGCCTGCAGCAACAGACATGGTGCCATCGCATCCCGTGTGCGTGACGCTGAATGAGGATAAGCACACGCATCGACGGCCGGCAGAGACGTGCTGGTCGTGGATAGGTGGGCTTCTCCCGTATGAAGCAACGCGCACACGAGATCAGGTCACTTGGTCATTACGCGTACGGTCACATGGATGTGCTCTCACCTTGCCACCATTACAGTGCTCGCTCGTGTCTGACTCTGTAGGATGCTGGTACCTCAGGGCCGGGGCATCCCCTGTCATCAGGTGGACGCTCAGAGCCTGTTGCATGCCGGCGTCAGATGGTGTCAGACCGAGTGCGCTGCTGGCTGGTTCATGTGCTGCACGACTTGCCTTGTTGTCCTCATTCAGTTTTCGCCTCGGCCGCCTGGGAATAGGCGCCATGCTTGCTCGCTGATTGACTGATGATTCGATGTGTGCGCGTCAGCAATCCAGACATCTGGCGTCTTTTTGCTTCGATGACTCGTTTATTTCATGCCCGTCTGCATGCTGTGTGTCGTGTATGCGTGTGTATGCTGGTGTGTGAGTCGAGAATACCCCTCACACACACAGATGGAGAGAGAGAGAGATGACTCGCTGCGTGAGCTGAGTTTTACAGCGCAGTGGGTTGAGTGAGGTGAGTGTCGGTCTGTCTGCCATGCCGGCTGGAGCACCAAGGTGAGCTGCTGTGTGTGGTGTGGTGTGGTGTGGTGTGGTGTGTGGTGAGATGAGACTGTCCGCAGCTCTTCGATGCACAGGCTTTTTCCGCTGTGCCGAGCTGATAATGTGATGCATCACACTGATGGACCGATGGATGGATGGAGTGTTTTGCGTGACGCTCGATTGAGTGATTGCATCCCATGGCCATGTGGTGTGCGTGGACAGCTTTTATCTCAAGTGCGGTGCGCATGGTGCTGCCCCGACCACACACTTTCGTCACTCACACCGGCCGAGGCAGATGAGGGTTGTCTCAGATCCACGGCCGAAATCTGTCACCAATTCATTGCAACGCAGTCGCCTGGAGCGCTGGCATTGCCTGCAAAGCAGACAGGCCGTTGAAAAGGCGGCGCGATCGGAATCGCTTGCGCGCTAAGCTCGAGGCGATCTCCCCCAACTGACCTGGCGCTTCGAGTCAATCAGCCTCGGTCGTTCCATCATCGGAGCCCTCTGATGCGAGGAAGGGAAAGCAGAGGCACGCGAGGGGTGGGTGCGATGTTCGCAGCAGCGTCATCCTCATCGTATCACCCGGCGGAGGACCAGCAGGCCGCTGCTGGCGCTGCTGGTACCGGCACATGGCCAAACGCAGTGGTGTTTGACCAACACCACCAGGTGGGGAATGGAGGGCCATCCAGAGGGCGAATGGAGGGCCATCGAGAGGGCCATCGAGATGTGCGCTGTCTTGTTGCGGGTGTGTGCGTGTCTGCACAGATGATGCCAGCGTCCTCGTACGGTCAGCAGCAGTTGATTATCCCACGGTAAGCGACACCGCACACATGTCCGTAGTGTGGTGCGTGTTTGTCCATGGCGATGTATCTGTCTGTCTGTCGCGTGCAGGCCCCTCTTGCCAACGCTCTCAACCCCAGAGGTAGGTATGCCTGGCCAGTACCATTGATCAGAAGCTGCCCGGTCGGTCGACCGACGATGGGTTCGATGTGCGGCGTTGGTGACATCCATCAGATGCCGGCCCATCTTGGTCAACTGTTTCAGTCCTGGGTGTCGTCATCCGGCTTCCTCGCCATGGACGCCTGGCACGTCGACCCACAAACACACGAGTGCCGATACCTCAGAGAGTGAGCACAGCACCGCCTCCGCCACCAGGAGAGGGCGACAATCAATGAGTGGCGACATGTGGCTTGTGTTGCGTCAGGTGTCACATCGAGGCTCGGCCAGAGTTGGTGCCGTGGATGGTCGAGTCGTGTGGATTCGTATTCAACAGGGGAGAGGTGAGTGAATGAATGGGTCACCGGAGGGCTGGGACACACAGACATACACACAGAAACAGGCAAGCCGCCAACGCCGCTGGTGTGTGTGTTGATGTGTTGCAGGGCATGCCAGGTCGTGTGACGGCCACTTGCCAGACAGAATACTCGCCGCACCTGCCCTACTCACACCAAGTCACTACACTGCACACAGAACCCATCACACACACACACACACACACCTCATACCCTTGTTCTTGTTTCGTGTGCGCCAGAACGGTCGTCCCTTTCTGCGATACAAGATGGCCTGCAAGCTGGGCATCACATCGGCACTCGGCATCCCACTGGTGGACCGCTCGGCCAAGGTGCGATTCGTCGTCGCCTTCTACGGCGGACCCAATGCCGCCTCGGCACAGAGGTGTGTAAGGGGACCGACACATGAGGCTGGCCGTTGATGGATTCATTCATTCACCTGTCTGTGCATGTGTATGCAGCGATGTGTCGAGTGTGGTCCGGGCTGTGCAGTCCCACCCACAGCTCGGTGACTGGCTCGCTGTGGCTGCTGGTGAGCAACAGACAGACAGAAAGACCATAGGGCGACAGACAACTAGTGCCGACCGAACTCCCTCTGTTGTGTCCATTCATTCTTGCAGACCACTGTCCCAACAGGAGCCGAAAACGGCTCCCCGTGGCCAGAGAGGTACCTGACCACCGACACACACAGAAACACAGAGACACATGTGCCGGCCATGCCCACGGAGTAATGTCCTTGTATCTGTTCAGTCACATGGTTCGGTGGACTCTGACGACGATAGTGGTCCGAAGCGGCGGCGTGGCGGGGGCGGGGACACCCGCCCTGCCGCCAGCGGCAAGTGTCCACACAAAGGGGACGAGTGCTGCGATTGCAGCCAATGCCTCAGGTGAGAGAGGTACATACATACACACATGCAGCTCCTTGGTCATGTCATGGATGTCGGTGTACTCGTGTCTTGGCTGGCCTGCCTGCCTCTTGTGTGCGTGCAGGATCCGTCGCAATCGCGAGTACAGCCGTCGGGAGCAGCGGCGACGGAGGGAGGCGCTCGAGGCGGTCGGGCCGCTCAGGGCGGCACTGCATGCCGTCGAGGAGAAACTCGAGGCCAAGGACGCAGAACTGAGACAAAAGGTATATACTCACAACCAAACACACCCATTCACGCTGACAGACCACACGTCACTCTTTCTTCCCCTTATATGTGCTGTCCACAGTCTCAGGAGATCGCGATGCTGCACCAGTTCTTGGGAAGACTGCAGCAGCAGCACCAGCCTCAGCCTCAGCCAGCAGCGGCCACCAACACGCAGATCGGGCAGGACTTCCTCACTCCCTCACCAATCGTCGAGTCCCTCCTGTCCGACACCCAATTCTACGCCACACCCTCACCAGCCCCATCACCAGCAGCGCCACCGCCGGCAGACCTGTTCAATGACGGCAGCAAGATCGTCGATGTGACCGATCTCGACCTGGACACCACCGAGCGGCGATGGTCAGTGTCGCCGGGCCTGTCACAGGACTGCGTTTCGTCGAGCAGCAGCGACTTGGCGCCACCACTGATGCTGCCGGGGCTGCTGGCGGGGGCGGGCCATCTGGGGACGTGACATCATTTTTGTGTCGCGAATATATGAATTTTTTGTCACCCACTCACTCATTCACTCATTCACTCATTCACTCACTCACGTGTATCCGGCTGCTTTTTTGTGCCAGCTGTGGCGGGCCCGTCGAGATCGACAAGCCCATCTGGTTATTTTGCCAACAAGTGATTTTTGCTCTCTGGGTTCTCGTCGGTGTATGATATACGGGGGGGGACTGCTGCACACGTGTGTGTATGTATACCTGTTTACGGGTGTGTGTATGTCTGGGTGGGTGGATGGGATCGCTTGTGCCTATGGATGGATGTGTCGGCCGGAATCATGATCTTCGGACGGCTGGTGCGTAAGTTGACGGTCGGTCGGTTTGTTGATTGCGTCTCCTTCTGTGTGCGCCACGTTGTACGGCATCGTTGATGGCCCTTCTGCGGTGCGCCAGCGATGTGCAGCACCAGGAGCGCCGTCGACAGCGCTGTCGAACGTTGCCACACATGACAGGAAAAGCACTCAGTAAGACAAAGGGAAAAGCGTACCGTTGACAGTCTTTTTCTCGGCCCTGTGTGTGGAGCTGAGCTAATGGGAGCCATCGATGGTTGTCCGTGTGCATGTCTCTCGCCTTCTTTGTTCCCTTGTGGTTTGTCCATGCGATCGCGGCCTTCTTGGCCGGCTACTCGTGTTGACAATGAGCACGACGTAGGCAGCCTGGTGGGCGTCTGTCGACTGGATGACCACGAGGTGGATCAGGACTTGTGAGTGGAGCGGGAGACATACAGTACGTGTTGCATGTGTTGGGGCAAAGCGCAGATTGACGGGACTCGTCAACTCTGCGTCCATTGCAATGCAGCACGGCTGCTGCTGCTGGTGCTGGTTGGTGGGGTGGGGTGGGGTGGGGGGTTGCGTGTGTCTCTAAGAGAGGACGTGTCGGCTCTGGTGTGTTGCGCTCGTGGTGCTGTTTCGATGGTGTGCGGTGTGGTACTTGTGAGTAGAGAAAATGGCTGTAGGCTTTGTATCATTTATCCTGTCGGTCGGTCGGTCGGTAGACATATGTCGGTATTGTGTACGTGTGGTGTGGTAAGTGTCGCGACAGCGTTGAGTGTGTGTGGACCGTCTGTCTCCTGGTGACCGTTGACTCGTGATCGAAGTAACACGTCAGTCGATCGAGCTCGTGATCGACCAGCATTTGCCGCAACAGAGAAGCTCTGTCTTCGCGTAGACGTATTCTACTCGCTAACGCAGCTACCAACACAGCCATTTTCACACACACACACACACACACACAATGAGAGCGCACTCGCATCAGCGCAGAACACACGAATTGAAGAAAGTGACGGCCAGGTAGAGAGCGGCTAGACAGCCTTGCGCACACGCACGCTACTGACATCCAGAGCAGAGCCTGCATAGAGCTACCTACGCGTTCGGCCACCAAGAAGCACAGCCCTTCTCTTCTCACATCCAACAGGCACACGCACATCCCATCCCATCACTCGCCCCTGCCGAACAGCAGGAAGGCAGCAGCGCCCATGACCCGCTTCGCCACCTCACACGTCAGGGGGAATCGGTCAGCCCCCTCCATCCCACTTACTGGCTCCTCAGTCGTGTGCAAGGACACAGAGCAGAAGTGACAGTCACGCATGATCAGCAGCTGCGCCGCATAAGTGTCGGTGCTCCTGTGACCGGAGAGGAAGATAAGGCGCCAGAGCGGCTGGCCCCAAGTGCAGGAAACGAAGTCCGCCTGGTGTGTGTCGGGGTGTGGCACGCCGCCGCCGTAGTGGACACCCACGTAGTCACCCGGCTCCGTCAGGTGCTTGACGGCGGCCTTTTCCTCAGCGGTGTTGCCGCTCGTGAGCTCCCAGGCTGCCGTGTGCGCCACCGTGTGGCCTCGCGAACGCAGACTGAATGCATAACACCACCGGACATTCGACCAACGAGCATGTGATGCGCAGTCATGTGTGTGTACCTCGTGTGCGTTGCGTACCCCCAGAGTATTAGGTCACGGCAGCAGCGAAAATCCAGCCCAGCCCAAGCACCTGAACGACGACACACGCAAGGCCACAGTGCATTCGGAGCAGCCAGGCCGTCTTCATGGTCTCCCTCTCCCCCACCTGTGCATGGAGGATCGGTCACGTCGAACATCTTCGCGAAGGGATGGTCCAAAGGGAGCGTCTGTGAGTCGTAGACCGTCAGGTGCAGCCCCTCCAGCCTCACTTCCCCGTCATTGCCCAGCTCCAGGGGCAGCCTCTCGCCAGACGCGTTCACCAGCCGATGGGCGAAGAGGGCGTACTGTCCCATGCTGACGGGGAGTCGGGCCAGCTGAGCCTTTGAAGGAAGCTGCCTGATGTCAGCTGGGGTGATGGTGAGGGGGAGGGAGTCGATGAAGCCGTAACACTTGGCGAGCGAGAGGATCGTCGTCCACGCCTTCATCTCCCCTTTCTCCAGTACGTGAAGCAGCCGGATCATCTGCGCCACACCCCCGGCGCCTTCCGGCGTCCTGTGGGACAAGACAGGCTCCCCCATGGCGCGGAGGACTACATCGATTCGCCCCCTCGTGAACATCTCGATGCTGACATGGTTGTTGCGGCTCCCCAGGGCGGTGAGGAGCGGACACAGATCCTCGGCAGCGGGCAGGAAGTCACCCACACGACAGAACAGTTCAGACGGGAGGGAAGCCAAAGTTGGAGAGGGGGCCTCCGCCATGTTGTCCTTTGCTTCCGTCCTCCTCCGCACGACGAAAGGGAGGTGCTGCGAGGGAATATCAGATGCGAGCTAAGCTCGTGGCGCAAAGGGATCGAACGAAGCTGAAAAAGGGAAAGAAAGACGAAAAGGCGACGCGTGGGCCAGTTGGAAAGATCCGAGGAAGAAAGAGCAAAAGACCCCGCTGCGCCACTTCGTCACCAGCAGTGTGTAGTTGGCCTGGGATCCCTTGCATTTCATTATCCATCAACTCGCCGAGATCATGTCCAAGCCTTCTCCCCGTGTGGTGCTGGTGAGATCTCTCACACACGGCAAATGAATACAGGCGAGCACGTGAGCGCTGCATCTCAGCGCAATTGGATGTATGTGTGTGTTGCAAGGTGACTGGAGCCAGTGGCGGTATTGGCAACGCGGCGGCCATCGCATTCGCGGAGAAGGGCGACACTGTGGCCGTCCATTACTCGGGCAAGCGTATAGCAAACTATCTTCTCGCGTCATGCAGCATCCATGCACGTGTGTGTCTTTCGCTGATTTCCAGCTAGCGAGGCCAAGGCCAAGGCGACGCTCGAGGCCGTCGAGAAGGCGGGCGGCAGCGGGGCCCTCTTCCAAGCCGACCTCTCACGCGTCAGTGAGATACGACGGCTCTACGATGAGGTGGGGTGTGTTGGGACGGGATCTGAGGCCGTCCTTTCATTCTTGGTTGTGTTGTGTTGTGCAGGTGTATGCTCGGTTCGGCCGTGTGGACGTAGTGTTCAACAACAGTGGCGCGGGAGCGGAGGCACTTATACAGGACACATCAGAGGAGCAATATGACAGGTAGTTGTGCATGGTGAATGCAAGCCGCTGTCCTAATGAATGAATGAATGAATCGATGGCTTCTTCTCTCCCTCTCCCTCTTCCTGCATTCTCTTAGAATGTTTGATCTTAACGTCAAGGGCACGTTCTTCTCGCTGCAGGAGGCCATCAAGCGCATGGGCCAGGGGGGCGTCATCATCAACAACAGCAGCGTCCTCGGCAGCCACCCCATGGCCACCACTGGGTGCTACTGCGGCAGCAAGGCGGCGGTCTCCATGCTCACCAAGTGTGCCGCCAAGGAAGCCGGTGAGAAGGGCATCCGAGTCAACGCTGTCGCCCCTGGGCCAGTGCTGCCTGGTGAGTCAGTCTGGATCCGCGTTCAATCATTGTCTGTCTGTGTGGAGCGTGTGTTTGTGTGATGTGATACATGCAGGTATGGTGGGAGAGGATATGGTGAATCGGATGGTGAATCTGTCTCCCTTCAAGAGGATCGGCGAGGCGATGGAGGTGGGCCGGCTGTGTGTGGCCATCGCCAGCGACGACATGAGCTGGGTGTCGGGTCAGATTATCGGCGTCGACGGGGCGGCATTCTGCTGAGCAGAGATAGACTGATGGCGCTGATAGCATTGTGCAGTGTGGCTTTTATCCCCTGGCTAGCTAGCTGCGTGTGACGACGGGTATTTTCTGAAGGCTGTGTGTGTAGCTAAGATCACTGTGTGCAGAGGGAGGGGTGTGTGCAGTGCTCATGTGGGTGGGTGGGTGGTTGGGGGGCTGTGTTGTCGATAGATGACCATTGCTGCTGATGGGCGACATTCGTTAGCAACGTTGCGGACGATCCTTTGCTCAAAGAGCTACCTGAGTCATTTATGAAAGGCAACAAGAGCTCCAAGCGCTGAGCGTCGGGTCCACAAGCACTCACGTGTTGGATGACAAGGGTAAACACATGGAGCGGGCGGCGAAGTACCAAGCAAGCAAAAGGGAGCACAACCACGCAAAGTCAGTAAAACAACAACGCTCAAACAAATGGACGTCACACACTGGAAACAAGCGTGAGACACGTGCACACGACAGCATCCGGGTTTGAGTGAACGAGACATGGAAATATAAAATGTAGATAGCGATGGAAAACCTCGTCGACTCTGGCTCCTCCTCCTACACAGCGGCCACACACGGACATCTTCTCCATGGATGGAATTTGACGCCGAGCGTCACGTCGGACCCCGCCCTCGCCCCCTTGGTCTCGTTGATGTCGCTCTCGTACAATGTGGCCTTGATGAAGAGGCCGCCCCCCTCGCTCCCCTCGGCCTTGACCAGGCCGTACAGCAGCGTCTCGCTTGGCATCCTGGAAACACCACTTTTCGTGGTATCGCACGGCGAACCACCGTCGCACGATGCTCATGTCTGTTCTGGGCAGGTGTCAGTGTCGTCTGCTCTCCGCTCTTTCTTCGCAGCAATCAGTTCCGAGGCTTTGCTCATTGACAAGAGACATACAGGAGACACACAACCAAGCGATTGCCGCGGGGATGGTCTTGTACACATACCTGCTGAAGATCGACGACGCATGGTCATCGGTCATGCCGTCGATCTTTTCAACCCAGTCGTCAAATATGAGACAGTCCACAGACTTGTTGTGCCACCTCGGCAACCTCCTGCAGCGTGTCATCCGTTGCGGTTGCCCAAGCTATCCGCACACCAATCTCCCCCCAGTTGAAGACGCCCCCCACGGTTGAGCATTGTTTTCCTTAGATGCTCTTTAAGCGACAAAGCGGGCACCTGATTAAGCATAAAACACGAAGGAGACATACGTTTCCTGTTGTCTTCGCATCGCTCACTTGTCGTTTGAGGGTTCTCCTCAGATGCTCCTTCAGGGAAAGTACGGGCTTGCCGTCAAGAGTTCGCCTCAGCTGATCTTTGAGGCCGATGCGATCGTGCCTGGCGGTGTCCTGCAGGCACGGCACACCACACAAGCGAGGCACAATGGATGGATGCGTCCATGGGTCTGTGCAAGAAGTTGAGCCTTCTGGTCTCGTTGAAAGCGACCTTCGGCTTCTGAAACCATGTGTGGCCGAGAGCTGTCGACGCTGAATGATGGCAAACAAAGATCAACGAAGACGTCGCGTACTGCTCTCTCCACATACTCACCGGGTGGGCGATTTCCAGGGTCCAAGTTCAGCAGCTGTCGACATAAGGAGATGTCATCCTCCCAGCCTTGTCTCAGTGCGAAGACGGGCGGCTGTTGTTACCGCACAAAGGCAAGCACACAACCTAGCGGCTGCGACGCACACGGTCTTGTGCATACACACCTGCTGCACAAGTGCCACGATATCGTCAGCGGACATGTCGTTGTCGACCTTGAATGAACGCCCGTATATCAGCAAGTAATCCAAAGGTATAGAGAAAGAGGCAGTAAGATTTCGAGAAACCAGAGATCAAAATGTCATGATGTTATCAATCATGGTAGACAGACACGTATACTCGCAACTGCGCGTACCAAGCATCTTGGGCATGCGAGTTTTCCCACCGCCCGTGTGGCGGGTGAGCGCCATGGGAGGGATTCGCGGCAGGCGGAATTCTGTGTTGGCGTCGCTCTTCGGAGAGCCGATCGTCTCGGGATACCACAATGCGTCCTTACAGGATCACGTCGAGGGACCACATGTCGCTCTTCTCCGTATAGGACCCCTCAGCCACGCTCTCGGGCGCCTGCAAAGTGAACAATAGAAAGAGTGCTTTGTGCAATCCGCCAGCTGCCCCGACAGGCAACCCACCATGTATCCCCGTGTGCCAGGCCGCTCGGAAATCTTCTTCCCATCAGGAAACCCACAGAAGTCAAAGTCCACCAGCTTCAGCTGGGTCTCGCCGTCCAAGAATACGCAATTCTCGGGCTTCAAATCACGGTGGACGAGCTGAGAATGGAGCAGGGCAGCATTCATCCCTGTCTAATGTGTCCGTCCGCTTCTCCATGTGTGTTTCCTTTCCTCTCTCACCCCGTGATGGTGCAGATGCCGCACGGCAGAGAGCAGCTTCTGTATGATTCTCCTCACTCTCGTGGCTGCCGGCCGTGGCCACACGCTGTCCCCTCTGGTGCATGGATGCCAGCTGCTGCTTCATGCGATCCACTATCTACTTTTCGTTGAAGGGCGCATGCTTCTTCCTCGGTCTCCTGCCACCATCAGGGCTCCCCGCCTTCTCGATCTTGTCGTGAAGTCGGCGCACCATGCCTCGCAGGACCTCCTCAGCAGCAGGTTCACCGGCAGGGGCGGAAGGGCGGGGGAGGGCCCGATCGTCATCGTCTGTGCGACGGACGGAGAACAACAGCACAGGAAATGAGAGCGATGTCTTGATGTGATCTGGCTTTGTACGATGTGTGTGCGAGGGCTCCTTTGATCTTGAGGCGGTGCGGTCTCCATACTGCAATGATGTCACTGCATCAAAAAAGGCAAAACATCAAAACCACATCACGCTCCCTTCGCCCTCTGCCGAATACCAGTGGCATCTGATGCGACAATGTAGGATAAAAAGGAGAAATCATCAAAGTGTGTGATGTGTTGTCATGTTGTGCTGCTGACGCTTCGGTGGCGGCCGCTTTGGGTAGTCGTCACCACCAAAGTGAATACTCGCTGCATGAGACAACACAATTCATGCAGGGAGTATTCACTGAGTCAGGAACCGTCTCTTCCCATCCCTTGTTTTCTCACCTCTGCCGCCCCTCGCTCCCCCCTTCTTCCTCGCCCTCCCTCCCCGGCCGGTGGAGTGCGGTGGTGTGTCGTGTCGGCCCCAGGGTGGCAGTGATGACGTCGGAGGCGCCTTGGGTCGAATGATGAGTGGCTGATGAAATTGTGGCTGATAGGGAGGAGGGGTCTTCGGTGTGTGGGCAGGGTGGTTGGGGCCGAGAGGTATGAGAGGCGATGAGGCGGAGGCTGGCGGGTATGACGGCGGGCTGAATGGCGGGGGAGGGGGGATGTTGTCGTCAACTGCATTGCATGCAGGGAAGAAGAAGCATACGGTCGTGTGTGTGCGAAGTTATATGGCTGCAGGCTGTAGCTCCTCCATGAGTACCTGCAAAGTCAACACACCACGGCAACCCGTCATTGCTTTGTTCTCTGGTCAGGTGCTTTGACTCGCCTCACCTGGAAGTTCACCATGACGTCTCGCATCTGCTCTCTTTGCTGCGGCGTCATCAGCGCCTCTGCCGCGTGTGCGTTGGCGAAGAGGCCTCTGAGTGCGCCGTGTCGCGCATCGTAGTCCACGTCAGACAGATGATGCTGGTCGAGGGCGGTTGTCGTGATGCGATTCGCCACGCTAGCGAGTGTGTGGATGTAGTCCTGAGGATCCACCCTTTGCCTACCGGACATGTGCTCCCTAGCTCGCCGCCTGCGAGTGGGACGAAAGGAAAAATCGTCAAACTCATGTGTGTGTGTGTGTGTGTGTGTGTCGGCGGAGGAGCTTCGTGAAGAAATGGTGAGGTTAAATGGTGAGGTTCCTTCTCTGGAACCAGGAGACAGGGTTTGTGGGGTTCGTCTCCGATTCTCGCCATCGCCAAAATCGATCTGGCGCATTGCTGGCTTGGTCATCATGACGCGCTGCTTGTGGATGCTGTCCTCTATCCTGGCCCTGCTGCCGCTCGTCCCGGGCATCGCGGACACCATCAAGCAAGTCAGCGAGTGACTCGTTATCTATCCACCAAGCATGAGTGTCACGTGTCTGTCTGTCTGTCTGTCTGTCTGTGAATGTTTGGTGTTGCTTGCAGCCCACTGGCAGCTCCGCCTTTGTCAGCCTTCTGCTGGGTCGCAACCATAGCCGACGCTCTCACCTGCGCCCTGCCCTCGCCCGAAGCACCGTCCGGCAGCCTCTCCTCGCAGCAAATGGCCAGTGGCAGCCTGCTTCCCGCCCTGGCTTCCGCTCTGGATTGCCGTCGTCCCTCTGGGCACAGGCGTACGAGCCGGGCGGCAAGATATTTGCTGGTCTCTTCAAGTCAAGGTGACGAACCGCATGACCCTGGGCGAGCTCGAAGACATGGCGGACAAGGCGTTTCCCGAGAAGGACTTTCTGAAGAATAGTGGCAATGCAGTGCTGCGGCTGGAGGTGCTCTTCACTGGCCTACTCCCGAATGCCGATCTGATCACTCGAGTCAAGAGCTGGATAGGTGATATTGTTCGTGCAGCTGGATTCTTCTCGCGTCGTGCGAATCGCGTCAATCCTGAGCTGCTCGTTACGGAAGTTCTGGCGGGTGAGTTGTCACACACTGACTGAAGGCGCTTTTCTGTCTGTCTTGCTGTCTGTGTACGCGAGTGTTTGTGGCATTGATCAATCAATCAATCAGGTTTCGGAACAGTCGACAAGCCGATACGCTTCATCGTCGAACGACCTTACACAGGTCAACGCGATACCGAACAGGAGCTGCGTGAAGCCCGTGCACTCCTTCGGCTGAACCCTCTCTACGCCGCCATCTTCGTTTCGTGATCTTCCCAAGTGCTGTGGATCAGCTCACTCTAGCCAACTACATTGCCCAGATCGCTCACGCACTGCAGCTCCTCTGGCTCGGGGCGTTTGTCAAAGACGTCTTTGACAAAGCTGAAGGTGGGACATTAACAGACGACCATCTTCGGCCTATCGGTGACGATTCCCGGGGGGGAGGGGGCGGGGAGGGGGACGGGCAAGAAGGCAGACAGATACGCTTCCCCTGGTGGTGCTGTTCGCTTGACTGACTGGAAGTCTGTTGCGTGCATGGGGTAGAATGGATGGATGAGGCCCGATTCTCGGGGGGCGTCGGGAGCTTCCGCGCGACATAGCGCAATGACTGATTGTAGTGGGTGTTGGTTGGTGTGTATAGATACGTACGTGTGCTGTGCATGTGTGAACTAATCTGGTGGACCCATGGGAGGTGTGCGTGTTTGCACGGCTGAATGCCTGGTACACCGAGAGCCTCGCACATGTTTGTTCACTCACACACAAATATCACTCACATACAGTTGTTGTCAAGACGAGGCAAACAGGCCTGAGATGACGCGCAAGTCTCTATTGTGGGCAAGCGAGACTGATCATGTGTCTCCTCTTCCCTCTCATCATCTGAATCAGCCAGTAACCCGACGCCACAGACCGCTTTCTCCTCTTCACATCGGCACCATCCCCCAGTCGGCCGGCCCTCTTATCCAGTTCGTCGAGAAGCGGCCGTAGATGGTCTGCCCAGAAGGAGTCTTCGTATGGCTCGTCAGCAGTGCCTGATGCAACCAACCAGTCACAGGCAGGCAGACCCTTATTGCTCGGTGCCTCATGTGTCGCTGCTGACAGACCATCGGACGAAGGGGGGTAGAACCAGTAGTTGAACGCCATGTGGCCTGGCCGGTCGGCAGACCGCTCCTCCTCACCGCCCGCATCATCACCGCTGATCACCTCATGAAACCAACTCGCCGGCAGATACACTGCACACACACAGACAGGCAGCCATGATATCAGCAGGGTGTCAGTGAGTCAATCTGGCTGTCACTAACGCATTTCTCCCGCCTTGGCGGTCACTTGATGGTACTGCTGCCAAATGGGGTCGGGATTGTCTGTCAGGCCGGGAGCGGGGGGGAGGTGCCGGTCCACTGTGTTGCGGCGACAGAAGCTGGGCGGCTTCTCGCCCTCTGGCACCACCTGACACACACACATCGATGCACACAGGTGGATGACAGAGCAGTAGCTGGAACATGGCTGTTTTGTGTGTACCTGTGGTGGTCTGCTGCTGTCTTTGTCCTGTGTTGATGTGGCTGGCTCGTCCTCTTCAGCCGTGAGGGTGTCAAAGTCATCCTCTGCATCATCATCTGCAGCAACCGACGCACACACGATGTACCACGATATGCGTGCAGAGTGAATGTGTTGCTTTACGTCCGTCGAGGGCCGCATCGAGAAGCGCCTCCACCCTACAGGCAGGCAGGCAGACAGACATCACAGCTGTGACACATCCAAGTGTGTGTGACCATGGTCATCTTGGTCGCTCACTCGTCGTCTGCCTCCTGGATGGCCGCGTCGTCACGCCGAGAATCCTCACACCCTGAACCAAACACACAGCCAACATCCACCAGGTTGGTGGATGCAACTTTCTCTCCGAGGCATCACCATGTTGGCTGGTTGTGCGCTGCAGGTCGCTGTGTCGCTGACACGCTCGGCCGAGCTTCCACTGCTGCACAGCTGCACGGGGGGCACCTGGTGGGGTGAGTGACACACACAAAGGTCAATGACCTGGACACACGAGACGGGTAATTAATGACCACTGACCATCTTCCCTGATGCCTTTCTGATAGCAAATGAGTCCGTTCGGATGGATCACAGACACATTGCCTGACAGATAGACACAGACAGACAGACAGAGAGAGAGAGTGACGGACGTTCCAAGGTCTTGTGGTGTGTTGCCCTGGCCGGCCTACCTGTGGTGTGGAGTTGGTGTGCCTTGTCGGGGCTGTAGAGGCGGAAGGCCTTCCGCCCACGCAGCAACACATACAGATTGTCGTGCTGCATACACACGACTAACGAAATGCAAACGGCATGACGGTTCGGTGTGCATCTGTCTCACAAAGTCATGGTGGAGTCCACTGCTGGTGCCAGCGCGGCTCTGCCCCATCCACACGTTGTACTGATACGGCAAGAGGTGACTGCACACACCAGGCGAACAACAGTGTGCCGCCGCGAGAACAATTGGTTGTTTCCGTCCTCTCCTACCCGAACAGCTTGGGCCTCAACGGCACATCAGCGAGCAGGGCGGACACGGGAGGCCCGGTGAGCGACACTGGACCTGCACACAGCACCCAAGACCCGGTGGACACAGTCATCAACAGAGTCCATCAGAGTGGTGTGTGTTGACTGACCAGTGTCGGTCTCGTCTATCGTCTGTGTGGTCAAGTAGAGATCCTCACGACCTGCACCCGACATCCAAGCAACACAGTCACCGGCCAAGTGTCTTCGTGGCTTTCTTCTCAAGTGGATCACTTGCCTTTGTCGAGCTCGTCGAGGAAAGCACCAAATGCCATCCTCACTTTGCGGCCCTCACCTGCACGGCCACAAAAGACAAAGCGATGACCAAACTCTACTGCCTGCCCGTCCCTCACCGAATTGGTCAAAGTCATTCCGCCGGTGCTCGACATCGACAAACGAGTCACCGGCCCTCTGTCTCAGGTAGCTGTTTGTCCACCGCTGGAGACCCTTGAATTCGCCGCTCAATGAGTCAGTGAGCACCACTGGCATCCGCCGCTTGACGAAGCGATTGAAGAAATCATCAGCAGAGAGGGAGGCCACGGGCACACGCTCAACGGACCAAAACACATCAGGCGAGAACCTGAATCGACAGGCACAAAGTGCACCAACAGAGGAGCAGTGAGGTGCGTCCTCATCCACTCACCCTTTGTATGTGACGGCGGCGTCTTGAGATCTTTTCCGTTCTTCTGCCTTGTTTGCGGAGATCTGCTGACCCCGCTGCCTTCTCGGCTTCTTGCGATGCTTCATTTTTCCTCACAACAGCTAAGCTCGCAGATGCGGGAGCTGTGCAGATCCCAGCCCGAGTCCCGTCTGCCCGCCGCACATTGGCAATGTCGAGCAGGGAGGAGCCCCACTTGGAGCGGCTTCTGCAGTCGCTGTTGCATCGTCTGGCCGTGCCTGCCACTGATGAGCGGCTGCGTGTGGTCAAACCCCTCGACATCATTGACCACAGCATCCCTGAGTCGGCCACAACGACCCCTTACGGCCACACGCCCGACGTCAAGATCAGGATCTTCCGCAAAATGCGTGCATTCGGCTTCCGCGATGTGGCTGTCGTCGGCCACTACTATGGGTCTATGCCGCGGGTGGAGGACCGATTCGTGGAGCTGCTGCGGGCGGAGGAGCCGCGGATGAGCGGCTGCTGGTTCATGCTGGGCACAGGTGGGCAAGAGGGCTATGGTGAGGGCTCACATTGGTGCCCTGATGAGCGGCGTCCTGTCCTTTGTCAGGCGACGATGAGGCGTTGTCACGTCTGGAGGCGTCGGGCATCCCCAATGTGATGCTCGACTACACATTTGCGGACGCCCGCACAGGCAGTAGCTCACTCGACAGCCTCAAGACCACCATCGGCCGCATCCATGAGTACTTCAGGAAGCTCGACAGGGAGGCGGTTCTGGCTGCCGACAATAACGGCATGCCTCACTTGGACGATGTAGCGGGTCAGTCTGGGCATCAGCGCCTGAAGCGCAATCACCTGTACATCAATTTCGTCGATCTGCTGGACTTCAACATCACCATGGACGCGCCACAAGTGAAGGTGAGGTGACATTCATGAGTGTCATTGGTCGAGGATAATGCACGTGTCGGTCTCATTGTGTTTGTGCGTGCAGGAAGTGATCGATTTCCTGTTGTCGGAGACCATTCCGATTCTGAAAGGCGTCTGCTTTGAGGGTGCAATGATCTGATTTATCACTACATCCGAGTGACCCAGCGCCTCCGGTAAGTCCCAAGACTAAGCAGTGAACAGAACCACCACGGTCCTTGTTTTTTGTCTTCAGGGCCTCATTTCCGGCGAGTCGCTTCAAGCTGCTGGTGCACTCACACGCTGGGCCGCATGGCGATATCTCACACGCGGCGGCATTGGAGTGCGTGGGCCAGGGGGCGGACGGCATCTGGGCGAGCTTCATCCCTCAGGCAGCACAGACGGGCCACAACTTCTCATTGCAGTACCTCGCCACGCTGCACAGATATGGAAACGAACTCGTGCAGGAGTTCTACAAACTCGACACGGTCGGTAGTCGAGCAGCCAGGGGCCGTCCGTTATGTCACGCAGCCACTTATCTCTGTGTTGCGTGTTGTGTTCTGCAGGCCGCTGAGACGGCCCGGTCGCTTCATGAGTTGAGCTTCCCTGGCCAGCCCGTCCCGGCCGACTGTCCCATCTTCGGCAGCAACGCCTACTCGTGGGTCCACAGCGTCTTCAGACACGACAGACGGACACCGAGAGGGCTGCCTGCACGAATGGTATGTCACCAACGGGCACTATGAGAGAGGAGAATAGCGTGTGTGCCGTTATGTGTAGATTGGTGCGACAGAGGGTGCGCGGCTGGCTCCGATGACGACCGATGTCGACATGCTCTCCCAGCTATTAGACGGCCTCATCGGCAACGATTTTTCTTCAATGACGGCGACAAAGAAGAACATATACGCCCAGGGCGTTTTGACGACGATCCAGTTGCTGCTGAGTGAGGGCCATCAGTGCAACTTCAACGATCCCAACAACCTCAAATACATCTACCGACACGTGAGAAGAGCAGGAAAGGCAGAAGCAACGAAAGAAAGACAAGTGATGACTTCCTTTGTGCTTATAGGTTGACAAGGTGAGGTTTGGCGTTTCTGAAACGCCCTCAATCATCGAGGGGCCACATGTACCCCATCTGCGGCGGTGGCTGAGACGGCCATCCGAAGACGCGCGGCTCCAGCTGCTCTACAGGCAAGACGAAACAAGTGTGAATCAAGCAGTGGATACGTGAGGAGAATTGCCTCTGTTGTCTGTCAGGTCGACACGTGACGGCGACACATTCGCTGACTTCATGGGCAAGGTGGGGTCGGCCCGCCGTCTGCTGTTCGCCGTCAAGAACAACAGCAACAAGTTTGGCGTCTTCTTCGACGGGCCCCTCAACCAACCGAACAATCCAACATCCATTTAGATGACCACAGGCGACCTCTTCCTCTTTTCGCTCAGCGGCAGCTTCCCTCAGCCCACACAGATCCACCCACCGCAGGACAGACAGCGGGTGCAAGTGGCCGGAAGGGACGGGGCTGTGCAAGCAACTACCTACGGCCCCGCATCCGCCAAGATCATGATGGCAAATGGCTACCTCTGGCTGGGGAATTCGAGGTCGTCCACTCCGTCCCCCTCCATCCTCAGCTGCCACCACTGGATCCACAAAGACATCACACCACCAGGATTCACCGGCCGGGAGCGCAATGCGATTGAAAACACTCTGGCACAGAGCCGTGACTTCACGGCTGACGTCATCGAAGTGTATCAGGTGGGTGCGAAATACCCTTACATCTGCAATTCAGCGGTCATCCCTGTGGTGTGTTGTGTGTGTGTCAGGTGGTGAGAGGCCCCCTCCCCGCCATCGACCGTGACGCCCTCCTGCCCCTGCCCGTCGACTTCCCCCGGCCTCTGTCTCCGAGTGCTCTGTCGTCGCGCGAGAGGACGTGCCGCACGCCAGCGTGACGTGACTGAGTGATTGATCGTTTTGTTGTGTGTGGGTGGTGCACTGTGTGTTTTGCGTTGGCCTGCGTGTTGGTTTGCGGCAATCGTAGCGCTGCAACGGCTTTATGAAGTCAGCCATGTGTGCCGTGCTGTTTGCTCGTCATAACGCTACTCTTTCGAGGTGTGTTTTGTGTATTCATGCAGTGATGTGATTGTTATCGGAGTCGTGCCGCAGATGTAGCACACGCTGCTGTTTTTGGCGTTGATTTATTCGATTTTCATGTTTGGCACAGACGTGGCCAGGCGGACGTGACTGAGGTGTGTGGCCAGGCGGGTCCATTCGAATTCAAAGACTGATTTCGTGGATGTCATATATGCACACACGACTGCAGACACGTCCGCAAATGCAATGCAGGCAGATGCACGCATAACACAGATGCTCACAAAAAGGAAAAAGAGAGATCCGCAGACGGTTGGCTACCCTTCCTTGACGTTTCTGAGTGTTGTGGATGTTAGGCGTGTGGTCGGCGCGTGTGCGGCTTCATGGTGGCGCGCACAGGGATGCACACACGCGGCTGGCCCGCCTGCACAGAAACACACTCATGCAGATGTGCAGCTGAGCTGTCTGTTTCTGAATGTGTTTGCACTGACCACTTGGGTGTTGATGGCTTCCATGATGTCGCTGCGCAGCGAATAGCGGTCACCTGCACACGAGCCACAGAGGCGCACACATGAATGGGTGCGTACGTCATTGTGTGTCTGTGTGTCCATACGGCCGTCAGCCTTGGCGAACCACACCTCCACACGCACCGAACCTACCTTCTTCACCTGCACACACACACAGACACACACATACCCACACACACCACGGCCAGCATGTCACACACAACACACGCCTCCACCCATCTCTGCACGTCCCTCACCATGCGCACCCTCGTGATGATCGAGTATGGCTCCACCGACGCCCCGATGCAGCCCAGCACGGCATGCGTCCACACGCGGTAGGCCTCACCCATCGCCATCCCCTCGGGCACGCCGGCGTTGGCCAGGTCCATCTTCAGCACCACACGCCCGCCCCCCACGTTGTCCTTATCCTCCTCCATCGGCAGCACCTCGTCCTTGAACACCGCAATCGCACCATAGCAACTGACACGCACACACACACGACGAAGATGTTCCCCTTCCAATTTGTTGAAGTTGTTGTGTGTATAGCAGAGTCCCACAGATCACGAGCGTTGATAAAAGAGCGGCAGAGAGGTCCGACATAAACAAGCAGGCAGGCAAACACGAAGGCGAACACGAAAAGGCACGTGGCCTTGGCGAACTGGGCTATCGGCGACCCACGGTGACATGCAGGCTGGCTGGGCTTATCGGCGACCCACTTACATGAAGGCAGAGGCAGGAAGACAGGCAGCAAAGTCAGTCAACGCTCAAGTGTGCCAAAACAGTAGGTAGAGCGGTATGACTCGTAAAACACATGCCAAAATCCCAATACCCCTCCTCACGTCTTGCAGGCTACTGCGAGACGTGGACCACACAGAAGCTAATTACTTGTACGCAGTATGTAAATGTATGCAGGTAAACCGACGCCAAAAGCAGTTCCATGCATTGCATTCTTTCCTGCAACGCACTCCCCTCTTCAAACACAT